GGCTTTTGTAAAAAAATCAATTTTTGGCGGTTTATAATATTTACTCCCTTATTTTTAAACAAACAAAAAAAAAAAAAAACCCAAAAAAAAAAAAAAAAAAACCCCCCCCCCCCCCCCCCCCCCCTTCTACCTCGCCGAGATTTCGACGCGCAAAGCTCCCTACTGTCACCTTTGGCCGATAAATTCGCATAGGCACTGCCTGGACATATCATACTTGGATGGGCCTCACTTTAACCTATTCCGAATCTTGCACATCGAGCGCGGTCGCTGAGCACATATTATCGGCCATTTCATGCCAATTTGCTGCTTGCCGGACTCGGGAGGATCGATGCGTCACTATTTCGGCGACTGAATATGATATCTCGGGGCATGGATTTGTTGCACTAATGAATTAAAGACATGACCACATTATTTAGCATCTTGAATACGCAACGGCTGTCATCAGCGGCCCCTGGCTCGCGATCAGGGCAGGCCGGCTGTCAAGTCTTCTTGGTGCGATTTTATAACACAAGACCTTACCCTCATCCCTTCCCCCCAATGTCTTCATGAGCATTTCAGACGATGTGGAAGTATGGAAATAAATGTTTGTATGTACCCATGTGGATTACCATATACACACCCGAATAGCGACCATTCATCAAAGGCCAACACTGTGTCTCCCCCTCTTGCACGACAATGTTCCTCGTACTATTCTGCTTTCTTTATCAGGATGGCCGGGGCTCTACAATGAGCGCGCACCATCACCGACTCGGGGGCTAGCGTTGGTGCTACGGCTGAGGGGTTCGATAAGCTTGCGGTGGTCGTGGGCTGGGATGCCCTATCTTACCCGCGCCCTAGTGTCGCCAGTCTCGCTGCCGATTTTTCCAAAGAACCGGCGTTGCTTGTGGCATTGACCGGTGGTTGCGCCATGTCGTGCCGTGGAGGAACTGATTGGGGCACGCTGGAGAGTGCCAATCAACAGGTACTGTACCGGCTGAGGAGGAGGAGGAGGAAGCCGATCATCTCCAACCCCCGAGGCCCCTGCCGTCTCAGCCCTCGACTCTTCTCTTTCAAAAGGGCCTACCTACTTATCTAAGAGAAGACGTGCGGCAAGAGGAAAAGGACCGCTGTGGCTCCTCGTTCAAAATGACAGCCGACGCTATGCTTTCCGCATGGGGACACATACTTATGCCAGCCTCCAGTCTTCTCCCACGCTTGCCGTATCGATACCAACGTGCCATCTGATTAACAAGGTATTCTGTACGTACTCACTTACCCCTCTCGCGTCGACGGCAAGTTCGCAGGCCTTCTCTCCAGACACATGCGGTTCTTCCTGCAGAAACTGGCTGGGCTTGTCAGTGTTCCCTTGAGACGGGGTTAAACCACGTTTTCGCCGCTTGCGCGTCTCCCGGCGCCATGGGCGTGGTCAACGGCGGGTGGTCATTGCGTCGCTGTCGGTTCTTAGTCTGCCTTGTGGTCCTGTCAAAGCGATCACGCCAGCTCTGCAAGCAGGACTTTTGTTCTGCCTTTTTGTGATATCTGATGGACAGCCTTGATGCCCAATTTCCGCGCTCCAACCTCCTGCAGAAAAATCCGCTCACGGGGTTCGCGAGCGTTCTCTTTGGAGAGGGACCGACCATCCTGGTGGATTTCTGGGAACCCTGTCAAGGATTTTCGAACTTTAAGACCCCCGACGACATCCCTGGACCGGGAAATGTGCGCGAGCCGGTGAGGGGCGCCATCGCGGCAAGGTCTTCATCGGCATCCAACGGGTGTCCCATGCTTTTCTCATGCGCCAGCGGTACTCAAGCGGTGGTGCACTTCCGCGTCCTGTCATACATGGTGATTGATGGCTGGAGACCAGGGGCGGAACTTGCTGCCTCGCAGAGCATGGGTGGCCATGCTGGCGGGACGGATGTTGCTGGCGCCTTGAGGCTTGTGGAAGCGGACCTCGTTACTTCGATTAGAACTTTCGTAAGACTGGCTTGGGTACGGAGTACGCACGAGTCCAATGAAGTGCTACGCATGCAGCGGGCTGTGGCACTTCTGAAAGAGCCTTTTCACTATCATCAGCTGCTCATTGTGCTTCGAGAGGCAGCCAAGTAGGTGACATCGGGCCTGGTCTCTCGAAGCCCTTGAGGCAAGCACTTCTCAGCAAGGTAAGTTGCATAGTGTGCAGGCCCATGAACATAAACTGATATACAGATAAGAATGTCGGTGTATCTCCAATGCCGACCTCAACCCCTTCCTCGCAGTGTCCTCGCAGCCTCGCGAGTCTGAAGGATTAATTAGGTCACAGGCGGCCAAGAGTGGCTCGCAGCTGTCAGCCTGTCATGTCTGAGCAACGGTATCGACAGTCACAAAATCAAATGGATACCTTACTGACGTGGCTTCAATGAGTGGGACATGCTGTTGCAAGGACCGCGCAGCTGTCCGTGGCTATACAGCCAACATTGAAAGTACTATGGTGTATGTGATGTCAAGATGAGCCCGAGCCATGAAGCAGACAGACTTGTTCTGGGCATGAGATCAACATCTCCCTGGCATTGCGCTTTTCCCTTTGATTTCCTACGAGCAGAAACTCCCGTAAATCTGCTGCACTGAAAAGCATGTGCCCAACACGGCACTCTCTCCCTTACTTGAACACTCCAGGAATTACTGCGAGGGAATTTCCGCATCGCAACATCATACATGAATCGTCGGAAGGAAGGCGCAGAAACATCTCGTGCAAGTGTGAATGTCAAGTAGATGGTCAAAGACGGACGTCCTTGGATGTTAGGATCGTAGGGAGACAATAGAAGACCAAGTTGAACAACGTGAGGCAATAGAGGATGTCCGAAGGATTGTAAGACCCCAATGCATTCCCCGATCCTAACAGCCTTTCAGCCGCTGTTTCTCAGGCGGTGTCATCGAAAGTGAAGCATGTCTTCAGGTGATGGAGATACTCGAGTGGTTAGCATATCGCACGTTTACAACTCAAGCCAAAGTCATAAGGAGCATACCTAGTCTTCTATGCCGTAAGCGGTAGTGGCATAGTCGACATGAGACAATATGAACTTAGAGCTTTCAGTCCCGTGACGGGGTTCCCAGTCCGAGCATGCTGTACGTTTCGTGTTGGCTGAGATACACACATGCAGATGTGAGGGCGGCAAAGATCGGTCAGTCGTCTCTATTCAAGAAGGGGAGTAAAGTATAGCTGCTATCCAAACATCACAGTCCATCATTCCGATCCAATCGGCAAGTCTGCCAAAGACGCCGAGCGCATGTCAAAAAATGATAAAAGATTCCCAGAGATAAGTTTGAAGAATAACATGCTTGACCTCAATAGGCTTGGCTGTCTATAGAAGACACGAAGTGCAAAAAAGTATTCAAAACGCGCGAGGTCCGTCCTTCACTTGGTGGCGTGCTCGTCGCCAAAGGGGCTGCTGCCTCGTTCTATCGACGGAGGTTTCGAGTCACGGTTGGGCCTATCCTCGTCGTCCTCCATGACAGCTCCCAGCTTGGGTGCATTGGCTTTGGGTTCAGGAGTGCTCACCTCCTCTGGAGGGTCGACGAAAGGCGAGTCATTGATGGACAGCGTAGGAGGTGTAACAGCAGGCGTGGAGGCCTCAGATCCGGCCCCTTTGCCTTCAGATGTGGAAGTCGCTCGACTCGATGCATCGGACTTGGCAGGAATCTCGACCTTCTTGAGACCTCCGACCTTGACGACCTGGGCGCGGGTCTGGGTGGCAGTGTTCAAGAACGTGGAGCCCACACTGAACGTGCTCGCACCACTCTTTGGCCTCCCGTTGCCGAACTTTTCGAAATCGATGTTGGGCACTGGAGGTGTGCTTCCGCCGCTGCCGCTGGTTCCCATGGACTTGACACTGACCATGGTTGGCTTCGCACGCAGGCCTGTCGACGCCGGAGTCATCACCTGAGCCTGCTTGCCGTAAATTGTGGAGGCGATGCTCGAGCGAGGAGCGTAGGATGTGCGTGTAGCATAGGATGTACGGTCCGAGTAGCCAGACAGACCAGAGTATGTCGAGTCGCGGAGGTCACCCGGCACAAAGAAGTGCTGATCGTTGTTGCCGCTATCGCCGGTGTTTGCAGAGTGCTGCATAGGGATCGGTGGGACGGGAGGGACAAGGACGCCCGAGGAGGCAGGGTTCGCTCGGTTCGTGACTCCGGGAATGTATGCGATTTGAATGATGTTTGAGGCTCGAGTCAACACCGTGGACGCAATAGAGTGAACGGTGTGCGTCGATGAGCGGCGGGTAAGTCTGGACTGGTTGTCCTTTTCTGAATCTTGCGGGGCAGTGCTTCCGTGATATTGCGAATGGCGAGCAATGTCCTCAGCCCTACGGGGCTTGATGAGGTATCTCCAAGCCAGGTAGGTTAGGACTGTGATGAGAACGACACCTCCAAGAACGCCTCCCACGATTGCCCCAATGTTTGGACCTCCGGAGCTGTTATCCGAGTTGTTGCTGTTGCTGTTGCTGGGCGCAGCGCTTGATGCTACGCATAGCGCCTGTGAGCATTCCGTGCAGTCGGAAGGGATCGTGAATTGGCACTCTGTGCCCTCGGAACAGTTGGGACATTCTAGGGTCGAGGTGGCATCGCACTTGACACATTCACCTGCGCGAGGGATGAGTTTCATGACTGCCCGAATTAGCATCAAAGTCCCCGGTCAAGTTCGAAGACATAACCCACCTGCATCAAGCTCTATCAAGTCCCTAGTATACACAAAACCCCGGTGGCTTTCCATCGTGCGCGACAGAGACTTGGCGTGAATGGCCGCGGCAGTGGGATGTGTCGATTGATGTGGGGTGTTCTCTGAGGTTGGCCAGGCTTAACGCTCGTCTTGGGCTTCGAGTCTGGGAGCACCCAGCAATAGCGATATCTGGTAGGTCTTTGATGATCGGAGACGCTCGTTTCAAAGCGATAGTGCGGCGTCGTAGAGATAGAAAGAGTGGTGTTTTGTCGAATGAGAAACGAGTGTAATGGAGACTAGCTCAAACAAAAAGGATAGATAAGAATGCGATCTTAGATCATTGAAGCAGACGACATAACCAGCCAGGGCAATTGTCGAGGGTATTGATGATGCGACGAAAGGCGATGATGGGGTTGCGGAAGTCGTTGTCGATGGAGGTTGGATGAAGATGAGAGTGGAGGAGCGGCACCCAGCAGCGAGGAGAGACAGAATCAACGCGGAAGAGGGACAGAGACAGAAACAGGGGACGTGGTTGGGTGTGAAAGGACTGGCGGAGGAGCGCAGCCGGCAGCTGCTGGATCCCGCGCAGAAAGAGGGTGGTGGAGGAGGACTGGAGTCTGGATCCTCTCTTAGATGACAGGGGAACGCGCCCGCTAAAGCGAATCAAGGCTAGCGAATCAGGGCAAGCAGAGCACAGTATGTTTCTCTTCTGACACAGTAAGCAGTTCAACTCGTCGGACCAGTGAGCTTGCGTTTGGGTGCTGTTGGTCGCCTCGCTAGACCAGAGAGAGTAACAATAGGTGGGTTCTTGCTGACGGCAGCGCCAGGAACAGCCTGCAGCAAGCCGTGTCAATACTACGAGGCAAGCCTAGCGCACTGTAGCGCTGTGGGACGGTTGCCCCTTTTCGCGGGTCCCCCATTCAAAAGCTTCGAGTCGACGAGACGGGGTGAGTTGCCCCCAAATTAATGCCACTCGTCAGTTTGAGGCCAGAGACGACGCCGCAAGAAATCTTCTCGTGCTGTTTCTTGAGTGCGAACATGCAATTCTTTCTTGCAAATCGCGCAAGCGAACGGCGTCGAAGTGGCTGGATCTGACGCGTTAACGTTCCTTCCTGATGCGGGGGGTTAATTTGCACCAGCGTCAAATCAGCGTTCGACACAAGCCACCTGCACTGCGCACACTCACACACACAATACGGATACAGGTGGTGGTAATACCTGGTAGCTAATGTCCTCCGTACGGAATAAAAGATTGATGGTACTACGAGGACGAAGAACCTCATGCACTCTCATGAAAGCTACCAGTGCAGTTGATTGTGATCGAAGAGCTGCACAATCTTCTAGATGATCGGAGTGAACGCTGTAAACTTGCCCGATTCGAGCGGTGTGTCCGAACGCGCGTCCTGGCATCCAAGCAAGGCCCCAACTAATAGCCCTATGTACGGAGTATGGCCCGGGTGTTTACTGTAAATACCATCGAACGTCTCATCTGTCGCGCCTCGACGCGGACAAGATCTTGGTGGTTGTGAAAACGCCCTCGCGTCGGGATTGTTGCCTCCATTCCAGTCATGCTCGTTGAACATGTCTCGAACTGGCGGCGCGGGAGCAGTGTCTACGTAGTCAGTCAAGTCAGCCCGTAACGCACCGCAGAGCTCTGAACGACACTCGAGATCGCCGAGGGAGATCGCCCGCAGAATGCTTCAGTTTGGCCTGAGCTTCCCGTTTGAAGTTTGAACTCTGGAACGCAGATTAGTGAGTCGAGTCGCCGCCTCTACCTTTCCCGCCTGACCTCGGATTGGTGAAGGTCAAAGGGCTTTGCGCGCACTCAATTCCAAACAGATCATGCCGTCTTCCGCTGGTGTCTTGTACGACACAACAGTGCCGTACGTGCTCAAGGTTAAGCAGCACCAAGGATGTACACATTTGAGCTATCCCACAGCAACAAGTACGTCGTCCTGCACGCAGCACAGGTACTAGTACCCAAATAACGCTTTTCTCCCAATCACTACTTGACACCACATATAATTACACGTTGAAGATGGCAGCCTACTAATTGTGGCAGGAGAGCTCCTTCACTAATTATAGCCATGCGACCAGAGATCATTCGAAATGTGGTTTTTCGGGATATCGAGGTGGATATTTGCTCCTGCACCGCCTCATGTATAGCTCGACACTGCCAGCCCCAGATCTCGCCTCATCCCGAAGTTCTATTTTTGGCAACCGTAGCTGGCAGCCACAAAGAGCACTCATTCAGGCCTCCGCCCGAGGGCCAACGAAAACACCAACAGTAAAGAAGATACGCAGCCCAGCTTGTCGAGCATTGTCCACCAAGTAGCTCAACTGGACACAGGAGCTAAGCGAACAATGATCGTGAAAGCTCAAGATCCCTGTCATCAGTCATCAGCCATCAAACTGCCTGCAAGCTGACTGCGTGCCTTTGCAGAACTTGCCGGCGCCACGATCAGGATGTCAGCAGACAGGTCGACGTGAACATGGTCGTCATCAATGCCCCTACGCTGATGCTGTCTTGCAAAGCTATTCATGCTTGCCAACAGAGATGAGCTCCACCTCTGTCTCGAGGAGCTGCAACTGGCGTTAATACTACCGAGTTGGCCTAATCAGACCCACTCGATCTTATTATTTGACGGCTTCTGTGAGGGCCACACGAGGTCCTGATAATTCGTAGCTTGAGGACAAAAGGGTTTTTCGTAGTGCAGATCATTATCAAGGTCGTCGAAATACGAAGCAACCATGCCAACCGTATCTGCCTGTGGCTTCTGTGCAGGCTGGCAGGCAGCCTTGGACGAAGGAAAAGTGAGCCTGAGCATGGAGTGGACTGGACTGGACATGGAGCGAGAAAGTGAGAGTTCAGGGGTTGACCGGTGGCTCAGCCAGCGTTAGCGTCAGACTTAGCCAGCGCTGTTGGCGACTGGATGGCAGCCAGCGGCCCCAGCCACTAGCAGGTCACAGCGTGGACCCCTTACGGATGCCCTCGCTGAAACAGCTGGGAAAACATTTCGAGACGGTGATCCCCAAATTCTCTTTCCCTCCTTCATCATCCTGCTCATCTCCTGTAGGGGATCATTATCGCCGTGACATCGCCTTCCTCGATTCGGTGCACTTGTTTGCTTTTGGTCTTCGCACGAATCATTGGCTTGGGTCCGACGCCCTAGTACTACAACCTTTACGCGTTCCTAGGTCCCAGGTGTAGAGCTCGCCATTTGACTTTGCACCAGGTCCGCGACCGTTCGCTCAGGTACTCTACGACAAAGGCAATTCGGAGTGTATTGAACACGATAGCGTCGTACCATGGCGTACAACGGCCAGGGGCAAGGCCATGAATATGGCGGTGCAGGCGGCCACCCAATGCAGGACATGCCAACCGGCAGCACTGTATGCTCCAACGCAATCCTGCGTCTTGAACAAATGGCTAACGAGTCCAGTATCACCTTCCTCCGCAGGAGCAAGAGGAAGACGCTGGCCGCTACCTTCTCCACGAGCCTCCAGTCCACGGATACGACCAGGACCGTCTAGGTGCCGCGACACCTCCTGATCGGCCTGTCTCGGCTTACAGTCTCACCGAGTCGTACGCGCCCAACGCTGCTCAGATGCCGCAGCAGGGACAAGGCTACGCTGACAATGGCTACGGCCAGTATGGCATGGACCCCAGCGGCTGGAACACCCCTCGTCCCATGTCTACAGTCGACGATGACGACGAAGACAGCTGGATGCAGCGACAACAGCAGCCCAACCAGATGGGCTCGCGCGGTGGTCTGAAGCGTTTCAACACCAGAAAGATCAAGCTTGTTCAGGGCTCCGTCCTGAGCATCGACTACCCGGTGCCGAGTGCTATCAAGAATGCGGTGCAACCCCAATACCGCGATGTCGAGAGCGGCAACGAGGAATTCTTGAAGATGCGCTACACAGCCGCTACGTGTGACCCGAACGACTTCACCCTCAAGAACGGTTATGATTTGCGCCCTCGCATGTACAACCGACACACCGAGCTGCTCATCGCCATCACCTACTACAACGAGGACAAGGTCCTGCTGGCCAGAACCCTGCACGGTGTGATGCAGAATATCCGCGACATTGTGAACCTCAAGAAGTCGACCTTCTGGAACAAGGGTGGCCCTGCCTGGCAGAAGATTGTTGTGTGCCTCGTCTTCGATGGTATTGACAAGGCCGACAAGAACGCCATGGACGTTCTGGCCACCATTGGTATCTACCAAGATGGCGTGATCAAGAAGAGTGTCGATGGCAAGGAGACTGCCGCCCACATCTTCGAGTACACCAGTCAGCTTTCGGTGACGCCCAACCAGCAACTGATCCGGCCGACGGATGACGGCCCCAACAACTTGCCCCCTGTCCAGTTCATCTTCTGCTTGAAGCAGAAGAACACCAAGAAGATCAACTCTCATCGCTGGCTTTTCAACGCGTTTGGCCGTATCTTGAACCCTGAAGTCTGCCTGCTGTTAGATGCCGGTACCAAGCCCAGCCCTCGCTCCTTGCTCGCGTTGTGGGAGGGCTTCTACAACGACAAGGATCTCGGCGGTGCTTGCGGTGAAATCCATGCTATGCTCGGAAAGAACGGCAAAAAGCTGCTTAACCCTCTGGTAGCTATCCAGAACTTCGAGTACAAGATTTCCAATATTCTCGACAAGCCGCTGGAGAGTTCTTTCGGTTACGTCTCTGTGTTGCCTGGTGCTTTCTCAGCATATCGCTTCCGCGCTATTATGGGACGCCCCCTCGAGCAATACTTCCACGGTGATCACACCTTGTCCAAGGTACTCGGTAAGAAGGGTATCGACGGTATGAACATCTTCAAGAAGAACATGTTCTTGGCCGAAGATCGAATCTTGTGTTGCGAGCTTGTCGCCAAAGCTGGCCAGAAGTGGCACCTGAGCTATATCAAGGCCGCAAAGGGTGAAACGGATGTGCCTGAGGGTGCTGCCGAGTTCATCAGTCAGCGTCGTCGTTGGCTGAACGGTTCGTTTGCCGCTACTCTGTACTCGCTGATGCACTTTGGACGCATGTACAAGAGCGGTCACAACCTGGTTCGCATGTTCTTCCTTCACATTCAGCTGGTCTACAGCTTCCTCAACACGCTCTTCGCCTGGTTCTCGCTTGCGTCTTACTATCTCACCACCACTGTCATCATGGACCTGGTCGGCAACCCAACGATCCCCTCATCCAGCAGCAGCGAAAACCACGGTTGGCCGTTTGGTGATACCGCGACGCCCTATTTCAACGCATTCCTCAAGTACCTGTACCTGGCGTTCGTCATCCTGCAATTCATCCTCGCCTTGGGTAACCGCCCCAAGGGTTCGCGCTTCGCGTACATTGGCTCCTTCATAGTCTTCGGAATCGTCCAGCTCTACGTCATCATCCTTTCCTTCTACCTGGTCGTCAACGCTTTCGTCAAGAAGCCCATTGGTGAACAGATCTCATTGGACTCTGGCGAGGACTTTGTGCGCAGTTTCTTCTCGGGCTCAGGCGCTGCCGGTGTCATCATCATTGCGCTCATCACAATCTACGGCCTCAACTTCATCGCCTCGTTCATGTACCTCGACCCTTGGCACATGTTCCACTCGTTCCCCCAGTACATGGTTCTCATGTCGACGTACATCAACATTCTCATGATTTACGCCTTCAACAACTGGCACGATGTGTCCTGGGGTACCAAGGGCTCTGACAAGGCCGAGGCCCTGCCTGCCGCTACCGTGACCAAGGGCGAGAAGGACGAGAAGGTGGTGGAGGAAATCGAGAAGGAGCAAGAGGACATTGACAGTCAGTTCGAGCAGACCGTCAGGCGTGCCCTGGCTCCCTTCAAGGAGGTCGAGGAGGTTGAGAAGGCCGACGTCGAGGACTCATACAAGTCCTTCCGAACAGGTCTGGTCGTCACCTGGCTGTTCTCCAACATTCTGCTGGCGATCATCATCACCAGCGACAACTTCGACTCGATGGGCATCGGAGTAAGTAACCTATTCCGGAGCACCGCGCACACGGTAACTAACCACGGAAACAGGAGAGCACCTCGGACCGCACCGCCGCCTACTTCAAATTCCTGTTGTACTCGACCGCCGTGCTGTCACTCATCCGTTTCATCGGTTTCCTTTGGTTCTTGGGTAAGACTGGTCTCATGTGCTGCTTCGCGCGCAGGTAAACTGGTCATTTGGTATGGAAAGGAGCATGCATTTGGGAGGCAAAAGACACCCCCTGCTCGGGGTGTCGCGGTGTACAGATCTGCAGGATATTCGGCCTTTTCTCATGTACCTCGACTTTGTAATGTTTCTATTCGGGTGTTGAATGTACGACTTTGAGAAACTGCAGGCCGCGGAATGGCAGTGAGATATTTCAATCAATACATTATATAGTGGTCTTTGACGCTTGTTTGATGCGACTGTCGTTATTCATTCTCTTCTCCTGGGCACGCAGCGGAACTGGATGGAAGATCCTCGGCGGCATTTGGGCCTTATCTTATCTTATCGTCCATCAGCTCAGCTCCAGTCTCCCGTAGAACGGCTTACCTGACCACTCGAGGTAGCAAACGGCCTAGAGAGCGGCTGGAGACCGACTTTCTTCACCCATACACGAACAGCTTGGATATCCCGATAGCGGCTCAGTCTGGTTGTCATCATTCGCATCCTGCCCCCTACAGCCACGCCGCCCTACGAAGCCTGCGCCGCCCCGCGTGGCACCCCGCCATCACAATGTTGAAGATCTGGTCGATGGTCAGGATCTCCGAAGACTCCAGACGGCGACTAGCTAATACTTTCTACAGAAAAAGGAGCAGAAGGATGCCGAAAACGCCGAAGGTCATGCCAGCGGGGGCAAGAAGAAGAAGATCACAGCCGCTCAACTGCGCGTGCAAAAAGGTATAGTCGGCTGGCCCACGTGCGGTTCGTCAGGACGGTGTCTTACAAGCGTACCAGATCTCTCGGAGCTGTCTCTCGGTGATACCATGAAGACCGACTTTCCCGACCCCGACGATATTCTCAACTTTGTCCTCATGATCGAGCCGGACGAGGGAATGTACAAAGGCGGGCGCTTCACATTCGACTTCAACATCAACCAGAACTTCCCCCACGACCCGCCCAAAGTGCGATGCCGCGAGAAGATCTACCACCCCAACATCGACCTGGAGGGCAAGGTGTGCCTGAACATTCTGCGCGAAGACTGGAAGCCCGTCCTGAACCTGAACGCGGTCATTGTGGGCATGCAGGTGAGCCGCTACGGGAGGCCACAAAGAGATGTATCAAGCTGACAGCGAGGACAGTTCCTCTTCCTAGAACCGAATGCTTCCGATCCGCTGAACAAGGAAGCGGCCGAGGACTTGAGAAATAACAGGGACGGGTTCCGACGGAACGTGAGGAGTGCCATGGCCGGTAGTTCCGTCAAGGGCATCGCATACGATCGGGTCTTGTCCTAAAATTTGTATGCGAGGGGGAGGAGAGAAGCGTAGATCATACTTGGGAGTTAACGACTTCGCCAGCTCGCGTCCATGGACGTACAGAACTGGGAGGGCTTTACGAGCACACGATTTGGGCATATGGCACCAGTTTCGGAATGAAGCTGCAGCATATTGGGCATCTATTCCAGAGCGCATGGGTTCGTCCCGCGGCGAATATCATGAATTCATCTTGTTCTTAACATATTCTCGTGCATCGGTTCAAGCGCAAGCTCAGTACTTTGGGGTTATGTGTGCGGTAAGAACCTGCCGCAGTAAACGTGGAGAGAGAGTTGGGGGATTTGCCTTTCGTGATGTCCAGCTCAAGTGAGAGGATCAAGGCTCTGAATCGGGGGCATGACAAGCCAACCATTGCACCTAGGATCTGGATGTTTCCTGAGTTGCTGTTGGCGTTTTTATGAACTATGTAGCGTAGGGTAGGCTAAGCTATCTGCCCTAACGTCGCGGGTGTGGACCAGAACAATCAGGATTTCCTCGCTGGGCCAAGTTACCGCTCAGGACCGCGCCGAGCGCAGCTTTGCAAACCTCCGAAACAACACTATCAATAAACCAATGTTCCTACAATTGAGTCACTCCGATGTCGTCGCCTGCTATAACCCGCAACACGGGGCTATCTTCCGTGGAAAGCCTCGAAGCTCCGGTCTGGGCATCAATGCTCAGTCGAGGCTGCTGCGGGGCCTCACGGGGAGAAAGTGAAAAGTCCGGAGGGACGCCTGTAGGCACCTTGCCCCTGCCCCAGCTCAGGTGCCCGTCCATCCAATCACAGGGAGGATTCCCTCTTCCCGTGTAACTTACTGCGCCGTTCCGGACAGCGACGGCAGGAGCTCAACAAGACTCACGTAAGAGCGAAAGTGCGAAAACATCCTCCATTCGACGTATGTGATCGATTGGTAGGTGCTGAATCCAGCTCGAATTTCACAGACTGCAACACGGGTTCGACGCCTTCAACGTCAATTGAGAGCTTAGCTGGAACTCCAGACACTCCTAGCCGTTCCAGGTAGTTTATGGGGGCTGGCTAGGGACACCGTCCAATCAGAGCTACGGTAAAGTTCGTGGCAGGCACGCCTCCGTTCGCGGAGAGTTTGCGGTCGCCGCAAGCCTAGCCTCGCGGTTGGTGGGGTAGCCTGAGCTCGACTGGAGTGAGTGGAAAATACTGCTCCACTGCCCAGTCCGGTGGTCGGCTTACCTCACCCCACGAGCCATTCCCGCCTCAACTTTGTTTCGGTCAAGAAGCGCAGCCTTCCCTCATCCTTCTTCCTCCCTTTCTCTCTTCCAACATCCCCAATCTCCCTCACAACCCGTCACAATGGCCTCTCGCACCATCTCCAAGTCTGTTCGCTCGCCATTGGCCCGCCAGCTGGCCGCTCCTCGCGTCCAGCAGCGCACCTTTGTTGCTGCCCGCAACCTGGTTCGTGCCGGCACTGCTGCTCGCCCAGCTGCCGTTGCTGGCCCTGCCCAGCAGCAGGTTCGCGGTGTCAAGACCGTTGACTTTGCTGGCCACAAGGAGGACGTCTATGGTAAGATTTCCCGAGTTGCGACGTCGAATTCGGTTGCTAATGCTCAGCAGAGCGTGCCGACTGGCCTCAGGAGAAGCTTTTGGTGAGTGAAATCCACGCAGCGAGTCAAGCGCGCCACATCTAACTTTTAATCAGGAGTACTTCAAGAACGACACCCTTGCCCTGATCGGCTACGGCTCGCAGGGTCACGGTCAGGGTCTCAACCTCCGCGACAACGGCCTCAACGTCATTGTCGGTGTCCGAAAGAACGGCAAGTCCTGGAAGGACGCCCAGCAGGATGGCTGGGTCGAGGGCAAGAACCTTTTCGATGTCGATGAGGCCATCTCCCGCGGTACCATCGTCATGAACCTCCTTTCCGACGCTGCCCAGTCGGAGACCTGGCCCGCCATCAAGCCCCAGCTCGTCAAGGGCAAGACCCTGTACTTCTCCCACGGTTTCTCGCCCGTCTTCAAGGACGTGACCAAGGTCGATGTGCCCACCGACATTGATGTCATCCTCTGCGCCCCCAAGGGCTCAGGCCGCACCGTCCGCACCCTCTTCCGCGAGGGCCGCGGCATCAACTCCTCCTTCGCCGTGTACCAGGACGTCACCGGACACGCCAAGGAGAAGGCCATCGCCATGGGTGTCGCCATCGGCTCCGGCTACCTGTACGAGACCACCTTTGAGAAGGAGGTCTACTCCGACCTGTACGGTGAGCGTGGCTGCCTGATGGGCGGTATCCACGGCATGTTCCTCGCCCAGTACGAGGTCCTCCGTGAGGCTGGTCACTCCCCCTCCGAGGCTTTCAACGAGACCGTTGAGGAGGCCACCCAGTCCCTCTACCCCCTCATTGGAGCCAACGGTATGGACTGGATGTTCGAGGCTTGCTCGACCACCGCCCGCCGTGGTGCCATTGACTGGACCCCCAAGTTCAAGGACGCCCTCAAGCCTGTCTTCAACGACCTCTACGCTTCCGTCCGCGACGGCACCGAGACCAAGCGCTCGCTCGAGTACAACGGCCAAAAGGATTACCGCGAGAAGTTCGAGAAGGAGATGGAGGAGATCCGCGGTCTCGAGATCTGGAGGGCTGGCAAGGCTGTCCGCTCTCTGCGTCCCGAGAACCAAAAATAGACAGTGTGACGATGGACATGGGGAGGGATATGATCTGGGCTTGTTCAAATACTGCGATTTGGCTTAAGGAGCTATGCTATACCACTTGGAGTCTAAGGCGACTATGATGAAAATGAAAATTGCAATCATGTACAATTCCTGCGCCATGCGTTCATACAAATGTGATCGACAGGACCAGAAAAGATGCGTTCGCGTCCGACAGCGGCAGCCAAGTCTAGCTGTCCCTCATAAGCTCATTGCCTCAACAGGCAGGCCCGGAGGACCGACATGGACTGGAGTTTCGTGAGCGGTTGGACTCGGAGACTGGCCACTCTAGTCACGTGGTATCCCCGGTCTCAGGCAAAGGTACCCGTCAGGATTCTGGAACTGGGTCCGGCCGCGGCCCCAGCGCATGTAATAGTGGCGAGTCATACCGTCGTCGGGATGTTTTGCCGTCTAGTCTATTTACGCCTTTAAGTAGACGCTGTAAGCTGCGTTGCGAGGTTTGCTTCATACGTTTGGTTCCGTAGAGTTTCATTAAAGCCTCTCATCCTCAAAAGCCCCCTCGAACCCTCAACATGGCGGATATTTCAACGACGCTCCCATTGACACGCTCGTCGGTCGTGGCAGCCCACGATGTGGTCAGGCCACATGTCCACAGGACACCGGTCATGATGAACCGCACAATCAACAGCATTGCCTCAACACCGCAGACTTCGCTAGAGGGCACGAGATGGGAAGGACGCACGCCTGCCAAACCCAAGTTGAGGCTATGGTTCAAGTGCGAGAACTTGCAAAGGATCGGCGCCTTCAAGGCCCGTGGCGCGTTTCATGCGATCGCGAGACTGAAGCAGGACAAGCAATGGGTTGAGAGCGGCGGTATGGAAAAAGGTGTCTGCACACATAGCTCAGGTCAGTCGTACTGTTGGCGTTGCTGCTGGGTGCGATGCTGATCCTCTGTCCAGGTAATCACGCCCAGGCTCTCGCACTGGCCGCCAAGGAGAACGGGATACCTGCGTACATCGTCATGCCGGAGATCACGATACCCCAGAAGAGAGCCGCGACCAAGGGCTACGGTGCCAAGGTGATTGACTCTGGCAGCACGGCTGCGGAGCGCGAGGCTGTGGCCGACAAGGTCATGACAGAGACTGGTGCCAGGCTCGTGCCCCCCTATGATCATCCTGATATCATACTAGGACAGGGAACTCTGGGCCTCGAGCTGCAGGAGCAGGTTGCGGAGACGATGGCCAAGGGCGAGGGAGCTGCCATGGACGGCTTCAGGGCGGAGGACACCCGTCACGACTTCAAGGGAAAGAAGGGCCTCGATGCCGTCGTCGCGCCCTGCGGTGGCGGCGGCATGCTGTCCGGCGTTGCACTCAGCTGCGAGGGCACGGGCATCAAGGTCTTTGGCGCCGAGCCGTCTTTCCAAGGGGCAGACGACGCCAAGAGAGGATTCGAGTCTGGGACGCGCGTGACCGGCGTCTCGACCATGACGATCGCGGACGGACTGCGCACCAACCTCGGCGTGTACCCTTGGAAGGTAGTCTACGAAATGAAGCTGGTCAATGGATTCTACAGCGTGACGGAGGAGGAGATCAAGGCCGCCATGCTGCTGGTGCTGGAGAGGTTCAAGATGGTGGTGGAGCCGAGTGCGTGCGTGCCCCTGGCCGTGGCCCTCTTTGACGAGGACTTTCGGTCCATGGTAGAACGTGAGGCTGGTGAGGACGGCTGGGACGTTGGGCTGGTGTTTTCAGGAGGCAATGTCGGTGCTGATGCCATTGGCAGGCTTTTTGGATGAGAGACATAGTGTATAGAGGGTTGGTCTAAGAAACATCATCATAGGGGGTAGAAGCGAGGTTTTCATTCCATAGATTCACGATGCACTTTCAATCAGATAATCAGCCAGTCAAGAGAGAATCGAATTAGTGGCATGAAATTAAAAATCAAAACATGAAAAAAGAAAAAAAGGAAAAAGCTAGCTTGGAAGACCGCGAAAAGGCAAAAGAAGAACCTCCCCCGCACAGGATCGAACTGTGGATCTCCCGATTATGTGTAGCAATTGATGCTTAACAGTCGGACGCCTTAGCCAGCTGGGCCACAGGGGATGTTATTCGAGAATTCCCGAATTTGCTATGCCTCAGATCATTTTGTTAGTATATATATAGGTAGCTGAGCTACAGCAATGAACATCAAGCACGGAGACAAGACCACGCGAGCATCTCTCTACTACGTCTTCGACATATTTATGTCCTACTGGCATCACTTACGTGAAGTCGTCTACTTCTATGTCTTCTCCGTCTAGTTTTGCCATGCGAAGATTCTCCCATCTCTCGGCAGTACGTCACACTGCGTCCGGTCCAGCGACCGCGGGGCAGCATGTCATGCCCCACCATCCTCGACAATCTTATGCCGCAGAATAACACGCAACAGGACAGAACCTTTTTTTCAACTCATATTATTTCCTCCAACCCGTGATATCTTTTATCTATTCAATCACTTCATATCATGTCGCTCACAGCTTCGTCCGCCGAGGAGGCTGCCTCCTCCGCCAAGACGGCCTCTTTCACTCTGGCCACCCTGTCAGTCGAGGACCGCAACGCAGCTCTCGAGACCATTCACAACGCCCTCCTGGAGGCCAAGGACGACATTCTCGCGGCTAATGCCAAGGACCTGGAGCTCGCCAGGAAAGCGGCCGCCGACGGCTCGCTCAGCAACGCTCTGGTGTCGAGGCTGGACCTTGGGCGGAAGGGCAAGTTCGACGACATGCTCAAGGGCATCCTGGACGTTCGTGGCTTGGAAGACCCCAGTACGTTGAAAAGCAGGCCACTCATGAGGGATGATACATGACTAACCCCACACCAGTCGGCAAGGTCCAGATGAGGAGCAAGCTCGCGGACGACCTCACGATGGAGCGTGTGACCTGTCCCATTGGCGTGCTGCTCATCATCTTCGAGGCCCGCCCCGAGGTTATCGCCAACATTGCCAGTTTGGCCATCAAGTCGGGCAACTCGGCCATCCTCAAGGGCGGCAAGGAGTCCACCGAGTCGTTCGTGGCCATCTCAAAGGTCATCTCTGCGGCTCTCGAGAAGACTGCCGTCCCCAACGGTGCCATTCAGCTCGTCACCGCACGCGACGTCATCGCCCAGCTTCTCAGCCAGGACCGCCACATTGATCTGGTCATCCCCCGTGGAGGCAACGAGCTCGTCAGGTACATCAAGGAGTCGACCAAGATCCCCGTCCTGGGCCATGCCGACGGCATCTGCCACGGCTACCTGACGGCCTCTGCCGACAAGGACAAGGCCATCGGTGCCATTGTGGACTCCAAGACCAGCTATCCCGCGGCGTGCAATGCCCTGGAGACACTGCTCGTCCAGGATGCGGCGCTGCCCACGGTGTTGCCCGGTGTCGCCGCGGCCCTCGTCGAGAAGGGTGTCACACTGCGCTGCGACCCCGCCAGCAAGGCCGCCCTCTCCTCGATCCCTGCCGAGTCCATCCAAGATGCCACCCCCGAGGACTACGACACGGAGCACCTCGCCCTCATCCTCACCGTCAAGACGGTGCCCGGCGTGGACGAGGCCATCTCGCACATCAACGCCCACGGCAGCCACCACACAGACGTCATCTACACCTCGGACAGCGCGCTCGCCGAGCGCTTCATGAACGAGGTCGACTCGGCCGGCGTGTACTGGAACGCCTCCTCCCGTCTGGCCGACGGCATGCGCTATGGTTTCGGTACCGAGGTCGGCATCAGCACAAACAAGATCCATTCTCGCGGCCCCGTCGGTCTGGAGGGACTCACCATCTACAAGTACAAGATCAGGGGCGACTATCAGCCCACCACTGGCTACGGCACTGGCGAGGGCCAGAAGCCATGGAAGCACGAGCAGCTGCCTTTGTAAGGCCAGGGGGTGGTGGCCAAAAGTTTGGGCGTTTTTGTGTCTTGGGCATAGATTTAACGTAGCGACGTATCATAGTATACCATACTCAACCATGGTCTTCTTACATGCAAGCGACCGAACCCCCAAGTCGTGTGTGACCATGACATCCCAGAATCATAGACCCCCAACACCGGCACCATCCGTCTTCATACTTTACATGGCCTCAAGCTGCTGGATGAGTTCATGCAGCCTCTCGCCCTCGGCTTTGAAGTCGATGGGCGTCACACTCATAACCTGGTACCGCACCCTGCAAAAGTCAGTACAGTCCAAGGGAAGCAGATCTGGTAACACATGTGCATACTTTGGGGTGTCGCCAAAATTATCGGTCTTGGCCCGACACCTGAAGTGGAACTTCTTGAGTGTGGCCGCATCAAAGACTTCTTGGAAGGCAACATAATCGTTTTCACGAAGTTCGTTCAGTTCGTTAGCGTCCATGCCCATGACAATGCGGGCCGTTTCATCAAAGCAGGTCAGCCATTGGTGGTTGGTAAAGTCCGCAACGTTTAAGCTGAGGATGTAGCGATGGTTGGGTTTCTCGTGCGCAATGTTGCACTTCTCGCACTGAAAGGTGCCGTCACCCAGCGGCGTCACCTTTTTGTTGTTGCAGTTCGGTCCCGGACAAGCAGGGTACGAGAAGCTTTCTTGCTTTGCAAAGACAATGGTGGCCTTGATGGAGAAGTACGCGGCGTCGTCGTGCCCAAGGTTGTCGTCCTTGACCTTGCGGATCGTCAAGATCTCGTCCTTGCGACCAGTTGCACCTCCCATGCTCGCCATATTCTGATGGGATGCAAAGGTGTTGGTCCGGCCGGCCGAGTCGTACCAACCCTTGAGCTTGTGTGCATCAGGAATGTCGGGGTCCAGGGACATGGTGCCCGACGACAATAGACTCAGACTCTTGCCGCCAAAGTCGGATACCTTAGTCCCCTTGAAGGCAACCACGGACTCGGGCTGGGCATCGAAATTGTTGGCGATCTTGCCCCAGACTGTGACGCGGACAGAGTAGCCAGTATCATCCACGAGGGTGAGCTCTCGCTTCTGGAACGGTCGGCCATCCTTCTTCGAGATGATCTCTGATACTTCGCCCACTTCCTTCAGAATACCAATGACATCGACAGTGTTGTCCTTCTCCACATCTTGCAGTGCTTGAATATTGCAAAAGTTGAACTTCATCTGGGGGACGCTTGACTGGTCATCGGCTTTCTCGATGACAGTCTCGCGTTCAAATGTAATCTCGTAGTCGTTGGGCAGGTTGCTGAACTGCTTCTTTGCCAGCTGCACCCGGCAGGGAGTGGATATGTAGTAGACGGAGCCTTCCTGAAGGAGATCGTAGAAGGCGTCGCACTGATCGTTGAATCCAGTGGCCTTGATCTCGCCACTCTCGTCCAGCAGGTTGACGCTGAAGAGCTTGCCCTCGCCTGTTGACTTGTGCCATGTTTTGATATCTGACTTGACTGTGACTCGGGCCTTGATCGTCCACTTGTGTGTGAATGGGGAAATGCCCTCGATCGGGTGTATCGTCGCCCCTCCATGGGTAGCGGCTGGTCGTGAGGCCATGGTCTGCTTGACCTGGGACTTGCTCTCTTCCTTCTTTGCGCCGTAGAAATCGTTGCCAGATATCGCATTGTCGGCGGCCGGGGCGGGCTGGGGCGCGGCGTCCATGGCTGTCGGCTCGCCAATCTTTTCGTGAATGCCGAGGTCCTCGCACACCTCGATGTCCAGGATGACGAGAATGCTTCGAGCTGTTAGACGAGGCACGATGGCAGAACGTGTCGTGACTGCTTACTTTTTGCCCTTCAGGTTATTGGGCTGGTACTGCTTGATGCGCGCCAAACAACCTCGCTCAAGCTTGCCTTCGTGAATCACCTTGTTCGCGCCCGTGGCGAGCATGCTCTGCACATAGTGGTGGCCGTCGGAGACCACAAGCCTCCAACGCTCGCCAGCCGCTTGCGCGGAAGGGTTCATCTGCTTGACTTGTAGTACTTGCAGAACTGGAACTGGGAACAGCTTGCTAGCCTTGCTGGCATCGTTGAAGATGATTCTGTGGTCAAACGTCAGTCGCCGCGCTTGGTTCGCCCCAGCGGTGTAGATTCAATGAGCTTACTCTAACGCGCCGCGCGATAGCGCCCCTGATGCAGCATCGGCACTCATGGTGACGTCTTCGGCCTGTTATAGGTTGACAGTGGCGTTTGGAAGAGGAATGATAGCAAAATCAGGCTTCCAGAGTAAAGGCTTTGGACAGGCGGTGGACAAAGTTAGATGGAGGGGCGATTCACGGTCGACGCTTGACGCGTCTGAACGCGTTCAGTGGAAGTGCGTGCAGGAATGGCGGGGTCCAAATGAGCTGACGTAATAAATGAATTAGACTACCCTACGTGAAGAGCAAGATCTTGTCCAACGCCCGGTCACGTTTATCTTTGCAAAAGAACGGCGGTCAATTTAATATTCGATGTTGATGATTTGAACTGTTGCCAGCTGCGCAGTTTGTACTGAGACCCTTCACTTCGAATGTGAGGTTGAATCGGGACAGTCAACCAAGCAGCAATACGTCTGATACATGTGCGACATGTAACGGCTCACCTCCACCAAGCTGCGCCTTCCAACAAAACAACCACCTGCATCTGCGGAATCCATTGAAGAACTGTGCGCGTGTTTTCGAGAAAGCGTTTCCAGCACATTACCATATACGAAGCGAGCATTAACACATCATGGCCGACAACGACGTAGCAACCAGAGCTCCGGAGAGCGATGCTCAAGAGCAGCCCACAGCACAAGCACCGGCGGCGGGAGAGCACTGCGTCACGGACAGACCGACCCGTGAGTTCGATAGCCCTACACTGTGGTAGTCGAGCTTATGACCTTCAGCTGCCGGCGTCTCTTCCACTGGCGAGATCGTCAAGCTCGGCCAGACCGATATCGATGTAGGGACATCTTGCTCGTTCGAGCCAGGTAGCTAACCCCCCTAGGTCTACATCTCCAAGCCTTCCGACTACCCTCATGCGCCCGCTCGCCTTCTCCTCCTCCTGACAGGGGGCACTGGTATCAAGTCCGTCAACAATCAAATCCAGGCCGACCGCTTCGCCAGTGAAGGTTACCTCGTTCTCATGCCTGACATGTTTGGTGGCGACACCGCCCCTGCCGCCCCCATGGTCGACGATTCCGCCTCGCTCCTCGAAAAGTTCAAGATCCGAGCCGCCGAGATGGCAAAGAGCTTCGTGATTGACATGTGGCTGGCGAGAATCACACCCGACAAGGTCATGCCTCGGCTGCACAAGGTCGTCGAGACGGCGAGAGAGCAACACGCTGAAGCAATACGGCACGGGGACGGCATCTATGCAGTCGGCTACTGCGTTGGCGCACGGTTCGTCATGCACCTCGCCCAGGAGCGCGAAGCTACATCTGGTGGCGATGAAGAGGCCGCGAAGCAAAAGGAGCCACCCCTGATCAAGGCTGGCGCATTGGCCCACCCTGCCAGTGTCGCGCCTGACGACTTCAAGGGGCTCAAGGCGCCTCTGAGTTTCGTTTGTGTTGAAAATGATCCTTTGTTCCCAGACGAAGTTCGCTCAGCGGGCGAGGACCAAATGGCCGACGCAAACGTAGAGCACGAGGTGCAAGTGTACCCCGGTGTTCCTCACGGTTAGTCCTCACACGGAGAGCATATAATTACATCGCTAACAATGACAGGCTTTGCGGTGGTCGGCGAATACCAAGACCAGTCCATTAAGGATGCGCAGGCGACAGCGTACGACCAGATGCTCAAGTGGCTGCAGAATCACTAGTCCAAGTATCATGGTCTGGGAGACGTCTTTCTTGTAATTGATGAATGATGAGCACACTATCACGGAATGGTGCAGACTATCTTGCCCGAATTCTTTGCGTCCTCCATGTGCTTGTGCGCTTCCTGGATCTTCTCCCAGGTGAAGACTTCGTCCAGAATGATCTTCAGATCACCGTTCACAAAGGACGGAACATATTGCTCCAGACGGTCCCGCAACTTGCCCTGGTAATCCTCGTCGCGGCTGCGGAGCGTGCTGCCTTCAATGCGGATTCGCTTGAACAGGATCTGGCTGATATCGGCATCCGAAACCTTGCCACCACTCAGGGTACCGAGGAGAACGATCCGCGCATCGCGCGCGCAGACATCTAGGTTCTTTTGGAAGTAGTTTCCGCCCACAAAGTCAACAATGTAGTCGACCCCCTTGCCGTCGGTAGCCTTTTTGATCTCTTCGGCCCAATCTTGTGTCTTGTAGTTGAAAGCACCGGTGGCGGACAGCTTGCTCTTAATAAAGTCGCACTTCTCATCAGTTCCAGCCGTGGCGTAGACAGCCGATGCTCCCGCCAGGTGGGAAAGCTGGATGCCCGCGATGGACACGCCCGATGCTCCCGCGTGCCAAAGGATACTCTTGCCCTTCTCCATGCCAAGGATGAGATGGAGCGCCTGTGTGGCCGTAATCCACGTTTCGGGCACAGCAGCAGCCTGCTCCCAGCTGAGCTCATCTGGCTTCTTGATGAGCATCTTGGTGCTCACGCTGATGTACTCAGCATAGGCGCCGCCGTAGGCGAGGCCAAAGACGGCATCCCCATTCTTGAAGCCGTGGTCATTGTCACCGACGGACTCAATGGTACCGCTGAACTCGACACCAAGTGTGGACGGCGCCTGCGGAGGTAGAGGATAGCGGCCCACACGTTGGATGATGTCCATGCGGTTGATGCCAAAGGCCTTGATCTTGACAATGGCATTGCCAGGCGTGACCTTGGGCTTCTCAATGGAGTTGATGAACAAGTCCTCCGCCGAGCCCTTGCCACCCTTGATATCTAAGGCGTGTTAGTGCCCACTGCGCGTTCCTTTCTTTGAGTCGGTGATCGTACCAACAGCCTTCATCGTGTCTGCCATCTCGTATGAGTTATGCTCGGGACTGATCTGGTGTATGTCTGTTGAAGTGACTGGTGAAGATATCGGTCAAGATGGCATGAAGACGATAGAAATAGCGTCATCGCTACTCTGCGATGTCGAAGCCGCACTTCCGACGTCGATTGTCCGCAACTCCACTGACGTCATTGTTGGTGGTTGCAGCGCTTTATTAATACGTGAACGCAGTAGAGTCAGCGTGTTCAACCTTGAGCATCTGGGCTATTGACATCGTGTATTGACTGTCTTGAGATATTATTGTGTTTGTGCGGCCAAGCAGGCATCGAACTTCGATCAGAATGTACTCGGGCAAGTAGTCGACAATGGATGCCAGGAAAGTCCGCCATTGAAGATTGATCTGATGATAGTGGCATCCTCGAGACGAAAAACGTCGCGCTGGTATTCCCTGGCGTGCTTGTTCGTCAGTACTCAAGGGCGGAACGCGATGCCAGTGCAGTACGCGTAGCGTTGCGTACTCGGCTGCTTCTCCCGTACGACGTGGCTTTGAGGCCAACTCGACAGCTTCCGCGAAGAAGGCCGAGATAGAATGGAGACGCCATGGTCCGAAAGAACAGGAAAAGGCGCTGAAGAGTCGCACTGACGCTGTTGATGGACTCATACAAAGTCGTCGAGAAACTCTCCTCAGGATGCTCGCGTGACTACCACACCACAAAGGCTACTCGTCCTTCATGACGACCTTTTACGGTGCGCTTGGGAATACATGGTCATCTCACTTAACCTTGGAAAGCAAGCACGGGGGCGTTCTGTCGTTCGCATGATAGTCACGCCGATAAGGCTTCACATTGATCAACAAGATGAAGCGGTCATCAGTCTCTTTGGGAACCTGTCTGGAGCGTGTCCCGCTGTGAGAACGAGCCGCACCTCGTACAGGGAAATGAGGGAGTCCCACCTCCTGGCGGTCGGCTCGCATGCCGGATTATCGACAATGCCCACGCGAGGCAAGAGGATCGCGGGAGGAGTGGCCGCATGGTTGGCTGAATCCTAATTATCGCAGCCTCACCGGAAGCAGGCGATAAGGCTGGCTCACCAACGCGCGCTTGTGGTGCTTGTTGCTGTACGACGCGTGCTGCTGCTCCTGAGAGACGACCGTCGACGCGTCGGAGCGAATCAGCGGATTGTCATTGATCACCTCCACACAATCCGCGATGGGAAATTGCGCTTTGGCTTTCGTCCGCGGCGGCTCGCGCTAATAGTTTGTAGAAGTTCTGCAAGCCATTGAATAAGCTAGTAAGGCTAATTGAGAACCTCACGATCCAGAGATCAGTCGCTATCAACACAAATCAAAGCGGCAAGCTCAGCTGCGGAAAAGTAATGAACTATAACAGCGGCCCAGACGTAGGTAATGTGAAAAAGAGTCATTTCATGGCCGCTCAGAGCCAGGATGCATCATTCAGGCATTTGAGCGTCCCATATGGCTAAAATGGAGAGAACACGAGATAACCAGCGCCAACAATTTGCCACTGCTGCAGTTGAAACTTGAAAGAGGTGTGGGATCTAGATTGGGTCACCCTCGCTTCACGGCGAAGCCAAGTGAGGCAGGCAAAGGACACAGACAGCGATTCCGCCAGATCATCGGAAGAGCAGGGGTTCACAATTTTCCACGCCGCTGAGTGCTCCAACAAAGGGGCGATCAACTGCCTAAACAACTCATTTGTTGACTCCAAAAACAGCATCTGGGCCCCAGGCGATCTCGGCACCAGCCAGATGTGCAATCGGCGGTCGGTGAGCGGTATTACCGTATTAGAGAGTGTCGTTGATCTCCGGTTGCTCAATTAGGTACCAAACTGGATGCTTCCTAATTAAGCTCGTATTACCACCGAGGTGATTTCGGGGAAGATGCATTGTGAAAGTTTTGAACCAAAGGGCGACTGTGCTTCCTTGACAATGTCCAGTCGCGTGCTAGATTAGGAGATACCACGGGTGACGAGTCACTCGCAGGCTGCCATGGCCCATATGCAGTAATTAGGGCATTCATTCTCCGAAACGTGATGACCTTGCCGTAATTAATTAGTTGGTACGAATCATGTCTCTTGCTCACCAGATAGTCGGTGATCGAGTGCTTGAAGACGGAAGCCTCAGATAATAATCATCACCCGCTGCATTATGCACGAGAGATGCTGGACAGGCGGCACTGTAATTTAACCTCATCTGCACTCGTGCCTTGGTGGCGAGCGAATGAGAAGCTCCGCTGCAAATTATTCGTCAATGTTCCCCCCCTGCCGCTCTTGTAGTCGCCTGCAAGCCTGTGATGCTTCAACCAATAGCGCTTGTTCAGTCCGATTGCCGTCAGACGAAACGCCTCAACTGCAGGCAGCAGAACCAATTCATTCAATTGATGAGAGCTGAGAAAAGGACTGGAGGCTGCAGACGCAGAGAAGTGGCGTCAAGCTGGTCGAAGCTGTTATCGAGGTGCTCATGTCGCCCAGCTTTGACGGAGGCGCCCGTCTCCAGTGGGCGTGATAGCGCTGCCGCTCTGGTGCGCTAGAAGGACGCGGAGCGCCCTCGTACCTGCATTAGCGGGTGATACTGTGCAACTGGTGCCTGAGCTCCGTCCCTCCATCCCAGGAATAGCATCCGTTTGAGACGCGGTGGCAATCCGGCACCGGATTCATCGAATGTATGAACCGTCGCAACAGTTATCGACAGGGAGTGCGGAGTCTAGAACCATCCGATACAGACTTGTTGGATGGTAGCGCGCATAAATGTCCCGATGGACAGTCAGCTGAGCAGTAAACTGTGGGCAGTACGGTGGTGCTCGACAATTACCGGTAACGTTGTTCATGCCGTGAGAATTGCGTGCGCATCCACGTCCACGTACAGTAACCAAGATATTAATTTTTACTTCAAAAGACGAAGGATGATATTCTCGCGAAGGGTTTGATACCCTCATCAGCAGCTCGCTACATTCCCAGACATTCCGCCGAGACACTGTCCATGTCAGTTTGAGGTCGCAGATACGGAGATGACGGGGCCACGACCAGGGCCACATAATACGGCCAAGGATCCGAAGACAGTTTGGCACAGTGATAAACAGCACGGACAACAGTGACTGGCTTGGACTGCACGGAACGTTTTTCTACTGGAGATTGGAAGCTGGAAAGATCCGACGTTGCAACAAGGCGAGGCGAGCGCCGATGAATTGATTGCAAAGGTGCCAGCCAGGCCTGGAACACACGCCCCGGATGAATGTTCCTGGCGGGACACTCCCCCTAATACTAATTAAGCTCTTCCCCTATCAGCCGCTGCAGTGCCCTGTCGACTGAAGTGTCGACTCGGAGGGTAGGCCGGTGATTGGCTCCCCTGAGCTTCGACGTTCATCCAGTGCTGGTCCCACACCCACTGCAGTGACTGCACGGTCGTCCCGAATGCACTGCTGGGTTTGACTAACGCGTATTGGATTAGACGCCCCTCCCTCCCATGCTTGACCCCTGACAGACGGACGGACAGACAGACACCGCCAACCAAGCGACAGACCGTATAAAGATGCAGCCGTCGAAATGTCGTCCATCCCCCTCCTCCTCCTTCTCTCCTCACCCACACATTCACTCAGTACATACTGCTACACTACGCCCTGACTTTTTAGTCAAGTACTTTCGTTAAAACAACCAAACCAAACCAACTAATACCCCGAACTTTCGAGTTACCCTCCTAATACCGACAAGATGAAGTACTCCGTCGCTGCTATCGTCGCCGCCGCCGCCACTGGCGCCATGGCTGGTGCTCACAACGGTACCGTTGTCACCGAGGTCGTTGACGTCTTCGTCACCTACTGCCCCGGTCCCACCGAGATCACCCAGGGCACCAAGACCTACACCGTCACCGAGCCCACCACTCTCACCATCACCGACTGCCCCTGCACCATCACCAAGCCCGTGATCCCCACCAGCACTGTCGTCTGCCACGACTGGTGAGTACTCTCCGCCAACTGCTCTCTGAGGAGACCAGTCAGTCATTGAAGACCAATGCTAATTCTGCCAACAGCCCTCCCCACCAGAACACCACCATCCCCCAGGTTCCTGGTGTTCCCCAGCCCACCACCAACCTCCCCACCACCCCTGAGGAGTCTACGACCCCCGAGCAGCCCGAGGTCACCCCCGTCCCCGGTGCCGCCGCCAAGGTCGCTGGCCTCTCTGGCCTCGCTGGTCTGGCTGGTATTGCCGCCTTCTTCCTGTAAATCGACTACTTTCTTGACGACGCTTCGCCGCGCCACGTCTTGAAGTAGGCAGGCGACAGAATCTACGACCTTTCTACAAGACCAAAAAAACCAAAACCAACAACGATTCCCTTTGTTCGATTGATTTTGCGCAACGTTCTGGAGCGGCAAAGTGAACGACCGAAGATATTTTGTGGAGGGGTGATTTCTTGTCACATTGATTTACACAACCGGGGAGGTTGCGAGCACATACTTTAATCGGGTGGGTATATATATATATACGAGACAAATGGGCATAGACAATTCCTTCTTCCATGGGGAGGAGGCGTGGTTTACTTCTCAACAGGAGGGGACTTGGGAGTACTTTTGGAAGGAGACGATGAAAATCAACAACATTTCACACTCGAGAGGGACGAGACAATTACGTGTGTGCGGTCTTCTTGTTTTTCGGGTCTGGCTGCCCTGGGCGAGGGAACATGGGGAGCAGGGTTTGGTTACTAGCGATAGAAGCCAAGCTGGCTCTCCTGTTGGCCTCCTCGTCGGGCTGTCCACACCTGAGAAATGCAAAGAATCCCCTCTCGAGTGTCTGTTTCATCGGTCTCTGTACTCTTTATGAACTCTGGTCGGGTGTTTTTATGGTTCTCTGGACAATTTTGTATCAGTGTCGTTGTATCTGTAGCTACTGCTCGTACAAATAGGATGGCACTGCCAGGAGGCTAGTTTTGGCCCGGCACATGAACACTATCGCTCCTTTCATTTGACAGTGAGGTCGTTGATGAGAGCAGCACCAAGTAAGAACCCGCACGAGGCGGCCCTGGAATGCGACTCGTCCTGACACTCCCGTGTCTTTCGGTTGATTGCGACGACTCCAAGATGTCTTGCAACTTGCAATCGGCAATGGCGTTGGCGAGGTATGCGGACGGTGAGACCCGTCCCAGTGGTCTCAGCTGGGTCGACCATGATACAGGAGGAACGTTGACATTTCGAGTACAGCCATACGTATAATACAATGCGTCTTGATGAATATGATGTTAGTCCGACTTGTGAGCAGTGGGGGCAATAGACTCCGGGGCAAAGGAACGGCAATGTGCGGTTATGCGGGGAGCCGCTTTCCCCACGACCAACCCCAGATTCCATGTCGTCTGGACTGAACCTCGCCACATGGATTAACTTTCCCCAGCACATTGTTGACACTTGAGACACATCTCATATCCTACGCCAATTGAAAGCATCTGCACATGCTTTGTTGGAATCAAGCTTCCAGCAGACAGCGTCTACCCCCAGCGCAAGGAGCCTCGGCACTTCTCCTACCATAGACTGGCCAGTCCCCATTCCCAACGCTGCGTCATCGCGTAGTAGCAGGCTCACACTCAATCCTGTTCATTGAATTCGTCGTGCACGATGAACGACAAAACCACTCACGTCCAGGATGAGGTCCTCCGGCAAAGCCTAGCAGACCCTGAGGGTTTCTGGGCTCATCAGGCCGAACATCTCCACTGGCACAGAAAGCCCAGCACGACGCTGACGCAGAGCACAAAGACCCTCAAGGACGGCACTACCCACCCCGAATGGGCGTGGTTCCCAGACGGCGAGATATCGACATGCTACAATTGCGTGGATCGACATGTCCTGGCCGGACGAGGAGACGAGCCTGCGATTTACTGGGACAGCCCCGTGACAAAGTCGAAGCAGAAGATCACGTACCGGCAGCTGCTCGAAGACGTCGAGGCTCTGGCGGGAGCGCTCAGGGAAGAAGGCGTCAAGAAAGGCGACGTGGTCATGCTCTACAGTAAGCAAGCTCGCGCCCCCTATGATCCATGTCGAAAGAACTGATATACTGACCGGCAGTGCCCATGATCCCATCGGCTCTGGTTGGGATCCTAGCCATCAACCGCCTCGGCGCCGTCCACTCTGTCGTGTTTGGAGGGTTCGCGCCCAACGCGCTCGCGCAGAGGATCGATGCATGCCAGCCGGTTGCGCTCCTGACGGCGTCCTGCGGAATCGAGGGCAACAAACCCCCGACGCCGTATCGGCCACTCGTCGAGGAGGCCATCCAACTCGCCACGCACAAGCCCAGCCGGACCATCATCTGGCAGAGAGACGTGTCCAGATGGGCTCCCGTGGACCGCTCGCAAGGCCAGAGACCCTGGCAGAAGCTCGTCAGGGGCGCCAAGGCGAGAGGCGTCAAGGCGGAGTGTGTGCCCGTCAAGGGCACCGATCCCGTCTATATCATCCACACCTCTGGAACGACAGGCTCGCCAAAGGGTGTCGTCCGCGATGCAGGTGGCTACGCAGTGGGACTGCATCTGTCCATCGCGTACCTCTTCAACATCCACGGCCCCGGCGATGTCATCTTCACGGCTTCGGACATTGGCTGGGTGGTCGGCCACTCGTACATCATCTACGCACCACTGCTCGCGGGCGCTGCGACGGTGCTCTACGAGGGGAAGCCCGTCGGGACACCTGATGCGTCGGCGCTCTGGCGCATGGTCGAAGAGTACAAGGTCTCTGCGCTGTTCACGGCGCCCACCGCGCTCCGAGCCATCAAGCGTGACGACCCTGACAACAAGCACTTTCACCGGATCGGCGAGCGAGGCGGCCTCAAGTCGCTCAAGGCGCTCTTTCTCGCCGGGGAGAGGTCCGAGCCCACCATCATATCCATGTATCAGGAGCTTCTCGAGAAGCATGGCGCCCGCGACGCCCATGTCATCGACAACTGGTGGTCCACCGAGTCCGGCTCGCCCATGACGGGGCGCGCCCTCGTCCCGCACACGGGACACCACCGCCAACACGCGACGCGCGACCACCCGCCCATCGCCCTCAAGCCGGGCAGCGCCGGCAAGCCCATGCCTGGCTTCGACATCCGGGCCGTCGACGACGAGGGGAACGAGGTTGGGCGCAGGTCTATGGGCAACATTGTGCTCGCCACGCCGCTCCCGCCCACAGCCTTCCGAACGCTGTGGCGCGAGGAGGAGAGGTTCTACAATGGGTATCTGAAGCGCTTCAGGGGCAAGTGGCTGGACACGGGGGATAGCGGCTATGTCGACGAGGAGGGCTACGTGCATGTCATGAGCCGCAACGACGACGTGCTCAACGTCAGCGCGCATCGACTGTCAAGTGGTGAGTTCTTTATAGCTAGCCTTTGGATAATCTGCTAACTAACGCGTCCCAGGTGGCATTGAGCAGGCAATCGCCTGCCACCCTTCCGTGGCCGAGTGCTGTGTTGTCGGTATCCCCGATTCCCTCAAGGGACAGCTGCCGTTTGCGTTCGTCACACTCTCCTCGGAGCCACACCCAGCGTCCGTCATGCCGACAAAGGAGTTATTCGCCGAGATCCAGGATCTCATCCGAAAACAGGTCGGTCCAATCGCCACTCTGGGTGGCCTCATCCAGGGCAAGGGCATGATCCCACGCACGCGCTCCGGCAAGACACTCAGACGGGTCCTGCGAGAGCTCCTCGAGAACGGATCACAGGGCGAGTTCAAGAAGGAGGTGGGCGTGCCGAGTACAGTCGAGGATAGGGGCGTCGTGGAGGTGGCAAGGACACGCGTAGAGGAGTACTTTAAGGAAAAGGGGGCGACGCACAAGGCCAAGTTGTAAAGGGGCAGCCATTTTGTCGTAGCGGTTCCAGTATGCTTGCACGTTCAGGATATTCGAATGCATTACTCAATATCAACTCTGGTTGACTTGCAAGACTGTCTTCCCCAGACCACCCTTGCCATTGTACGTCTGTAGACATGCCTCGCGCACCTTTTCAACATCGCGCAGATTCACCTTCAACCCGATCACGGGCACAAGTTTGCCCTCAACCACATAGCCTCGCAGCTTGTCCAGGTCTCCTCCATTGGGCTGCAGGAACCAGTACAAGTACGTGACGCCCCAGCGCCACGCTCTCAGTTTCCGCAGACTGTCCGTGGCGTCGAGGAAGAGGCGACCGACGAGGGGAATACGTGGATTGTCGGGCCGCTGCATGACATTGGACGCCTGCAGCGTGGACGCAGAGGGTGTTGTGGAAATGGAGACGATGAAGCCTGTCTTGGGCACCACGAGAGACAGAAACTGCATGGACTGGCCAGTCGTGTCGAAGAGGAAGTCGACCGAACGTGGCGCAATCACTTTCTTTGGATCCTCCTTGGTGTAATCAATGACTGTTTCGCGGAAGAAAGACACATTGATCAGCAAGCTGGTTGCGAAGACCAGGGAGAGAAGAGGATAGGTTCCGATACTTACTCTGATCGACCACACCTTCGCCCAAGAGTCGAGGGACTTGAGAAACCTTGGAGGTCGAGACGGTTGTAATCACCTTGCCGGCTCGAAAGACGTTCTTGGCCAGTTGACAGGCGAAAAGCCCCGTACCGCTCACTATTGTCCACCTCGGTCAACACGACACTCTCCAGTCGTCTACGAGGTTCCTTGGTACTTACAACCTGCAGGCACAAACACCGTCTTGCCCTCCAAAGACCCCTCATACTTGTTCAGAGCCTGGAGCGCCGTGACACCCGCCAGAGGCATCGACGCAGCGTCACTAAAGGATAAGCTGGCGGGCTTGAGAGCCACAAAGGACTCGGCGCACTTGGCGTACTCGCTCCAAGACCCCCGGCTGGCTTCCGGCAGGCGCGTGTAGACCTCATCGCCAACTTTGACGCGGGTGACTGCTGATCCGACCTCGGTCACCACGCCTGCTGCGTCGTAGCCGATCTGATAAGGGAATCTGCATGTGGCTCGTGAGCTTGGGACGGCCAACGGCGAGGGGCCAGCAGGCAGGTAGGTAGGACCTGGGGTTCGAGGCTCACTCACTGTTCCTGGACTGCCTGCTTGAAGACGCCGGCCGCCTTCTTCACGTCTACGGGATTGATGCTTGCGGCGTGGACGCGGATGACGACGTCAGTCTGCTCGGTGACCGTGGGTCGCGTCACCGTGGACAGCTCATACTTGCTCGGGTCGGTGAATTTGGGAGCCGTAATGGCTAGCATGGTTTCAGCCATGGTTTCGATGGTGGGACGACGTTATTGTTGGCTATGTTCAGGAAGTAAGTGCTGGGCGATGATGCCGAGGTTTGTGGCCTTTTCTGTCATGCGCGGGTTTGGCCCCAATGCTTCCCTAACTCCGTCTGCGCCGCCAGACCTCATCCATCCCATTGATAGCGCCTCACATAGCGCACTGCCCAAAGGAGCTCAATGTTGGCAAACTCTCAAGTCTTGAAACGTTGGTGTTCCAATCTGGCTCTGTGGCAGCAACACTCAACTCATCCGCCTTGATCTCCCCGGCCCTCCATACTCAGAGCCATTGCCTCTATCAGAACGCCATTACCCCATGCCTTCGCGACGATGCGTCCCCGTGTTCCCACAAGGATGTGCGTGCGCAACATGACTAGTCATCCATCAGCTCCGTGCATTGGCCTCGAGTGTTGTCGCACGATGCCACACTTCCAGTCGCACAACCCCGAGTCGTCGCACAAACACCTACCACAAGAGCCCAGTTCTGTTGCAATGTGTCGGGGGAGGACCGGAGGGGAGCGTACACGAACGACGTGAGGCTGGCTAGATACGAGCTTTTGCGCAATGGCGGTGTGTCGCAAGTCATTCGTCGGGATGTCAACCGATGGTCGTGTGTGACCGCCGGCTGCTGATGCGTATGTGTCCGTCCCCTATCCCGGAGCAAGTGATCGTGTTGCACGCTGACGGAGATAGGGCCACGGGGATGGGTCACGTTGCGCGAATGCCATCTGCCGGAGGTGAACGCCCGTTTCGAAGGCCACTTGTCCCACGTGACGGTGTCGATGACAGGCACATCCTGACCGCTTGTTGCTGATTCATTGTCATCCATGATCGTGATCATTACGTCGTCTTCTTCATTGTCGTTCCATGTATCTCGTCATCCATGGGAGGTTGCTTGGCATACAGTCCATAGACACTCCGCTGTGACTTTGGGACGACCTTCAAGTCGACAAATCGTGCTTCGGGCAAACGCTTGCAGGCCTTGAGGCTTTCCAGTACCCTGTATGCGGTCAGTTGCAAGATCTCGCACAGCATGCTGATGGGGATGAGATGAACGTACCACTCAACGCCAACAAACTTGACTCCCACGCCTCTCATTTTGCGTATCTCCTTGTCGAGTTTACCTCCTGCCAGCCCGCCCCCAGCGCCGTAGCCGGCACTATTGGGTCTTCCCACGATGACATGTGTGACTTTTCTGCGTCCCAGATGAATCGCCATTTGACCCCCGTTCTCGCTCAGTACTTGCTTGAGCTTGTGGTCGGATATGTGAGGGAATGTGCTTCCGTTGACATACACCACCACGCCCTGGAAGATGCCTTTCTTCGCCTCTTTTTCTTCGGCCTCTTCGTGCTCGACCTCACCTTTGCCCACTTCTTCGGTAAGTTTGGGTGTGCTTTCCCTCGAGGCAGGCCTCATGAGCATGTCAATGACGCTCCTCCCTTTTGGCTCCTCTACGACTGCCCCAATTCCCTTGTCGAACCCCTCCGCTCCAGGACCCCATGTGTCGCCCAGCCGTTGCCCTCCACTCCCACCAGCGCGGAATTGAGAGGTGAGCTTCCGGCTGCGCGACTCGCGCCACCCAGTACTGGAGCCAGGCGTGTTGTCGGGGCGCTGGTGACCGGTGCCAGATGAGTTCCATGGGTCAAAGTTCTTGCCGTAGCGAGGTTTCGCGGCAGGCGGGATGGTTGGTTTGGGGGGAGGCATTTCGATGCTGGCTCTCAGTGATGGGTTCTTATGTAGCAATGAGGTGATGCACTGTATGCTTGACAAGCCCCTGGAGCGTCCTTGCGAGGCAAAGCTTCACGATAGGAGGGAGAAGGGAATGACATCGAAATAGCCCTTCAACAAGGGAAGGGGGTAACCCAGGAGTGGGACGCGATGGAGTTTGCACGTGTCATGAGCATTGACGCAATTGTTGCGCGGGATCACCTGACAGCGATACGTTGGCAATTGAGCTACCCTATCATGGGTACTGGTCCTATTGTTCCACGACATCAACGACAAGTCGCAGGACACGGATAACCACGGCTGAGGTACTGAGGCAAAAGAATGCTTTTTCTATCGCAAGAAGTCACAGTATTTTTTTATTTATTTTTTTAACGGTCTGCAATCAATCTAAACGATACCGTCGCTAGTTGTTACATCAGCAACCTACATGTACGTGTGCATGCGATGTTCACAGTCCACTAACCTGTGTGACAACACACGAGGCAATTTTTCTCACAATGTTGGGTTCAATATAAGCATTGACTTGCCCGAATGCTTTCGGTGGAAACCGTACCATAGCAAGCCTGAACCATGGTGTGGTTTGCATGGGCACTACGCTTGCGGGCTAATACTCTCCCTCGCATATTGCCAAACCGCACTGGTAGATAGATCTCGACCACCCAAGCCCCTTACACAACGATGAGAAAACTCTTCCTACGGGCGCGCCGATCATTCGCCGAGGGAGAAATGAATCTTGCCGCAGTCCAGATCGGCCCCGAGGACTAGAGCATGGTCAGGGCTCATTGTCCCGTGGAAAGGAAAATGCAGATGCTACCCCTTTCTGCCACTGTCAGGGGCTAGGTAACATTCATGTCCCTCCTGGTCGAGGCTGAGCCCGGCGGCCCCCTACGCCACTCCTTTCTAGGGGTCAAAGGAAAAGGCCTTTCACGGGCCGTGGACATCACCGATCCGTCCCAGTGTCTTGCCCGTAACTGGGACTGTAATAAATCGTCCATGGAGATGGGAGTCTGCATGGGGCGACGCTGCATAATCGCTGTGCTGCCTTGCTTCACAGCGGTCAAGACCTGCTATTCTGGCAGGCACATATGCGCAACATACCTACATGTGAGTGCCACTGCACATTTCAAAGTTCGCAGCTTTCCACAGGGAGATCACATGCCTATTGCCGGATCGCCGTTCCATGGCATATGCGTACGTGCTATATCCAGAACGTCGGCAGGCGAGGGCAGCGCCAGGACACGACCGACGTTGCTTGCGAAATATAGACAGCCTCCTGGCGCTGGTCTCGCAGCGCCGCCGGCTATTCGCTCGACCCCTCTCCTACAGATGCACAGTACAAATAGGAGCTGACATGGATCGGGGCCCTGACCTTGGCACAAATGCTGTGCTACGCCGCCGACACGGCTCACTGGAAGACTCGGGCATATGCCTCATCGGAGACGCATTTGTTGGTACTCTGTTGGTTGTCTCCGTCACGTCTGTGCATGAAGAGTCCTGTGCGCCGTCAGACCATGTCTTGACACCCCCCGTCAAGGATCTTGCGCAGTCGGTGGCCATGGTCTCGGAGGGGTTGGAGACTAGACGTCAATTTCCCATTGCCACAAGGTAAACCATACAGCAGAACGGATTGCCATGGTGGGTTGATGGTGTGCCTGTGACAATGAGCACGACCACTCCCGGAGGAGATAATAATGGCCACCCACGACCTGTCCAGTGCCCAGTGGGTGTGCTGCCTGGCGGGAGGGCTAATGTACGGTGGGAAGATGCTGTCGCCAGATCTTCATGCACCGCAGCTGGTCCGTGTCCCCCGGTGCAGGCAGCGGCTGCATAGATGGTATGGCGCCGACTGTTGACGTTGGCCGTTCAGCGGATGGTACCAGCCGTAACCAGGCGGCTTCGTGAGAACCGACAAGAGCAAGACCTGCTCAACCCCGAGGGAGCTTGAGAGAGAGCCAGGAGCGTTTCAGACCAAGACCACGCGTAACGTCGTGCGAGGCTCACGGCCCAAGAGCTCAAAGGTGAACCCGATAGACATGCCTTCATGCATATACGGTCCTCAAGGCAATGCTGTGGAACAGCCCTGCCCAGAACCCATCGACAGCCGCAAGGCGCAAGCCACCAGCGGCAAGCATGCCTGACAGGTGGTCCATTCTGTGTCCCCCCAAGGCGCTGCTGTGCTTCAGTAGGGCTTATTTTGGTGCTGCAACGAGGTAAGGGCTGCAAGATCTGTCAACCGAGGCGGTTCTTGACCTGCTTCTCCTGGCTGCCATTGCTGCCACGATCGCCGTGCGTCTTCGGAAGTGTCATTGGTGGGCGCCAGGCTCCTCATGCACAATCATGTAAGGAGGGTGGTGACTGCGGTGAGGTTGGCTGCCCCCCAAGCGAGTTGCAACTCAGAAAACGTGTCCGCCAGAACCACCCACTTTTGAACTGGCGGTGTAGGATCGCACCAGCCAGCAATGGCAGCCCGAGCTTTACGTGGATCGTGTCGGGACTTGTTGAGCGGGCAAGACACGCCGGCGCCATTAAAATCATACAGACAGACACTGTTTGTCAAGCGACACAAAGACATCCTGCGTCCCGTGCCGTGAAGCCTTGTTGGTCGGTACTTCTGGTGCGGGCTAAGGAGCTTCCTATGCCTTTTAGGACGCGGGAACCAGCTTCACGCATGCGTACGTTGCGCCGGACAGCTGCGCGGCCCGCTACACCGCTGCATCAGCACGCCTTCTGCCTGGTTATCGTGCTCAGCTGTTACCAAGATCTGCAAGGTGGTGCCCGCGCAGGACGGGTCAGTGAACCAACCAGAATGATGGGCCGGCGATGATGATTATTGTACGGTATACAGGTAGTGCCATGTGCAACTGTGGCTTCAGCATGACCTTCCTCTCATTACGGGACGAAGAACTCTTGTGACGCTTTTGCGGCATGGCAGTGTGCGTCGCCAAAGTCGACAACAACGGCGTCCGTCTTATTATTAGCCAACGGGGAGGGGTTCGTTCGCCAGCTACGTGGTGGTGTGCTTGAGACGTGGTGGCAGTTCATTGGACCGAGACCCCAAGATTGTTGTTGACAATACGCCACGAAGGCCGCCATAATGGGCCGCCTCTTTGGAGAAGTGCGCCGATGTCTGGTACACATCTCTGCTCGTCGTTGCGATGGCTCAGCAAGATCTTGTGCTCTGGATGACGAGCAATTCTGTGTTTGAGTTGCAAGGATGACAGGTCAAGCAAGGTTTTGTTGGAGAGTTCATGTTGGTCCCGTGCTCTGTTCTCGGGGCACCGACGACGCGGGACATTAGAATCTACAGACAACCAGCCAACGAGTTGTTGGTTGAGGTTGTAGAATTCCATGTGCATCCTGACAATGGGCTAGACTCGCCAGTCGAATCAGAGGGTCGATTTTCACCGGCGTTGGCACTTGCATATGGTCAAGGACAGCCATGAGATACAGAGGTCCAAGGTACGCCAGAGCTCTCTGCGTTACCGCCATGAAGCGACAAAATAACCGCGGAATCGATCAAGACCTTTGGGGGGCACACACGCCTGGCACTGTGGCAGGGTTCCCCTTGTCCAGTGCGTGTGGATATGCTGTTTCCGTGATTGGCTTTGCTTTAGGCCTACATAGCCGCTGTGCATATCCTGCAAGTGCTCGAGCCAACGTGCCCTTGGTGCGTGCGCCGTGCGGCTTGGGCGGCCATCCCGCTCGATCATCCCCCGCTTGACTTTTTGAGACGGCGCTGCAGGGACTTTGGCATGTCTCGAGTCCCTCGGCGCAGCAAGATCTGGTCGGAACGATGCTGCGGTGCTGTGCAGGACGTTTGATGGTAGAGTGAAGAAAACGTCGGACCTTTCACCATTGATTCGAACACTCCCAGGACTGGTTCAACAGCAGCGCCTCGAGGCAGCGAGTCCGAGAGTGAGACACATTAGACGTAAATCGCACGGAATAGTAGCGACAGGCTTGGGTACTGTACAGCGCCGATACCACTACGTATAACCACAAGCCACCGTAGGGTCTCCAATTGGCAGGCCATCGTCGACCTGGCATCTGACGAACCAGTGCCAAGCGCCTGGCGCCGACCACTTCGACAGGTTGTTGCTGCCAGTGCTTCAGGTAGTATCATAGCCTGCTCAGTCCAAATGGACGCGTGAACTGCATCGTCTCTGACCACAAGCGGCTTTTTCTTTGATAGTTTCAATGACCTGCATATCGAGCCTCAAGACATGCGTACCGCTGCATGGCGGGTAACCGGAAACCTGAGCCACTACAACGTCCCGAGCCGAGGCGTTGCATGCAAATCTTGAGATGCGTCTGGATGCTGGGCCTAATGCTTGTTGTTCGCCACCAGGCAATTGTGCATTGCAATCTGCATACTTGCAGTCGATTACACAACGCCTTGCTGAACGACAACTCAAACTGTTCTGTGTCGCATAGTATAGGAATTGATGGCGATCAGAAGCAAGCGAACCTCATTGCTTCTACTACTCAGCCTCGAGTATCCGTAGAGTGAGACATCTCCAGCCTGGTTGCACACCGGTCCTCCTCACCAGTATGGTAGCGTCCCAACATCGCTTTGTCACGGTTTGAATGTCGAGGGGTCCAACAAGTCCGATTCGTGCTCGTACCACCCTCTCCAATCCCTAGCCTCGGCCAGATTGCGCAAGAGGGCTTTACAGGGACCGGGGCGTAGCTCCTGGTCTTGCTTGGCGTCGGCGCGAGCTGCTGTAAGAGTAGAAAATGAGTGGACCTGGGAGCGTTGTTGAGGAGAAAGGACTCTGGAAAGCGAGAAAGAGAGATAGAGCGGGAATATGAGGGTGGCTGGCGACCGTGCCGGTACGCACAAACTGCCCGTCAGGCGCCATGACAGTGCGAGGATGAAGGCCCGGTGCTCTCACAGTCGATCCGTCCTCGAATTCAGCCGAGGGGGCAGCAAATCCATGTTCGTCCGACGGAAAGTAATTATTTCGCGCATTGTGCGGGGCAGTGAGATGGGTGGTGGCCCTGTCGTTCGCGAGCCCGTGGACAGGTTCATCTTTCGAAACATTGACGAGGCTGGCAATGCTCCTGCGTCTCGATCAATTGCAAGACTGATCCGGATTGTCGTCCAAGGCTGATGATGCGCGATGGTGAAACCACACACAAGGGACTGGATGGAGGGCAAGGGCAACTGTCAGGTATGCACAATCACGTGCACAGCTCAACTGCAAAGTGGCTGGCAAGGCTGGGCAGGTGCAGGCAGGCAAGGCCGCTAATCAAGGGCACGCAGGCACGATGGACCAGCCTACTTTTTTAGCTTGGACGGAATCTTGCATTGGGGCGCATCGTACGGATAACCTCCATCCGTTCGTGCATCTGGAGACCCCACCTGGCGTTGCGAAGATCACCAGCCTGCGTCAGGTCAAAACTTCAAACTAGAGATACGTACGTTCGCAAATGCGATGCTTCGATGATTGCGCTTCTAAGCCATGCTGCGGATAAGAACTCCTGCCATGCCATGCCTGGCTCAAGAAATGTCCAATGAACGGCGATGCGCTGTATAGTGCGTATGACGATTTAGCTCTAGCACTTGGACAGTAAAGACTCAACCACCAAAGTCAATTCGTGGCATAATTATAAAAATAGCACTATAACTCCTCATGTCTACCCATTCGCAACGTCATTTGCTGCTTCTTGAGACATGTGAGCAAGCAAGCGGTGAGAAAAGTTGGAAACTATGGCATTTGGCGATTCTACGACCTCCGAGTGTCTCACCAGATCGGGCGCCGGCTACGAACACGCGAGGCCTTGGAAGACACTGTCTCTCTCAGGAAACCTTGTCTTCTGAAACACTGTCGGCAAGACTCGGTCTGTCCCAGTGATCTGAGAGAGATGGCATCCATCGGCTCCTCCCACCGAGCATAGCAAGCTTCTAGTGGAGTCAAAGTAGCTCCAGCCTTCATGTGCCTAAGCTGCATATAAGCAGGTACGGAGTACAGATGTCTGGAGTGCAGTGCACCGCGGAGAACGTAGGTATGTTATTAGTGTGCATCAGGCTCCGACTCGTGGTTGCTATCGTCTGGAGCGAATGGCTGAAGCTTGACGGAATATACTACGTGGACTAGAAGTCTAGCTCACGAGCCAGCGAATTGACTTTCCAGAGCGAAAGCTAAGCAGACATGATTGGCTCCGTAGCCACTGAGGACATCCAGCCACCTCACAGACGACGAATTGCGCGCTTATGAAGATGTCTTGCTGTGTGTTGTTATTACGCGCTTGCACAGTATCCAAAACAATCACTCTGACCGGTCGAGGATGCATAGCGGTAGGTGCTGACGAGGGGCCGGCCGAAGAAGGACGTGGTGTAATGCAGCGGTCAACAGCAGGGATAGGTATCTTGCCAAGCATTGGATCCACCGCGTCTGCAGTTGACGGTGGGGGGAAGGGAAGGTAGTGTCCCGCAAGATAAGGACAGCAGGATGAGAATCGTGAGATGTCGAGAGACATAGTTGATACTGTGAGTTAGCCATGGATAAGGAGAAGCAGTGCGTACGACAGTAGCTACTAGTATCGCGCCTGGTCGCTGCTATCCATCGCAAAGATACCGAGTTGCTGCCACGATGAGCTTCCAAAATAACCGATTTAGGCCACGGGACGGGTTCATGACTGACCCGAAGCTGAACAACACAATGTTCACAGGCCCCGCTTGGGATGGACATCCCCCCGCCGTCGCGCTCAATCCTTTTCTTGCCGACTGGACGGACGGCCGAGTCGAGAGACAAGTGGTGCCAGCGCACAATCATCAGAAAGCGGGACGATGGACTGGACTGATCCTGGTGCGACGCTGCTCCACTCTGGCGACAAGGGTCGCGCTCGAGGACGAGACCCTGGTCATCACACGCACCCTGGCATCTCAGGCCACTGAGGAGGGGGGGCTGGTGGTGTTTTTAAGGAGCTCGGCCGGGGCCTTTTGGAGGACATGGAGGGCATCATGATGCTTGCTCAACAAGCCGAGCCGTGCGAAGCTAATACGAACTGTTGTCTAAAATAATCATAAGCGAGCAGCAGGAAGAGGCTGGTGGTTATCATAGAGAATCGAGGTTTACTATTTAGTTATCAGGGTCCTGTCGCCGCATTGTCGATTTGGCTGTGTGTGTGTCTGCCAAAAGTGTGCATAGCATAGCATAGCATGACATGTGCATCGCTGGGCAGACCGGCATATAGGGCAATAGTGTGCATAACTCCGGGCGTCTGGATTTCCTAGGTTCTGTGGTATGTCCATATTCATTAGTCGCTTGATATGCCGGCAGAACTGCAGTTCTTCCGAGCAATAGTGCTCGTAGTTGTGAGTGCGCACGAGATTGTCTGACGTTAACAAGTCTCATCAACAGACACGGGTGAACGAGTGAGACTTCTCTAGACGGACCATCCTGATATTTACCTCGATCTGGGTAGGCGGGCAGGCCATTTGCTGTATTGTTACGGAATCCATTTGCGTAGCTTCATGTTCCAACCCCGTCCATGACTAGCCGAGAAGCGTCGTTGACAACGTGAGCAGGCAATTGCTGCAGCAGTTTGTAGGATGTGCGTTGGTACGGATTGCAGCCACGAAAGTGATCCTTGCTAAACAATAATTATCCTCATGAAGGTGACCTCAAAGACTCAAACACACATTACTCGTCGTAGGCGTATCAATTGACCTCAGGCTTCGTGATCCTACCGTGTCCAGACAGTGCGAGCGAGAACAAAGTAGCGCGACTTTTGCAAAACTAGACCCACTCTGTCATGGGTCCGAGCCTGATAGCCCCTGTCGTGGTCTCCACGGGCGCCATCCACTCCTCTTCGCTGGCCGTGTACCGTCTGGCAGTCGGTGGGAGAAGAAGTAATCAGTCACGACGGGTGCCTGCGCATTGTAGTCGATGGATGATCGACGGCGTACGAAAAGTTGAGGGCGTAAGGGACCATTATGTCGGGGGATACTGAAGAACCAATTTGACCACTTCCACCCCCAAAGAGGGCCATCACTTCGACGGAGATAGGCTGCTGGCTCGGGGTCAATCAGAAGGCTACTTGTGCTAACCAACGGCCAGCCTCCAGGCGTTAACGGGAGCAATCCTGAGCTTACAGCGTGCTCTAGGGGGCTCGTCGGAACCCCCCGTCCATGGTAGGCCAATGAGAGCGGGAGAAACCCCCATTCTATCCAATCCATGTCTGCTCTTCCGCTATGGACGGAACCGTTTCGACAGACACCCCCCGGCCAGTCCATCTCACTCACTCCAGTCACTCTCACTGTGACTTCTGAGGACTGGGCCAGGGCTGAGGCCAGGCTCTCTTCACTACTACAGTCACTCAAGCGTTCGTAGTTCTCGCGCGCTGGTCGCTTCGCTTCTCTCATCAGCCAGCCAGCCAGCAGCCAGGCCCAACCTCCACAAACAAAACCATCCCCGGTCCCGCACTGTTCATCTAGCTGCTCGCCCTCCTCTCTTCTCTTGATCCTGCCCGTCCTCGCTCACGACCTCGTCTCTTCGCCCTCTCCTCATTCTCGCTCGGGCTGCCGACCTCGTTTATTTCCTCCCCAAGCTCGCCTCTCCTGCCCTCGTCGTTTTTCCTCTCTTCCCCCTCTTCTCTGCTTTCGGGACAACGGGCATCTGATTTGGCTTGCCTGACCTGACCTGACCCAGTTCTGTGCGTTGGTGAGTACAATTGCCCAACCCACACTCATGCAGCTTTCAAGCAGGCCTACTCCGCTTCATGCGTCCTCCCGCTCGCTCTCCTCCATCCTCGCCCATTTGGCCTGGCCCTCCCCTCCTTGATTGCCTGCAAGACCAGCAGAGCTTCGCAGAGGCGCGCGGCGCGCAGCTACACTACACCTCTCTCATCTCTCCTTGTCCTGCTCAAGCTCAATCCTTCTCGGGATCTTCAACGCACGCTGCTAACCACCCATATGCATTGCAGTAGCGGCCACTTGTTGACTCCCACGCCGCCTCATCTCATCTCGCCAGGCACAGGAAACCTCCAGTAGCCGCACGTCCATCGTTTCTGCGTGTCTCGTCGTCGTCGGCCCTGGCCTCGTTTCTCGCAGCGATTGACCATTCTGCAAGCAAACGACATCCGTCGATCCATTCGCTACGAAACCACTTGTTCTCGATATCGCTTCCTTGATCGCGAATCGCACCTGCAGCGCCGGCTTGTCTTTGTCGCACCGTCCTTTGACCGACTCGCTCGAGTCTCGTACCAGTTGTCTCTTGGTCCCGTGTTGCGACACTCATCCTGTTCAGCTTACGCGGCGTGTTACGATTGCAACGAACTGAGTTGATGCCCTGTTACGAGTAACACGCATTTGCACGAACACACGCCCAGTCGACACCCTGAGTACAAAGCGTACTCACCCTCAACGATACTACACATTGCGATACCTGCGTCCAACCCAAACGCGCCAGAACGTTTCCTCGTCTTGGTCGACGCAAGTTCTTGTGCTTGTTCAACGCGGTCTTTGCTTGCGGAAAAGCGCTAGCTGTACTGGTCTGTCCGAGCTCATCAACTCTCGATATCCTGGCCTGGACACCACTAGTGATCGATACCACTAGAGCGCCTGCGAATTTGGTGCACCTTGCTCCTTATCGATCCCCCCCTACTCCGTGCGTATGAACAGCGGACAGACTTCGTCGCTTCCCCCCTTGCCACCTAGCCACGCATACTCCTCTTCGTCCTCATCCCCACGGCTAGGCTCGCATTCCTCCTATACGTCTGTTGCCTCCTCCAACGGACCCCGAACGCCCCCTTCTCTTCCCGACAACGCAATCACTGGACCGGCCACCGCCATCTCAAAGTACGACGCCATGAACAGCGGCCCACCGCACAGTGAGATGTATTACCCACAGCACATGTCCGGGGCACAGCAACAGCAGCCACCAGTCTCCTCGGGGCCCATCAGTCACTACTCCAACCAGCCTCCGATCATGCAGCATGGCCAGCCGTACTCCAATGGCGGCCCGGCGCCGTACTCTTATGCGTACGGCAACGGCATGACCTCGCCATCTGGCGGCCACATGCCCGGCGGCCTGCCGAACCAGAACGTTCTGCCTCTGCCAGGTCAGGGTGGCGTGCCGCCCGGCTATGCTTTTGATTCGACAGGCCAGAACCCCCCTCCAGGCATGAAGCCCCGTGTCACGGCGACACTCTGGGAAGATGAAGGCAGCCTGTGCTTTCAAGTCGAGGCTCGTGGTATCTGCGTCGCGCGTCGTGAAGGTAAGCGTTTTCGCGTGCTGGTGTACATGTCGGGGCTGACCAAAAGTAGACAATCACATGATTAACGGAACCAAGCTGTTGAACGTGGCTGGCATGACACGCGGGCGACGTGACGGTATTTTAAAGAGCGAGAAGGTTCGCCACGTTGTCAAAATCGGCCCAATGCACCTCAAAGGTGTCTGGTATGTGCCTCATTTGATTGCGCAGTGAGACATTTCCCCAAGTCATTTGCTGAGACATGATCAGGATTCCCTATGAGCGCGCCCTTGACTTCGCCAACAAGGAGAAGATCACCGAGCTCCTGTATCCGTTGTTCGTGCACAACATCGGCGCACTGCTCTACCACCCGACAAACCAGAGCCGCACAACGCAAGTCATGGCCGCTGCTGAGCGTAGAAAGCAAGAGCAGGGCCAAGCGTTGCGTTCACCCACTGGCCAGGGCAATTCCGGCTCGCTGCCTTCGATACAGCCGCCGCATTCCATGGGCATGCCAGGGTCGCAGCCCCCGCTCCCCTCCAGCAACATGGGCCGACCTTCTCTCGACCGCTCCAACACATTCCCAACACCCCCTGCGAGCACCTCTAGCGTCATGCCCAACATGGGCAACTCGGATAGCTTTGGGTGGCAAGGGCAGGGTATGAACGGGTCTCAAGGTACCAACCCCATCGCCATGGACAATGGCCTTGGCCATGCTCGCTCAATGCCAACCACACCAGCTACCACCCCGCCCGGCTCGATGCCTTCCTACCACTCTAGCGGCCAAGGCTACGACAACTCGCGCTCTCTCTATAACACGGCTCCCAACCAGCAGTCGCCGTACGCGCCGTCGACCAATGGCTCACAAGATCGCCTGTACAGCCATGCGCACGCCTACCCGAAGCATGAGATGGGTCCCCCGGCGAGCAGGCCATCTGGCTCGGGCCCCATGGGTGAGGGCGACTCCAAAGCCGGCATCCTGCCCTCGGAGAACGCACCGCAGCCGCACGGCGAGGAGGAAGGCGAGCACGAGCACGATGCCGAGTACACGCACGACAGCAGCGCGTATGATCACAACAGGCCCTCGTACAGCTACACCGCCCCTGGCGTAGGCGCCTTGACTAGCGACAACAACAATGTCGACCCCAACATGACGGGCTCACCTAACCACCACCCTGGATCTGGCCGGGCCACCCCCCGCACGGCAGCGCAGCCTCAGCCCTACTACTCCCACACGTCGGGCTACGGCAGCTCCCCGCGTGTGCAACAACACCCATCCCACTTCTACAACGGAGTGAACGGTGACCGTCCGGCCACAAATGGCAGCACGGGCGGCGATGTCTATGCGCCTCCCGCTGAGATGTCCAACTCTATGCCCAATGGCGGCTACGCGCCCCAGCCACCCATGAGCAACGCTCCTGTTGGCGGTGTCAAGCGCGGCCGCGAAGACGAGGAGCTTCCCCGCCAGATGGGCGAGCTCCCTGGCATGGACCTCAAGCGTCGGAAAACAATGGAGTCGAATCTCCCGGCTCCCCCCTTCGACTCGATGGGACCACGGCCTGCGTCGTCAGTTCCCAGCGACCCACGACCGCGGTAGGTGCATCACCTCCGCATCTGCCGCCCATTGCCCGCAGACGGCAGTGAAGAGTCGATTCGGAACCGTTGACGCGCCACGACCACCGGTGCTCCCATGCTCCCAAGCATGACATGCATGCCTTGCTCGTCATGGGACGTACACGGTTTATGAGATAAACGCTTCCACAAGAGGATATAATTCCGGACGAAGCGCCGCCCCCGCGCAATTTGCACGCGATCATCGTTATTTGCCTTCATCGACATACCGGGCCGTTTCATGCGGGAAACCATCCTTGCTCCCTTGTAACGACCACCAAGGGGCTTGCGATATCCCCGACGGCCTCATCGAACGATTGCTATTTCCTTGCTACATGTTTCTTGCTCATTTTTCCTTGGGTGCTCATCATTCCACTGCCGATCTGATCCAACAAGAGGCGACAATTTGGACCGAGAGGCCGGGCCATGTGTGGGGGAATACGGCTACGACAACTGTCTGTTCATTTTTTTCATTCTTTTTCATTTCTCCTGATGACGACCTTATGACCACGTTTGCTTCTGAAAAGCGCCAAAGACGGTGTGTTTGGATACTTGATTACCAGGTAACGACTTTACGAGAGACAAATAAAAGCATTGTAGTTGATACGTCTGGCCGTGCAGGTTGCATGTGTGTAGCTTGAAGCATCCGATCCGATTGAAGTGTCTTACAATATAAATTACCATTCTAGTATCCAATGGAGGGCTGGCTGTAATTATTGTGAGCATTGATCTATCGCGTTACATGAACGCGCCCAAGATCACGTGTGTGGTCAAGTCCGTTGTCGTGGCAACGGCGCGCATGTCTTGCAGCATCCAAACAGTCCAAAAGTGATGATATTTCGCCATGAACAACTGAACCTCTCATCAACGCCTGCGACATCTATTTGGTTTAAAAAAGTTTCGACACATATATCACTGTGCACCAGCGGTCTCGTGTCTTGTTTCACTATTTCATGCATCATACACAACGATGGCTACGCCACTCTCGCCCGCTATGAACGGGGCGTTGAACGCTCCATCACCGCTCGCAACGCAGCGAAACGAGCAGTACGATGTCCAAGCCTACACAGCGCCGCCAGCCTTGTCTCCCGAAACAGATGACGATTCCTCGCCATTCATATCGCGTATCGAAAATGACCGAGAGAACCCATCCCCGTCGAAACCTCGCACCGACCTTCTCCAGGAGAACATATCGCCTAAAAAGTCACAACATTCGCGCGTGCGGTCTGGTGCCGAGATGTCGCCACTCAAAATTCTCGCCGACCGCAAATCTCCTTCGCCGTTGCACGGTGATATGCCACCGCCGCCTACCGCAAGAAGCCCCAGAAAGATGTCCCCCGAGAAGAGGTTTCCTGTTAAAGTCAGCAACCCCATTCCCGAGGAACGAGAGGTCGATCTCGAAGACATGCTCCGAGACAACCAGGGCCTGACACAGGCCATTGAGATCTTTGAAGATGAGGATAGCAGCATCGCCCCTGAGGGAGGAGAGCCGCAAAACACCACGCCCCCAGCGGCGGAAGATAGTGCGGCCGGCATGGATGAGTCAATGATCAGCACATTCAGCACGTTTTCCGCGGTGCCCAGTATGGACATGTTTGCAAAGCTTGGGACCAGCCCAGGCAAGCCTTCGCCGGCAGCAGGGCCGTCAACCCCCCGCGGCAAGCCAGAGTCAGCTACATCGCGACCGTTTCGCAAGCGGGAATCAGACAACACGACCAACCTCTTGATCGATTTCACGGAGCAACTGCGCAACCCGCACCGCTCGGCGGCCAAGGTCAACAACATGATGAACAACAACACGCTGAGTACGCCTGGCCGACGGATGAGCAACCTCCTCGACTTTGACATCCCCCCTATGCCGACCCCCCGATCCGTCCCCACCATATCAGCCCGCGAGCTGGAGTCGTTGAAATCGAACTTTCTTTCCGAGATCAGCTCACTCAAGGCTAGTCTGAGTGGCAAAGAGGCAGAGGTCAACTCGCTCAAGACGGCTGTGGGCGACGCAGAGAAGCGCGTGGGTGAGTCCCTCGAGCAACTCCGCGAGGAAAAGTCTGCCAAGGAGCAGCTCGCCGCTGAGCTAGAGGATTGGGAGACTCGCAGCCGCGAGATGGAGACCGTCTTGCAGAGAGTTAGGGGCGACATTGAGACAAGCCAGAATGAGAGGGAAGAGCTGGAGCGCAAGCTCGACGAGAGCGAAAAGCGTCGTGAAGCAGCTGAGATGCTCCACCAGGAGGCGGAGAGTAAGATGGCGGGCATGCGTGCTGGACGGGAAAGTGCCACCACATCATCACCCGAGAAACCAAATCCGTCCAACGCCCAAGAGGTGGAGCTCGCGGTCGAGCGTGTGGCGCGCGAGCTGCACGGTCTGTACAAGAGCAAGCATGAGACCAAGGTCGCGGCCCTCAAGAAGTCGTACGAGACGCGCTGGCAGAAGAAGATCAAGGACCTCGAGTTGCAGATGGAGGATCTCACGGAGGAGAATGAGAAGCTGAAGGCTGGGAGGGACGCGACCCTGACCAAGATTGACCCCGACAGCACCATGGCTGGCGAGCTGAAGGCACAGGCCATCAAGGACAACGCCTCCATGACGGAGCTCAAGGCCGAGATCCAGCGACTGGAAGCCGTGGTGTCCACTGTGCAGCGCGACAATACAGATCTGCGCGGCATGTTGGAGAAGGAGCGCGTGGAGAAGGGCGAGTTGGTGCAGCTGGCCGAGGAGATGATGAGCATGCAGAGCTTCGTGGGCGGGTCGAACCAGCCCGTACGGGATGAACCTGAGCAGCAGACACCTGCGCCGCAAAGGTCGCCGAGAAAGACAAACTCGCGCGAGAGGGAGCAGGCGCCTCACCCCGAGGCACCCGCAGCCAAGACACCCAAGACAAGTCATGATGGCTTCAAAGCCAACAATCGGGCATCTGGTTTGCGTGCTCCTGGTTCCGCATTGAGAGCGCCAGGTGGCCTGCCGCGTCCAGGGTCGGCCTCGTCAAGGAGTGGCATCATGAACTCGATTGAGACGATGGGGAGCTACCGAGGTCGTGGAGGAGAGTAGGCGTACGTGGTTAAGATGAAGTGACGGAGAACTGTTGGACGTATTATGACCGGCGTTTGGGAAAAGCCAGGAGTGTCGATGGCTCTCTTGCTATAATGAATCACGATGACTTTGTACTTCTACGCCTGTCCCCGACAGCGATGAGATATCTCAAACATGAGGCACGTTTCTTCCACTCCGTTGATATCACAGCCCGTAAGCCTTCTTCGCCGTACCACCAAAAATCATGGCCCGGTCCTCATCTGACAAGGACGCCATCCAGCACATCTTCTCCACAACATCACGCCATTTCGCCCATGCATCGTCGCCCACCTCGTTGTACGTGCACACGGGCCAGTCACTGCCAAACATGATCTTGTCCGCGCCGAACGTGGCCAGGATGATGCCTAGCCAACCCAGCGTGGACTGGAAGATGTGCGACGCCGACGCCGTCTGGAGGCTAGCGGGCATCTCGTTGAAGGCCCCCGAGAGCTTCATGTACGTCTTGCTGCAGGTGGAGAGGGTGTAGATGGCGGTGCGCCAGGCGTGGAAAGCAGGGTCCGATGTGATATTGTAGATGGACAAGTCTGGTTTGCAGAGGTGGTCTGTTGTCTCCGTTAGCGAACCGTGTTCTAGAAAGCCCGCAGCGCGGCTCAATCAGTCAATGTACTCACTCAAGATGAAGGTGACTCTCTCTTCCTCTGGCACGCCATCGTGGGCCTTTTCAATCATGACGAGCAATTCATCTAGTTGCTGCCGCCCCCGCCGGTGGTGGTCGACGCCCACCTCGAATACCAGGCCTTTTCGACCGAGCAGTTTCAGACTCTCGATGAACTTGTCCTGCACCATTGTCCCGTGGGGCTTGTCTTGCACGAGGTACCTGAATCCCTTCACCTTGGGCCACGCCTCACCGGCCGTCTCCTGGACCTTGGCAATGTATTTCTCCAGGACCTCGGCGCCCAAAGGCATAGGCGCCCAGGGGACGATGCCCAGGCACAGCTTGGCGTCGTCCTTGTCCACGCCAATGTCCTCCTCACTCGGCTCACCGAGCGCCACCCGGCTGAGCGTGGCGACCTCCTCCAGCGGCAGTTTCCAGCCCTCCTCACCGGCGTCCAGGTCATGCTTGACGTCGACCTCGACAAACACAAAGCCGAGCAGTGAAGGCGCGGATTTGGCGGCCTCTTTGAACTCGGGTAGGAAGCGCGCCCCTGAGACGATGGGCTTGGAGGGGTCGTACCAGTTGTGGTTGGGCAGGTCGGCCTCACGGAAAAGATGAATGTGAGAATCAATGATGGGCAGGACCAGCTTCTGCTCCTCAGATTCGGCCATTTTGGATGTAGTGAGAGGAATGTTGAGGCTTCGACGACGACAGGAAGTAACTGGAGGCAGCGGTGTTTATTGAGGTGGTGAAGCTGGAGAAAATGCGTCTGGACCTTGACAATGGCACACTGGCACTAACTTTAATGCGGGTCCTAATCGTGTCGTGTGTTGTCCTGGATGAGGCAGCAAAGGGTGAATTGAGGCAAAGCAAGGTATGATGTAGGAAAGAGCGAACGATACAATTATCGGTGAGATGGGGACCGAGAGGCAAGAACGACTGGTCTCCTCCTCCTCCAAAATTCATGGAGAAGGGACAGTGGTGGTTGGCCATCATCCCCATCCCGCGTATGTTGCCCCTCCATCTCAGCGCTACAGACCATAACTCACAGGCGGGCACCGGCCCATATTATTTCTCTCAGTATGTCCCGAAGGCTCGAATAGCAGAGCGTCTTCAATTGCGTGACAGGTCCCAGTCCCGTCGGGTAATATCTCTAGTCGACTTTATGCATGTCACTCAACACATCACTATGATCAACTTCACTTTGGCACGCATTGTTCGGTATCAGTAGATTCAGATCGGCCATCTACTGTGTTAACCTGCAGCTTCTTCCTTGACATTTGCTGCCGCTTGCCTGGCTAGCACTGGACTGTCTCATGGCAGACAGAGTCCAGCACCAAATCCATCCTTGTCTCAACGAGATGGGCGTCCAGTTCGACGGACGTGCTCGTGATCTCTTGACTATGTACACCCGGAGCAGGTGCTCCGGCAGTGAAGAATTTGAGAACGACTCGTGGAGAGGTTCATCAAAGAAGGGGGGCGAGAGAGGGGGGTAAACGCTCATTAATCATCATCAACAGACATGATCGTGAAAAAATAACAACTCGTGAGAAGGGCGGAAAACGTCACGCGCCTTGACTCGACGAGGGGTCGCAGCACCGACCCAATCGTTACACATGCAGCATGGACGGCATTCCCAAGGTCCAGCCCGGGAAGGGGACGTGCCGTCCAGCGTATGTGGGTGAAGGGGCGCGTGTTCATTACGAGAGAGTAAAAACAACAACAGGACAATGGCCACGAGGCTATGCCTTTCGACGTACAAGTCCTCATGAGACGACGATGCCGTTGCGGCGGCTGCGGACGGGCTCGTAGTCCTCATCTTCCTCCTCGGACTCGCTGATGGTGCTCGAGCAGTCGGAGCTGTCGTCACCACATCGAGAGCCGCCACAGTCCAGCTTGACACGGTCGCCCTTGCGGGTGATGCCGTAGCGCTCGCACGTGCAGGAGCTGCAGTTGGAGCCGGGGGTGCTGTAGCCGGACAGGGAGGAGTTGGGCGAGGAGCTGTCGGAGCGGTAGGACAGGGACGAGGCGTTGGAGGACACGGGCGAGGTGGTGAAGTTGGTGAGAACATCCTCGTCGTCGAGACCGGCGGAGCCGAGGCGGGCGTTGAGCTCGTCCATCTCCTCCTCGTCGTAGTAGTTGGCCTGAAGGATGTGCTTGGTGGCGTGCGGCGACATGGGCTTGGGGGCCTGGATCTGGGAGATGGAGAGGGGACGGCCCTTGGGGATGTCGACGGTCAGGGACTTGCGCGAGGAGCGCGAGGACGACTTGGACGAGGACTTTGACGACTTCTCCTCCTTGACGTGGCGCGACGACGACTTGCTGCTGGACTTGGCGGACGAAGACTTGGACGACGACTTGGAGGACTTGCCGGTGGGGACGTCGAGAATGTTCAGCTCACGGCCCGTGGTGGGCTCAACGGTCGAGTCCTCGCTGGGGCTGTGGGCGACGTGGTAACCGTCAATGATGTAGTAGTACCAGTAGCGCTGGCCGGGCTCGAGAGTCGACGACTGGAAGCGGAAGGTGCCCTTCCATGATCCGGACTTGGAGGAAGACTTGTCCTTGGCGAGGGGGAGCTGTCCAGCGTAGCCGTCCCAGGAGCCGAGCAAGTGAACGGTCTTGACGCCGGCGGACACGCGGAGAGAGAATGACAATTGTGTGGACGACATGATTTCTTCTGAAGTTGGTTTTTGTTTTGGGTTGATTTCTCGTAAAGGGTGTGCGAAAACAAGTTGCGATGATGTGGAATTAGTGAGCGGGTTGGTGATTTGCGAAGTTGGTTGGTATAGTTGGCGAGCAAGAGAAATCCAGTTTCCGTTATCAAGGGGTTGTTAATGCGAAGTTTGATCAAATAAAAGTTTGTGTAAAAGAAGTATCGTCTCTAAGCTGACCGGCAACTTGAAGTGGTGATGGCGAGGTTTGTTGATATTAGAGACGAAGTATTAAGAATAGGAGGAGAGACCGGCTCTGGGGAAACAGCACAAGGGGAGGGAAAGGGGAAACAACGAAAACCGAGATCCAAGATTGAAGAGCTTGCTGACCAGAGAAGGAAGAGAGAGAGGAACAAAGGACTGTTGGTTGCAGAGGCGTAGCTAATATATGGAATGAAGGCGGCCGTGACCATGGTCATCCATGGACCATCCTCACCACGAGCGTGATCGAGCCGAGCCAAAGTCGCGCACCATGCCATTGCCGTCCGCTGTTGCATGGCCTAGTGTCCTGCGATGCGTCCACCCATCAAAGACGCGGCCAATAGGCACCACAGGGACATGGAAGGCTTGAGGAGAGACTGAGGGCATCGAAGCACAGTGACTACGGCCGGTCACACCGCGCCCACTGAGCCGGGCGGTTAACTTGCAGAAAAAAGGTTGGTCGATCTGCAGATACCCCGCCGGCCCCCAAGAATAGACACAGACTATGCCAGACTGTGGACATGATGGCCTGCAGTGGCTGGCATATCTCGTCGTCAGGCGTCTATTCCCCAGACGCCATTGGCTCGCCGTTTGAATCGGCTACCAGCTTGTCACCCCGCCAAGCGGCCAATCAAATGACCTCATGACAACTCTTGAATGGCTGCCTCTGCAAGAATCATGCACGGCATTCGATGGTTTGTTTAATTGTTGTCGTCTGGTACCTTGCCGTCTGCCGTTGATGATCGGTGCTGTGTGACCTTTCTTCTCGAGGGCTCCGTTGATGATGGCACTCCATGAGTCGGTCACGCAGCTTCATGCTGCTGCGTCCTGCATGCTGCACTGTCTGGCATGCCTCATTCGCATCGGGGCGCCAGACATGTCGGCCGCTTATGAAGCGAGCCGCCGATAGTGAAATATCCACAGCTGTTCAGCTGTGCTGGCAGTGAAAGAAGGGCTGATGTGCTCAGGTAATATTACGGATATGATTACTCACAACGCAGTTGGAAGTGGAACGTAGAGCGCTGGATGAAAGGGCGCCAAGGACCCACAACTGAGGCACATCACGTGAACACCCGTCTAACACGAGTCTTTGGAAACACGTCCACCCCAGGAAGCAACGCGCTTTTTTTTTTTACATGGGCATCATAACATCCGTATCTGTGAGTCTCACGCTGTTAGTCACCATGGAGAAGATCCTTCTGGTGCAGCCCCTGTCTGGCCTGTGAGTCACCGGGCAAATGGCAATTCGCACACTTGCCAGCGCTGGGCAGGAACCAGCAACGGAGAGAGCAGTCTTATCTAGAGTCCTCGCGAGCTAACCTTGACATGACAGTTTGCACGATACGTATCGAACATAAGCCTAGAACCCAGCCCAGTATGACCAGGAACGCAGTTCACGATGCCCTGATAGGCAAAGTCACTGCCTACGTCAGGGAGTACATGTCACATTACGACCCATCCCACGACTTCCATCATATCCAGCGGGTCGTGCATCTCGCACTGCTCATACAAGCCGATGTTTCTTCGCCCCCCACATCACGTCTTGTCGTCCACCTCGCCGCGCTCATGCACGATGTGGGTGACAAGAAGTACCTTAAGCCCGGAGAGGATGCGTCGACCCTCATCGCCTCCGTGCTGACGTCGCTGGGCGCGGACCCAGAGCTCGCGCAGACGGTGCAGACCATCTGCCTGGGCGTGAGCTACTCGTCCGAGGTCAAGGATCCCGCACACGTGGCACGGCTGATCGAGCGGCATCCCGAACTGGCCGTCGTGCAGGACGCGGACAGGCTCGACGCCATTGGCGCCGTGGGCATTGGGCGCGCGTTCACCTTTGGGGGTGCAAAGTCTCGTGAATTGAGCAACACCATGGAGCACTTTGATGACAAGCTTGTGCGGCTCGAGGGCATGATGAAAACGGCCAAGGGGCGGGAAATGGCTGTGGAGAGGACGCAGAGGCTGAGGCTGATGCAGGCCTGGTGGAAGGACGAGACTTTTGGGATTGAAACCATCTAATGTGGACATACTGAACAATTAATAAAGATTTGCAATCATCACATCAGCACTACACTGACTCGTAGCGGCGAGCACGTTAGCCGACCAAGCTTGCGGCTTGATTTGTTTGAGGCACAGCAGCTGACATGTGCCACGTTTGGCAAATACCACGTCAGAACTCGTTCGGCAAAGCACTATGGATCAACAAACTGCACTAACACAACACGTACGAACACCCCGATAGCCGGCTTCGCGACGCCCTATTGGAGTTTCGTTCCAGTCACCATGCCCGCTGGACGTCTTGGGATGTGCAAGCTTTGGTGCGCACCTTGAGGGACACCCCTGCTCGTTCACGCGTCTGCCATCTACCTATTACACACGGAAACCCATTGAATCATTGGAGTATTGATCCTTTTTCATCGCCATCTTCTTCACATGACCGTCTTTTACCTTACGTGAGTTTGGTCTGATCGCAGCCTATTGAGAGCAACCTCAGCCTTGCTCAACAGCTGTGGCCCACAACAGCCACTTAGACGATGGACACCCTCCCGTCAGAGCTCGTCCTCGAGATCCTGACCTATCTACCACCGCAAAGCATCAAGAACATACGTATCGTGTCGCGATCTTTCCATGCGTTGGTCCCAGCCCCAGACTTCTCGCTGCTTGCGTCGTTCCTGGACCCCGAGACAGCCTTGTCCACCATCGTAGCAGCATCCAAGGACCTGTCCCGTCGACCCAGGTCGATTTGGTCTCCCCACTGCAGCGTGCCGAAATCAGTACCGCTACTACCGGACTTTATGAATGTGCTGTGGGTTGCGTTGACGGGCAGAGCGCCAGGGAAAGATGTGCGAGTGGAGGATGTGCGAGGGGTGACTGGGATGGATGTTACCACAAGGATATTGCAACAGGCGCTGTTTCGGTGGGTGCTGTACTTGAGCTATCGGACGGAGACGAAGATACCCCATATGTGGATTATACATCCCCGGGCAGCATAGCATGCTTGGGCACAGGAATGTCGTAGCAGGATCGACTCGTTTTGACCCGAGAAGTTGACTTTGGGAGTACGTTCAAGCACACGTAATGGTATTCCGCACGTGAAGAATGGTGTTCCAAAAAGGCTGTGTGAATATAATGAGAGGTTGTGCTGGCATGTTGCAGTACATGTAGCTGGTATCTATGTTGTATCTGAAAGGATCCGTGTGCCCTGAAATGGCTATTACAAGTTTATATATGTCCCACCAAACGCCAGTGCCCCGTTGAATGCGAAAGAAGAATTGAAGATGCTGATGCTGACGCCGTTCCCAGATCCCGAACCATATCGCCCAAAGGTCAACCCAAGCTCAAGCCTCTAGAGGAGGAAGAAGACACCGGCCAAGCCAGCACCAGCAAGGGCAGCCTTGCCGGCGTTGTTCAAAGCAGCGGCACCAGGGACGTCGGGCTCGCCCGTGTTTGTGGGTGCCACGGGAAAGTTGGTGGGCTCGTTACCACCGCTGCGGGTGCTTGTGGGCACAGTGCCGTTGCCTCCATGGGGAGGAGGGATGATGGTGCCGTTACCAGGTGGTAGCACGGGAATGCGGGTGCTCACGGTAGGCATGGGGACGGGCGTGTAAGTCGTCGGGTTGTGGGGGTACTCAGACGAGCACTCCGTGACGGTGGCAGTCTGGCTGACGGTGGTGATGAGAGTAGTGTTTTGGTGCCAGCTGGTGGCCTGGGCAAGAGTTGCGGCGGCAGCGACGAGGATGGTTGAGGCCTTCATGTTGAGTGAGAGTGTTGATTGGTATTGTTGTGAAGCGGATGTAGTTTGTGTAGTAAGTATTATATGCGTAGGGTGGCCTTTGAACGAGGGACAGGCGATGTAATGTACGTGTATATATGCGTGCCGAGTAATGACAGGCAGGTGGTGGGAGAGCGGACGATTGGCAATTATATACTTACACAGGTCAGAGTCTTCACCCAGCACAGGTGCCAAACAAAGGCATGGTGGCTCGGCGATGGACTGGATGAGTCGAAAACTTCGAAACTTCCAGCCCTGCCTGATGCGGAATAGATGGGCTACGAGGGTGGCCTACGCCACCCTCCGCAGCTCGCGCCGTCCGATATCTCTGCCAGGGCCCGTTCAACCCATCCACCACCACGACGGATAGGCGAGTGACTGACATTGCAGTCCATGACGCACCTGCCTGCCCCAGCCCATGTGAGCAGGGGAGGCTGAACGCTATACGAGGTCACCTTGCCTTGGAGATGTCGATTTGAGTGGTTCACGATATGCTTATCAATGGTCGTGCTTGGCCGGCACTTGTTGGACTTTGTGATTGTCATTATGGGATTTCCCGTGCTAACCACGACGGGAAAGAGGGGTGCGTTGCTGATGCTCCGTCTTGGGTAAGGGTCCTGCGCATAACGTCATTGCTCTAACTATCTTCGTCGACGTTGGACGGGAAGAGAATCGAAAGAAAATCTTCCATCCCACATCATGACCGAGGTCCAGTCCAGGCCTGAGGGATCAACAACTCCATTACGCAGACTTTTACATCTGTGTCCATGCGATGCTGCTCGAGGCATATGCAGGTGCGTACGTAGGCGTGCAGTGCGAGATGCCAAGAACGGCACAGTTCGTAGTAGTATACGATGTTCCCAGAGGAGTCAGGTCATTCCCACAAATGGATCGTTACTCTGCGAAAGGAAACCTGAGTCACAACGGGCAGACGAGCGCTCCTCGTGTCTTTGGTTCCGCGTGGAAGATGAAAAAAGAATTGCGGTTGCTATTATTGGCATCAAGGAAACGAACGCTGCTCATGTGGCTCATGACCGCGTGGTGGCTGGAATGTGGGACCAGGCCCAGATCTCCCTCAGCCACTCCAGTGTCATCAGCTGCGCAAAACCGAAGGGAACCTGCCCGTGCCTCTTCCCGACTGTCGGCTTGTGAGTGATCGACATTCACGCGAGACGCTGGTCGTCGCGGACTCGTGTCGGTATACGTTACAGCGGTATCGGGAACGTCGCCATGGACCATGGTTCCATCCTATGTGGAAGCAGCAGGTCCTCCCAGGCTCCCACGAATTCTTATGCATCAGTTGCGCACCAAAAGGCATGGACGGCTTGCCAAATTGCAACAGTCCTCGTCGGAGCAAAACACTAACTTAGGACGGCCATTCTATGTAATATGGCTGCCCGTCTCAACTCGCAAGCATTTCTGGGACGAGCGCCTTCTGTGATTCTCGAGAAGTGAGGCTCAAGCTGAATGAGATTTCCGCCAACACGAGTCCATCTAGCCTAGCATCGCAAGAGACCAGACTCATCTATGGCAACTGTGACCATCTTGGCATTTCGCGGTTCACAGTCCAAGGGGACACGATTGCGAGTGCCGCCTAGGAATGCGCCCGTGTGAAAATCAGGTGCTTCTGTCGTACGAGCGAGACCCGAGCTACCTAGATCCGTAGATGTGTGGAATGTTAGAACTGGAATAGACCGGCAAATCGGTCTGTTGCCATGTGGTAGGCAACGAAAAGATTACGGCGTCTTTCAGGTGAACCGATTAACTGGCTGCGTCCAGCAGTTCTGCCGCCCCAAAGATGACTTCTTGATAACAGCAGTTGCTCCTTGATGAAGGATCTCTTCGTGTAAGTCGAGCCCCAGGGTTTCGCTTGCGGAGGACTTGCTGCCCAGCTAAGCAAGCGGCTAAGCCTTGATTTTGAACACGGCTGTCCGGTTGGGCTTTTGACGTGTCATTGTCTCCTGTTAGTATCAGTATCAAAACGTAACCTGCCGTCTACGTGTGTCTGCGGACACAATGCGCCCAGCAGCAACCTAAACATCACCCACTGTCCACTGAGACCGTCACAACGAATGACTGGCCATCGCCCATTCGCCTTGCCAATTTCTAAGGACCAAGCGGGATACCCCGGTTTCAAATGACTTTGGCGATGCAAAACGTGGTGAAAGAAATTAGAAAACAGGGAAGCATCGTCTTTGAGGTTGGGGACTGCGATGGAAGCCAAATCGAAGGTTCAATGGTTCCTGGCCTGAGCCAAGGCACCGTGACAGATTAAACAGGCACGTGTCACGCGGCCATATGCGCCGTGAATACTGTCCAGCGATTGGCAATTACGTCTTAGTGGTGCGGGGCGGACCTAGAGGCCGTAACGGAGGCTACGAAGCCGCCCATAGTGGGATTGTTAGAGGGCCTGGACGTTTGAGGCAGCTGCGTCCACCGGCCAATCGCAGCGCCGGGCTCGACTCCTCCATCACCTGGAGGCCCCATTTCCCAGCCACCAGCCTACACTGGATGCACGGCACCCTCCCGCCCGCATCACCGGCCTCCAGTCTCTCGCACATCCAAGTCGGTCTCTGATCTCATCGGTTCCCCATCCATCGCTCCTCTCCAAGATCACATCGACTCGCCAGACAGACGGCGCTCATACCTCCTCGCCGACTATGTCGGGTTCGACGTGCGCACCGTCACTCTCCTGTCCTGGTCTCCTACGCGTATCGTAACCACACACCATCCATACAGCAACTGATACGGATTGAGGGACTGGAGCTCGCCTCTCACTTCTCCCTCTCTCCCAGCTGAGCAATTGCAAGCCACTGGACGACCAGGCCTCCCTGTGTCTGACTCGACATCGACCACGCCAACCAAGGGAACCCTGGACACGCTTGGTTCCGAGACTACGTTGAAATCACCCTCTCGCATCACATTTCATCTCATCGCCCTTCTTTTTGTGTGTGTGCCCTGCTCTTTCCGCACGCTCACCTAAGGTAATCACCACGTACCGCTGAACCACCAGTGAGCGAGCGCACCACTCATCGTGCGCCAATTTGCCAGAGTTGCAGTCAACATCGAGCTCGACCACGACAACCCTGCCTTAAGCATGCGCTACGAGCGCGGCCACGTTGACGGTTCCTGCACGTAGCCTGCGACGACCTCTGGCCGTTCCGGCGGGCATTATGCTTGCGACCGCCGCTCCTGTCCCCGTGCCTGCTGCGCCCGTCATGTCGACTGCACGCAACACCTTTGATCCTGACCAAAGCCCGGGTCAGCCTCAACTCAAGAGACACAAGGTGCTGCCCCGACCTGGTAGTGTCCGCAGTCAGGGTCTAGACGCGTCTCCGTCCAAGCGGTCACACAGATCACAGAGGTCCCAACCTGAGCTCGCCATCGACACATCCGTTGCAGGCACGACCTCGCAGACCTCGAGCCCGCGAACCCTCAAGCATCAGTCGAAACGTATAGGTGCTGGCCCGGAGCTGCCACCAACTCCTCCCACGCATTCACGCACGTCGTCCAGTAGTCAATCGGCGTTGCCGTCTAGTCCAACCCTCGCTGTGAGCCCGAGCCCGGGCCCGTCCTCTCTCCAAACTCCCAAGAATGAATCCGACCTGGCCCCAGCAACACCGCCGGACCAGCGCAGTCCTCTGACGCCCGATGTCACGCCACCTCAGCCTGCCACTCGATTACAGGCACCTCCTCGCTTGACGCTGGCGCATAGGGGCGCCAGTCACGCAACGACAGTGGACTCCCGAGCAGACTCGTTCCAAACGGCGCGAGAGGACCCAATATCGTCTGAAGGCGAGGATCAGGGGGACGGTACTTCCACAGCTCGACCTGCTTCATCCTCGGGCGGAACATCAGGAACGATCTCCCGTAAAGCCTCCGATACGCCTTGCTTCCGTATGCCGAACCCCAAGGCCTTGGACTTGGCCCTGGCCCAGCTCACTGCTTCCGCACAACGGCAAAACGAGGCTCGGTTTGAACGATCAAATACTGCAGCGGAACCCGGAATGGCAAGGAACGTGACTGTCATGAAACGGCAACCTGCAGATGCTGTGGCAGCTTCGGGCAGCCGCAGATCCGTTGCGGAGGACCCTTTTCAGGCACTTGGCGCAAACAACGCCACGCAAGCTGTTCGTCAGATGTCACTCAATGAAAAGGCGTCACCAGGCTCCTCATCCAAAAGCCGACCCGCAACGAGGTCATCTTCAGGACCATCAGGTTCAGATACGTCGGTGTCCACGAGCCATCAGAGATCGTCTGAAGTCTCCTCCCGCTCAATCAGATCTACAGTTAAAGCATTTCTCATCGAGGCCCCACGACCACCTCAGCGGCAGAGGACTTTGCGTCACGTTCAGAAGCAGAGTTCTTTGCGTCACCTGGTCTCCGCGCCTCCTGGCCAGCCCGCCGCAGCTGCAGCTGCAGCAGCACCTGCCGTCGAGAGAGGCAGATCTACTGTCTCGAGACCCCCACTGGCGAACCAACGACACGAGCGCGCAGCGAGGCACGATAGTTTTGCTTCCACCACATCAGCGGGCTCCACGGCCAACGGGAAAGCCCGACGCGATGTCTGGAAAAACGGCGGGATGCCTGTGGCCGTCGTCCCGGACCGACGATCATCAAGGTCGCAGTCGAGGGAGCCCTCTCTTCGATCCACGTCTAGCAGGCGGTTGCGGAGGACGCAGAGCGTAAGCTCAGCTCCTGGCGAGACTCCTCCACTGGAGGCACCCTTCGGCCAAGAGTCGGCACCAAATCTAGATCGCCTGGTCCCTCGTTCACGAACATACTCGGTATCAGACGCGTCTGATACCCGGACGATGGACTTTCCTCCCATGATCCCCGTCAGATCATCGTCACTGTCGGCACCCACTAGCAGAAACGTGTCGAGGGCTGCTTCGATGACAGCAGGCAGTGTTCAGACAAAGGATGCTTTGCATCGACAAATGTCAGAGCCAAGACCACGGATCGTCACTGCACCCTCAGGGGTGGTGTCACACAAGAAGGGCGTACAACACCTGATGACAGACTACTTCAAACCCACGCCCAAGTTGACCTCCACGCTTCCGTTTGAGAAGGGCCCTGCTCCCGTAGTGATGGGAGACTCGAAGCGAATGCTGTCACCTCCCCGTCTGGGCTCGCCTCTTTTCGCATCCCCCAAGCCGGAAAGCGAGGGAGATGGTCGCTTTGATAGCGACCGACAAGAGGACGGCCAGTCTTCCCGCAAATACTCTTCGAGGAACACACCGTTCTCTATTGCTTCGCTGGAGACAAATGCAACTAATCCTGAAGTCTCGGAGGCGCAGGCGGTGCACATGTACTCGCACCAGAATTCGTCGCTGTTGATGGTCAACAACAGCTCGGGCCGGCCGTCCGAGGCGACTGACAGCCCCCAGGAAGGACAGGATGATCGGTTCCATTTGCCGAGCCTACAGCCGCAAACCGTCCAGGCAACTGTGACGCCTGTAGACGACGTGCCTATAACTCCTCCACAGCCCACCTTTCTGCTGGACGATGTCGACTCGCCGCTTCGTAATCCCCGGGCGCCTCCTGAGCCACCGGTCGAGCCACCTGCCATCACTTTCACTTCGGCTACACCTTCAGGAGCAACGCCGGCTCCAGACAAGGCTTTGCAGCTCGGAAACTACTTTGACACCATGGCCGAGGTGCCTCCGCCTGAGCGCCGACGTTCCATCGTGGGGCGGGCCTTTAAGCGTGGTCGGAACAACTCGACGTCCTACCCCCCGAACTCCTCACGATCAACAGGTCTTCTCAAGAGGGCCTTTTCTCTCTCACGGAGGAGGAATACCTCAGATCATCGCCTGAGCTATAGTAGAGAGTATCCATCGGAAGTCATGACACCTCCAGAAGAGGACAAGCTTCATCCATTCTGGCGTTCGCAGTTCGACGATGATGACTCCGACGATTGGGACGATCGGTACAATGGACGGGATGAAGAGCACGAGGAGGAAGTTGAAAGTCATATGCGGTATCCGCCGATCGACAACCGACCATCGAAGCCAAAGCGCCGCTTCAGTGAGAAGATGAAGCGCACTTTCGCCATCATGCCAATCCGGGACGACGAGGAGCACAGTGCTGACGACGTCTACGGACCCGAACGACGCACGATTCGTCGAACCCCTAGCGGGAACCTGCGCGTCATGCGTCGTCGCAACAGCGCCTCATCCCTACGACGACGCTTCAGTCAGTCGGACCGACCTGAGACAGCGCCCGAAGAGGACCGTAGCCGGGGCTTCTGGCGCGGCATGAGCTCGAGTGGACGGACAAGGTCAGAAAGCCGGAGGAGGTTCTCTCTTGGCGACCAATTTGAAGAAATTCAGAATCTATCCAGGAAGCTGAGCGACAGGCGACGAGAGAGGCGCACGCGAGAGCTGCGCCAGAAAATCAGCGGCCCTCGAGACGTACGCGACGGCGTTGAGGAAATGATCAGGTCCAGCAGCCAAAGGGAACAAGATGAGGAGTACGACCCAGGCGCGTATCGTCGCGTCATATAATAAGGACAACGTTGAGGGAAACGACGTTACTTTACGGGAACTACGAGAGTTATTGGTTTTCGAATGGGCTTTGATTTTTCATGATTTTTTGCGATTTTAACGAGGGACGATTTTACGCTTTTTGCTACGCATCCAGGATTTCGACTTCTGCTGCACCGGTCTATAAGGCAGGGCCTACGAACATACGAAAACACGCCGACTTGAGGGGGAAGGGAGGGATTTTTGGTTTGGCCATGCTATTTGCTCGATGAGACGCAGGCGCTCTTCGCAGCTGGGTGTCATTTGGGTGCCATTTGAATGCATGGGAACGTCGCGTGTGTACTATAGATATTTACGACGAGTTACGATACCAATGAGGCGCTGGGACGTTTTTTTGGCTTGCAGGTCTTTTGTCTTTGCTTTTTGTGATGACTACATATGACTCTACCATGATAGCGTGGCCACTGAATGCGGCGGCCATTGAAGCGCGCTCGGTATATCCTTCCTGAACGCCAGCCCAAAACAGTAAACCATTGATTGCTCCTGTTCGTCTCTCAACGTACACGGGTGCCTATCCTCTATCGCCTATCATGGCCAGGGGGCGGGCCCTGCCCAAACCCGGGAGGTGGCGGTCCTCCAAACCCTGGGCCGGGAGGAGGCATCCCAGGGAAACCGTGCGGCAGCGGCGGGCCACCTTGCTGGCCGGGAGGGAAAGGAGGGAAGCCACCTGGTGGAGGAAATGGGAGACCGCCCGGGGGCATGGGCAGATTTGGAGCGCCGGGGAAAGGAGGCATCGGAGGTGCACCACGGCCACCGGGAGCTGTGACATTCTGCATCAGTATAAAAGATTGGCCGGAAGGAGACTGCGAAGACATACGAGGCATGTGTCCTGGCATACCAGGGAAAGGGGGCGGCGGACCGCCACCGGGGAAGCCGAATGGTGGTGGAGGAAAGCCATGGCCAGGCTGGTTCTGGGGGAGCATAGGGTTCGCGTGCGCTTGGCCCTCGGCCGTGTAGGAGGCTGTGATGGAGTCGATGACGCTCTGTGCCTTTTCGTGTCCGATTTCTGTAGTGTCCTCGTCAGCTCAACTTTCTTTCGCCTCTGGTTTTCCATCTCGCAGGAGCTGAGGTAGGTGGGTGGTTGACGCACGTTGATAGTAGTCGACTACATTGCGCAGATGGTTCTTTCCGCTGTTGTGCGCCCGGCGGACAGACATGGAGTCGTGCGTGAGGTAGACATCGCAGTAGTCGCCTTTCGTAGCATTAGTCGCAAGATCAGAACGCGCGCGCGGTCGCAAGTCGGTGGACTGGGGAGCTTACAGAAGACTGTGAGTGGTTAGCAAAAGTCGCGCAGACTAAATTTCGAGGCGAGGACTTACATTTCGGCATCTTGACGGCGAACAAACGTGTTGGCGATGGTTCGATGGGAGAAGCTGGGGTTGGTTTCCAAGTCGCGATGATGTTGGCGGTGGTGGGCACGTGATCTCGAATTAGGTGGGTTTAGGTACAGACATGTCACGAAGATCATCACTGATGGTCACAACGCCAACAATTAAGGGACAGATCCTTGATCAACCTCTTGATACGGCAAGGCCAAATTGGTCCTTTCTCTGACGTATTCTAACATGTAAATTCCGATAGGTTACGCCTGTAGAATGTCCCGGACTATGTCAGAGGAATACATCCTTAGTGAATCCTTGGATGGAACCGTCGTTAACGCCGCCTCCCGAACTTCAACGCAAACACTTGGGCACTCTGGGCTGGAACCAGCCATAATGTAGGCTTTTCAATAAGGGTGTGAAAAAATGCTAATTTGAAACTTAATTAAGCTAGCCAAATTCCTTTCCTCAGATGGCGACTTGGAGGCTCAAGCGGGCTGCTCCCCTCCGCGAACAGCACGTGACCTCGATTTCCCCAGCTGGCGATGGTCCCGGTGGACACCTTGCAACTCGGAGTCCCCTAGCTCGATTACTAGATATTGCCCCCTGTTAGGCTGGTCGCTTCCCTGACACGACCACGACGACAACCTCGACAAGTTCACGAATCGACGAGCTCGTCTCGGCCAATCTCCCTGAGCACATCATGATGGCGCTCCCCCGATCGTTCCTGCGGCTCGCCTGCAGCCTGCTGCTGCTCCTCGGCGTCGCGCAGGCCCTCAAGTTCGACATCGCCGCGCACACGGGCAAGGAGAACATGAAGAAGGAGAGGTGCATCCGCAATTTTGTCGCCAAGGACACGCTGGTCGTCGTCACGGCCACGGTCGGCGGGACAAAGGGCGACGGCATGCTGGTCAACATTCACGTAAGGAGCACTCCCCCGGCCATTCTCAGACGAGAGCAGGCAGGACGAGGACAGCGCAGCTAACACGGTCTGTTTTCTGGGTATAGATTCGCGATATGGAAGGGAATGAGTACGGCCGACCGAGGGACGTTGCCGGCGAATCGAGAACTGTCTTCACATCACACTCGGATGCCGCGTTCGACGTGTGCTTCGAGAACATCTTCACCAGTTGTACGTTCCCATTCCATCCCTGTCCCTGGTCCTGGTGCTAACAGACACGTGCAGCCAAGCGTCCGAGCCCCAACACCCGCTCCGTCGAGCTCGACATTGACATTGGCGCCGACGCCAAGGACTGGTCCGCTATCCAGGCCACCGAGAAGCTCAAGCCCGTCGAGGCCGAGCTGCGCCGCATCGAGGAGCTGACCACCGAGGTCGTCCGCGAGATGGACTACCTGCGGTCCCGTGAGCAGAAGCTGCGCGACACCAATGAGAGCACAAACAACCGTGTCAAGTGGTTCGGTCTCGGCACAACCTGGCTGCTGGTCATCCTATGGGCGTGGCAGATTGCGTATCTGCGCAGCTACTTCCGCTCCAAGCACTTGATCTAGATTATGCTAGGCCAGGGTGAGAGGGAAAAGCGGGCGGTGGCCGGAATGAATAGCAAAGCAAGCTGTCTTGTTGGCGCATCTATGTAGAACGGGGTCTTTTGAGGATATGGGCACGAAGGCGTTTGTAAAGGTAGATCACATAGCATGGTCACGGGATGATGAAAATGCAGGCTTCCGCACATGACTGAACATAACGCATGCAGATTTCAATGTCCTGTATTTGGGTATCATCGTTGTCGTTGTTAACAAGCCGCTCGGTCCACGGTTGGCGATCTCGAGTCCAGCGTCCGTTTCAAAACAAGACAAAGGTTGGACCCCATGGTCCAACCACGAAGCAAAAAACTGCAGTCCCAGACGCCTCGTCTCATCGTTGAATTCATAGTCCCCAGAAGCCCGAGCCATATCACCCGCCAGTGTCTGGCAAGATACTCCCTAAGCTTCTCAAAACCTCCATTATCGGCATATCCTTGGTCCCAGCTTCCCTCCTCTCGCGCTCCTCGCGTTCCTTGAGCCGTGCTGCGCTCAACTTGAGAACCGTGCTTGCTTCGTCGCCCGCCACCAGCACCCTTTGCTCGAGTTTATGGACATTATCTGCGAGCTGGTCCACTTGGAATTCTAGTGACGCTCGTACTTGCCGCAACCTTTCCTCGGTCTTGGCTCGTATTGCAGCGAAGCTGAGAGCCGAGTCTGATAGGTGATTGCGTATCCTGACGTCGTCATCATCTAGGAGACTGAAGTCGGGAAGCTGTATCTCGCCCGTCTCGAGGTCCGCGTCGGAAAACATTCCAGGTTGCGGCGTCGGCGGTTTCCTTATCGCCTGCCATGACTTTTTTTCTTCTTTTAGCCTATGTTGGGTTAGCGATTGTCCCCGGGGGTTCGCTGAGCGGTTGGGAGAGCTCGCCTCTTCACGTTTTCCTCCAACTGCACTAGCTTCTCGTCAAGCTCAATATTTCGGGGATTAGGCTTCAGGACAACTCGCGCCTTGGGGCCTTCGTCTCGGCTGAACCAATTGGAGAACTCCGACTTGGCCCCAAAGTCCTTGAGCAACTGATCTTGAATTGCGCGCGCTGTTCCTCGTTAGCGACCTGCTGTCTCTAGCCACAATTGCGAACCGACTCACCTCCATGTATTACACTCGAATTAAGAGTGCCATGCGGCGGTTTCTCAGACAGCGCTCGCTCTCCGCACCATGTCAACAACTGTTTCATCCGCCGTGGCTCCGGCAGGCCCTCCGCCTCGATGTGCTTGTAAAAGTCCGCCGGTTTGACCTCACGATGTGGCAGAGCTGAGGACCCATTCTCGATCAGGGAACTTGCGCGTCGCCCTCGTGACCCCAAGCTACTTCGCCGGTTCGCGCCGCCTTTTTTGCGCATCTCCTTGTTCCTGTTAATGACAGGCGTGTCGCTCATGGGCAACGTAATCTTGGACGCTTGCGACTGCTCTATCATCGGTACCGGCGATTGAGGCACTTCTTTAGCTGCACGCGCCGGCCGTCCTCTGCCCTTCTTCCCGCCGCGGGTCGCGCCATTGGCTGCTGAGCTCTCATCGCGTAATGATTCGTCCGGCGTTTGACGCGTACTGCGTGCTGGCGCTGTTTTGGGTGCCTTGGATTTTGGCTCTTCCTCGATGGGCTCCGGTCCAGCCTTCCGCCGGGACGGTCTTCCCTTGGAGGTTCCTTTGGTCACTGAGAGCACTGCTGGTGGCTCTGGCTCGTCGAGATCCTCCGCAATCGGTTCTGGCACCGGTCCCTTGGCGGCGCGTGCCTTGGGTGGTCTCCCTCTCCCAGCCTTCTTTGTGCTCGTTGGGACCGCTGGTGGTGGTGCTGCGGCCGGCTGAGGCTCATCCGTCTTTGGGCGTTTCGATTTGCGGAAGAATTGGAAGTCGTCGTCTTTTTCGTAATCATCCGCGGCTGCTGTCATGTCAGTTACCGACCCTGTAACATGCGACGCAGGTTCAGACAGACCCGCCAGGCGTTTGCTTTGCCGGCGCACCGGCTGATTCCCCATGCTAATTAAATCAAGCGTTTCCAGATTTGCCACAAGCGTCGTCATGAGTGTATGTGTCGGGAACGCATTGATGGCGCCAGTTTCTCGCGTGTCTCCTCAGAAGCCCAGTGGTGTCGCTCGTCGCGTCCAGTGGTGGAGTTGGCGTCAGTCGCGTTGGGAACTGCTTCGTGTCGGCGCGAGAGCGGAGGAAAAGTGTCGGCGCGAAGCAAGAAGATGGTGGTCGACAACCAATGTGCGCGGGTCGATAAAGAATGTTGCATGTGGTGGGTGTGATGCTAGGTATCGCGTCGGCTGGTGATACTTCCCGTGGATGGCAATGGCTCTTGTTGTTTATCTCAGAGCGCCAGAGGCATCGCAGCATGCGCACTAGTCCGTATCTGGGAGTCCTTGTACCCCACCATCGGCGAACGGCTCCCCGGCACGTGACGCCGCATCATGTCAGGTCCTCAAATTATACAACAGATCAATACCTATTACATCATGAGTTGTACTTTTCATTTAGGTGATCACCCTCTTTCAACACTTGTAACTCCTTCTTTCACTTGGAGGTAATTAACTCGTATACTATGGGGATTAAATAGCTTAGAATCACCTCATAAAAACATATGGTGCACTAGATTCCTGTCACGAGCCTGTTGTGCTTTTACCAATGGCCGTGATCCCTCCCCTATGCAGCGCCTTTGCCTGTTGCTACATTGCCTTTACCCCATTTACCAAATCACCTTTATACATGTACCGAGTCCAGGTACTGATGCGCCCGGATGAACGCCATTTTCAAGCAAACCCATGCATGCCGAGACATGTCTCCTATACACCAAAACACCAGAGGGTCCAATGTCCCAAATATGTACACTGTGAAGCACCAAGCCATCATGTCGTATCTCGTCGTTGGGAGACTAACGCCTCTTTCGAGACGCCATACCCCGAAGGCCACACCACACGCCGGCTGGTCATGGTGCTAAGCAGGATAAGGGTATCCAACTCTGCGACTTGAAAAGGCCGCCATGTGAAACACGGCGGCCATCTCATAAGAGGTTCGCGCGGTCTGCCACGAGGGCAGCGCCTACCGAAGTGATACCCCTTACTGGCCTAAACGACCTGCTGCATAACCGGACGTTGTTGCGATTTCATTAAGTTGCGGCTCAGTTTGATTCTCCAGCGCTGTGGCTTGCTAAGAGAAGCGCCGTTGCACACCCTGTCCGGCCATCACCTGCTGGTTGGCCATGGGGCCAGCCATCTGGTATGGGTTCATCTGCTGATTGAAGGGATCAGGCTGAGGGACTTGGCCAACTTGGTTCATGAAAGCGCCATGCATGCCTTGTTGCTGGGTAACCGGGCAGTCTTTGTGGGCGAGAAGGAGAGTCTTGAGGTTGACGACTTCCTCACGGAGCTGAGTAATTTGACCCGACAAGGCCTCGTTCTCATTGCTGAACATCTCCACCTTGCTTTGCAGGTTGGCCAGCCACTGCTTCTTCCTTTGACGACATTTCAGGGCCGCAACACTGTGAAAATGTTAGCTCATGCAATCAAACAATATCTGAGAACAACTTACCGGTTGCGCTCCAAGAAGTTCTTGCGCTTCTCTTCGTCGGTCATCTTCGTCTTGCCACCATGGCCGTCATCCTTCATATCGTCTTCATCGTCAGAAGGCTCGACGCTCATGCCATTAACAGAGTTGCCGCTGTTGCCCTTGGCCTTCTTGTTGGCCGGCGCCTTTGGCAGCGGCTCTTCGGCTTTTCTCCTTCCGTTGGTGGCCTGGTTATTCTTCTTGCCCTTGCCGCGCGTGCTGGGCTTTGTCTGCTCGCTCTCATCCGAGCCCATGCTGTGCTCGCTCATGCCTCGCCCTGGGCCTCCGTTCATGGCGGGGCCTTGCACTGTAGCAGTATGCGCGTGCACCGAGGGTGCGGAGGTCGCGGCAAATTGGTTTGTGCCTTGGGATCCGTTGCCACCATGTGCAAGCATGAAGAGACCGTTGGCAGCGTCGTTGTCGTGGGGATCAAAGGTCTTGGGCTCCGCCTTGATGTGGGTGTCGCCGTTCGACATCTCTTGTGGCTGCGTCGTAGCCGGCTGGGACGTCTGCTGACCTTGTTGTGCCTGCTGTGCAGGTTGCTGTTGAGTTTGCTTGTTGTTATTGTTGTTGTTCTGCTCCCTCTTGGCCGCCGCACTCATGGCAGTACGGTGAAAGTCAATGGTGCTCGGGGTGACGCCTCCACTGATTGATGCGATGAAAGACTGCGAGCCAGGACTGTTGGTCGGGAACATAGACCCGCTACCGCCTGGTGTCAAGCCGGAGCGCAAGGACGACTCGTTGGGCGTAGGGAATCCCCCGCGCAAGTGATGAGCGTCGCCAAAGTAGTCTTGGGCTGGACCCGACAGCATAGCAGGACTCAGTGGTCCTGTGCGCAGCGACGACCCAGGCCCCCAGTTGAACGGGGTCGTGTTTCCGGGAGGTAGAAGGGAGCTTGGCGATGCCAACGTGTGGACAGAAGGTAGCTTGGTACCGCCAGGTGTCTCTGGCTGTCCACTACTGCCGCCGCCGCTGAATGATTGTTCGAACGGGTTCGGTTCCAGGCTGAGCGACCCGCCTCCCGGCTGTTGTGAGAAGTAGTCCGCGTTGTTGCTCGCTTGTTGATTCTGCTGTTGACCAGGTCGCGGAGGTGGCGCGAGCGGTTTGGCAGCTTCGGCATTGGCTGGTCCGTCGGTCCGGTTGGATGAGTCCGTCTTTGCGTCCGTGGAAGCGTCTGTACAAGCCGTACCGTTAGCCAGGATGTCCGCGTGTTGATGAGTAAGTGCTTTGTGTATCCCAAGGCTGAGACGCAGGCGACGACAGCGAGGCTGCACACTGTTGCATCATACCCTAGGGCACGACATAGATGACGAAAGAGTACAAGAAGGAATATAGGGCTTACCAGGTTGCTGAGGCGGTTTGTTTGCTTGGGGGGGAGTCTTGGATTCACCTCTGGTCGAGGTGTCGATCGCTGTAGTCCCCATGACGACAATGATGTATGCTACCAAGTATGACGATAGAGAGGAGGAAAGGGTGGGGAGGGCGGACAAGAGTCAAAGCTGAGGCAGCGAACGGGTTGGGGGAGGAGAGAAAGTCTAATGACGAAAGACTAGGGCAGGCGGCAAAACAAATGGTAGTGCTGGGATGGGTAGCGTAGAAAAGGAATCTCTTGCTCTCTTCCTGTGGCGTAGACTTTGTTGCTGGAGGGCTTGGAGGCAAAAAAAAACTCCGAGAGTCCTCTCAGTTGTATCGACGCAACGCGATCCTGCCACCCAACTGACTGAGACGCGATTGTCTGGGTTGGTCTATCGTGGACCTGCTAAAATTGCAGCGATCCCTCACCAAACGGCACCGACGGCGACAATGGTCTTTTCCGTCGACAACGAGCGTTGCGCAGCGCGCAAAGAAGTCAAGTGCAACGACAGATCGTATGGGATCGAGCCAAGTCAACAGTCGCAAACGGTAGGCTTGGGTGTCGCTGCTGGGGAATGCTGAACGCGGTGCAGGGCGGTGCGTGCTAAGGTTCGTGGGCGCATCGATTGAGGGAAGACGTCAGAGATGACGTTGTGAGCAGCGAGGGAAAGCCGCAGGAAAAAAATAAGAAGGCGGCGGTCGTCCTGGTCTTGTGTGGCCGGCCGCTCCTCTCCGTCTGGAAATGCTGCCTGGTCTGAGCTCCGAATCCTGGCTTTGGATTGGTCCACTGCGTCTTCGATCGACCGGGGGGTTATGGCCTTTGGGGGGACGAATCTGCTTACAAACTCACTACACACTGTGACGGCACTGTCCGCTGTAATTACAAGCAGTTCACTCGAAATGGAGGGTGGGTGGCTGCGATCGCGATCAGGACGAAGCAGTGTGTGCCTGTGCCTGTCGCATCAGAGGCTGGATTGAACGCCAGCACATTCCCTAGCCAACTCTCCTTAACATTGCCGATTCCTCTCACACAGAACAATCTCACTACAAGACCCCATCACGATTATCCCCTCATTGAACGCCGATTGTGCTGCACTGCACTGGTCTCCGTCTGCCCAGCGGTTCTTATGAACAGATCGCGCCTATAGGCACCTTCACCACCTGTGTTGACAAGAAGCGCGGCAGGATTCGTACTGTGCGACTGGACTTTCGAAAAGAGCCCACCCCTGAGGAGCAGTATCTGCGTTTGATTGGATTACATGTCTGCTATGGAGCACACATCCCTGCCCACCCTCACGCGGCAGCCGGGTTGAGTCGTCGTCATAGGTCAAAGTAACGGAGCAGAACATCCCACATGTGATGACGCCAGGTCGAGACCGTTTTCTACGTTGTCGGCGAGAGAGCTTCCAGTGCCTTTACAGCAGCCGGTGGATGGCAGAGAAACGTGGGACGTACAACGAGAGCCCCAACATACCCAAGTTCCATCGCTCGATCATTATTATTAATGCAGCGATTGTGGTGGTGGCGATACTCAATCACCTCTGCCAAGTCTGACTAGATTCGGCCGTACTCCCGTTTTGGACCGCTTCAGCCTTCGATCATCTTTGCCGTTTTGCCTGCAACTGGCCGTTTCGGCAGATCATCCATTCCTTGGTCAAGTTGTCGGCTCAGGGGCTTCTGAAAGGGGCATTTTCCGTTCAAAGGGCTGTTTGAAATTTAAGGAGAAAGAAAGGCTGTCGCAGGCACCGAATCTCTTCCTGAACCTCGTCTTCTGCTGGATGATTGTAGCAGCGCAAATACAAAAGCACCTCGATGACGTCAGAGCTTCGTCAAATAACTCTGCACCGCTCCCGGAGTGCTCGCTGCACGCGGTCCAAAGATTTGACGAGTTCGCGGCAGCGTGCGAGCATTTGCGTACTACGTACGTATAGTAGATTTGACGGCTGGCCGAAGCCGCAGATAGCTTGCTGATACAGTGATAATACGTACATCTGTTCCTTGATCGAGCGCGTCGCGTGGCTTGGACTTCCCCATCCGCCGGAGCAATCTCTACGCCCAGGTCGTTTTGATTCCGTGCTATCCCCGAGATCTGCGCGTCGAGCCTCTGTTGACACCGCAACATACTATCCCGATCCAGGCCTCGCGAGCGGCATCGCCTTTAGGCTCACGATGCAAAACGGGGCCCCGCGGCTTTAGGTGTAACTATGACGTATCCCTGTATCCGTCTCAGCCGCCCCCCATGTTGTGCGAGTACGGAGTAGTTCGCGACAACAGCTCCTGAGTGTCGACGTGGATGTTTCCGTTGATTCCCAGTACCGTACAGCTAACGTGCATAACAACTCTAAAATCTTGCTGCAGATTGCTGGAATTATTTGAGATTCCGCTCGCTGTACACACAAATTGGGCCTGTCGCCAAAGAGCTTCGGTTCATCAACGTACCTGAGCTGTCATGACAGTCTGCGAAGGCCAGTGCTCAGTAAAGAATGAAGGGTGATGCGTTTCATTGAGAGTCTATATGCGATGCCATCCGTTGAAGGCAATCGTCATGTTACGCCCGAACAGTGTGCTGGCTCATACTAGGGACCCTTAGACCAGAGAATGATCTTTCTCCCCACTCCTCTCCTCCCGAACGAGTTAACGGACAATGTTGCGTTCGGTCGTTCACCATCCATCTGCTTCGACTTCATCGACGGCATCAAAGGCTGAGCCCCCAGCATAGTCGTTGCCCTCGTCAGTAGCACCAGCGTCGTCGTAGCCAGGTGCATCACCGCCAGCCTCGCCGTCCGCTTGCGGGCAGCGAGCCTTCGTGTGGCCCTTCTCTTTGCAAACCGAGCAAGTGATTTTAGAATCTGCAGAACTAGTCAGTATTGCCATATCATCTTCGGTCATAAAACCTACAATCCTTGGGCTTCGGGCAACCGAAGAATTTGTGGCCCTCTTCACCACAGTTGAGGCATGTCTCGGGTTTTTCGCAGTCCTTGCTGTAGTGGCCCACTACGAACCTGTTAGAAGCATTCACATGATATCGGGGAGTTGACTTACTTTCACCACACTTGCGACACTCCACATTGTCCATATTGGGAGGCTCGGTGCACTCATTGGCGCGGTGACCAGAGCCACTGCCAGACGACGGTCAGCATAACAACAAAAGGGGTTTGAGGGTACCCACCCGCAATTGCGACAGGCGTTCTTGTCAACGCGAGGTTGCTTGCCTGTGTGGCGTCAGTATGGAAAGCTCAACAGATAAGAAGAAAGGTCACCTACAATAGAGTAGACGATGGCCCTCCTCGTTGCAGTTCGGGCATGTGATGATCTCGCGGGAGCGCTCAGCCTTGGGTTCAGGACAGTCTCGGGATCCATGACCCCACTCATTGCAGTTGAAGCATTGGCGCTTATGAGACGGCACACGCTCGCCAGCATCATCCAGACGTTGCAGGATTTCGTCCATGTTCTCGGGCCAGCCCTCGCGCTCGCGGGGCCGACGTGGTTTGTCAGAGAGTCGAACCGAGATCATGTACTTCTTGTCGGCATTTCCTTGCAGATCAACATTCGTAAAAGACGGCTCTACCTCGGTCTCCAGAGCGATGAGGAAGACGCTCAAGCCCGAGTTATTGAAGCCTTCTTGGAGGCTACGGTAGATCGTCTCTGGGAACTCCACGAGAATCGCCTTGACGTATTGTTGAAACGCGATCAAAAGGTCATCGATATCCTTTTCCTTGACAGCTTCTTCGATATCGTTCCAAGCCGCCTCCGTCGACTTGTCAGCGATATGACTGCGGTCCACGGGGGGGACCATGGTGCACTCTTTGCTCATGTGGCCTTCGTTGCCACAGCGGCGGCACGTCTGGGGTACCGGACACTCCTTTGCCATGTGGCCTTCCTCATTGCATCGGCGACAAACCATGGCAGGCTTCGTAGGGCAGTCTCGGCCTATGTGTCTGTTGCCTCGTTAGCCCATACTCGTGGTTCGACTGCTGAGAATGCAGGCAGAAAGTCTTACCCAGCCTCGCCGCAGTGATAGCAAGCTCTGTCGTCGTCGAAGATTTGCTCCCCTGCATCGTCGCGGACTTGACGGGTTGGTCTTCGATGTCATTGCCTGTGTTCCAGGTCTGAGCATCCTCCGACGTATTCCACGTGCCGGCCATGGTCGCAATTTCCGGCAATGACTGGACCGTGACTACTTGTAAAGAACGGTGGGACCTGTAAGTTTGTTAACAGAATCCAGTGCAGGTATGACCTGCTTTGCAGTTGAATTCAGTCCTAATCAAGAGGTGTGCTTCTTGTTCGCCGCTAGTGCAAGGAAGCGCTCGATCACCTCAAGGGAAACCGCGAGGAGTGAAGGCTCGTGACAAGCGGAAGTTGACAGAATTTACTTCCCATCACAGGGGATCAGTGTCGTATAGAAGATACTGCAGTGGATGGGGATGTAGATTGGAAGCTGGAAGCTCAGAAGTCTCCTCAATTGCGCCTCGCTGAAGCGAGGGCTATTGCCAATGCATTGCCGCCAATGTCGCCTCCCAAATGCAGAAGGTAGCTGACAAAAGTAGATCCAAGAAGATTTAGATAATGACTTACTGGGTCAGCAGAGCCTTCCTGGAAAGATTTTGTTTCGGCGGTTAGGAATTGAAGCGTGGCAGAGGCAGGTGTTTGCGAGGGGCAGGATGATGTTGAGGAAAAGAGGAAGTGAGGAAGTGAGGAAGGCCATTTTATTATTCAATTCTCAGGCTTCCAGGCAACAAGATTTCTCTGTTCTCTCTCCGTCTGAAGTGCGCACTTCAGTGCTTGGAGCGCGCTCAGTGGCATCCTCCAGTGACTGGAGTCGCAGAAGAGCGTGCACTTTCAGGCAGGAGCGCGCCTAGGAGGCACTTGCTGTAGCAACGACTGGAGGTCGGTCACACGGGTGTTAGGCTGTTTTCAGGCTTATTTATTTGCCTTGCAGGCTATCTGAGGCAGTGGCATCACTTGGCGTCTCTAAACGTCAAGTGCCGGAGTAGAAGGTACCTTACCTTTTAATGAACCTTACGTACCTTCGATCTGACCACTGTTTCAATATATATTTCCGCATCATCTAGACTTGGTGGAAGTACCCAGTGGTTATCTTGATATATAAGGTTTCTTGGTATGGGGACGAAATCATTGTCTTGTCGAGTCTCTGTCATCGTTTGTGCAAACGGGGCACACGGGTCACAAATGCCGGTGGGACAAGGGTAGATAGATGCGACTTCAAATCGAACCAGGATAAATCACTGCAATGCATCCTATATAAAGATTACAGACAGATTCAATCGTTCTTCTTGCTGGACGGGTGGCAGAAATCTGGCTGGTTTTCACGAGCTCGCGACACTATGGTGATGGAAAAGGGGCGGAAACATATAAACACATGACGTGGGGCAGCAGCCGCCTGGCAAGAAAACGTCCACTCAAGTCAGCCCGAGACAGCGAGAGAACGATAAATAATTGCCAACTTGAAGTGCGGCGGCACTTTGATCAATTCCTGTCATTTCCGACGCAGCGAACGCTCCATAGTCATGTACCTAATCGCATTCCAAAATCCCTCAAAGGTTGCGTGGTTCGTGCCTCTCAGGCTCTGCCCGAATCCTTCGCTACAGCTGATTTGCCACCTTCCTCGTCGTCGCTATCGTCGCCGATGCTGTATTTGCTGCCGTTGTGTCCAGAGGGCGCATCAGTGTGTAAGTCATCCAACTCACCATCATCGAATGCCGCAGCTTCCAGGTCGCCGTCACCTGGCTTCCTGCGAAACCCTTCCAGGGTACTTGGCTCTCCATCGACAGCGTGGTACGCAGCACGCTTGCGGCGTTCACTCCAGACGAAGTATCCCCAAGCGGAGGCCGCGATGATGACAATCACAAGAACGACTCCGCCAGACCTCCTATAAGCCTGCCACTTTGCTTTCTGCACCTCGTCGGAATCTTCATCAGCGTGGCTCCCATCGGAATCGCCAACGGCCGTATTGGGGCCCTTCTCGCCATCGATCAGGCTGTCGACCGGCTTTCCGCCGATACTGCTGACATCGATGCCCATGAATCGATCAAGCATGTCTCGGGAACGACGAGGGTAGTCGAAAGGGACCATGTGAGATGCATCCTTGAAGAGCACATAGGTCAGGTTACGGGCTTCTTGCCAGAAACCTGCATCATCCCCCTCAAAGGTCCAGTTGCGTCGAGGTGCCCAATTGCCAGCGCTTGTTTCGAAGCCCTTGCCGCCGTTCCATTCCATGTTGCTGATCATGTCCTCTGTGCCAATGTGGTTGCAAATGAGATCCTCGGCCCCCGAGAAGAGAAGGGTGGGTACCTCTGCGATGAGGTCCGGGAGCAGGTCTATGGCGGGCTTTGACTTTTGTGCCCTGAAGGATGAGCTCACAGCTCCATTGCATTCCTGCCATCCGGCATTGCGCTGCTCGTTGACATGGAGGGCTTGCAGAACCTCTTTCTTCCTCAGGTATGGTGTCATCTGCTTGAGGTCTGGCGGCCAGTTCATTCCGCAGCTCGGGTATGAGTCCCGCAATCGAACATCGTACATGTTGATACAGGCATTGTCGCCGTCTCCCTCCTTCAGATACTTGAGCAACTTCGAGAGAATGTCCTCACATTCGCCATAGTCGACGTGGCCAGGTTTGTCGCTCACAATTTTATGACAAGTCTGCAACATTTCCTCGAGCTTCTTGTCGTCGGCGGAGCCCTTCTCAAGGAGGCCTTTCTGACGGGCAAACTTTGTGTAGGAATCGTACTGATCATATGGCGAGATCCAACCGTTTCCGATAAGCAGTCCCGCCAAATTCCACGCGTCTTTTCCATTTCTGTTCCGGTCGAGGATTCCGCGTGCGATATAAGGGATGTGCTGGCCGGCATAGGACTCGCCTGCGATGTAGATCTGCCAATGTCAGTCAGGGTCAAGAGGGCTTTGCGGATGGCACCAACATCGTCCTGCGCAAAGTGTGGAAACATCTCGAAGAATTTCTCGAGGAATGTCACGAAATTGTCGGCCATCTCGTCAAGCTCGTGGATGTAGCTATCGGTGTCGACATAGCTGAAACCTGTCCCGACGGGATTGTCGACGAACAAAAGGTTCGCAAATTCGTTCCACGACCCTTCGTTGAGTCTCAACGTGCCGTCCTCATTTACTCGGTATGGCCCAACTTCCATGAGGGCGCCATCCTCAGAACTACACCCAGGACCACCGTTGATCCATATGACAGTGCGTTGCTTGTTCGCAATGTGTTGGTTCTGGAAATGCCAGAAGAAGAGGTTGCCGTTGTGCTCCTCGGTGACTTCGATGTGCCTATATGATGCAACGACACGTCAGCCACTATTGTTGCGCTCGGCAGCGGATAGCCCGGTTCAGCACGTACCCAGCGTGCATTTTGATCGGCTCAGCATCTTGAGGGACACCAGGAAGGTCAGTGACAAAGTAGTCAGCTGCCGACTTGCCAGCGACAAGTGTGGCTGGCCCTAGACCAAGCAGCAGCACCATCGGCCATTGTCGCATGGCGGACAGGAGGGAAGCCATGATGACGCGCCCGACGCAGCGCCTGGTTGGGTACAGACGGAGGATAGGTTCAACAAAAAGCGCAAGCGCCTAATCAATACAATGATGCGCTGAGCATCGAGATTTTGGGAGGAAAAGATGATGCAGGAAGTTCAAATTCAAAAGACGATCTAATCAGGGAGGGAGGCTGTCTCAGATGTTCGAGGGTCCCTTAACGTTAAGGTAAGGTAAACGGGCAACCGCTGTGGCGCGGATCCAGCTGCAGCCTGAGCCTGTGGCTTGGCGTGGGGCCCAGGATCCCCTCGATGCCACCAGATGTATCATATCCCCTGCCACGCCGTATCCTCTTGCATTCAACTAGACGTGCAGATCATCCTAATGCAAACCAGTACGCAATGGCGAGTTTTATCATGCGATATGACGCTTTGCGGATACCTGCGTAACGTACTGCTTTTGGGCGACTTCGCCGGCGATGGTGAAAGTTAGAGGTGGCGCAGTTTCTCAAACTGAGAGGCTTGAATACGTCTCGAAGCACAGGCACTCCATTGATGCATTGATCCCCCTTGGAGCATGAATCGAAAGGTCCAGACTTTTGCATCTAGCAGAATTAATTAATATGGCTCCATCGATGGCGATACTTGTAGAGCACTAAAGCGAAAGATAGGAGTGAGCTACGAATTCTAAGGTACCTTACTGACTGAACGGCCCAGCGCCAACTTCATCCCACTAGAATTGAAGGCTTCAAAAGTTCAAATTCATTTCCACCCTCCTCCTCCGCCAGTAAGTTCCAACGCACATTCACAATGTCCGCCAAGAAGACTTTTATCGTTGAGCACCTGGACCCAGAGCTGGGACCATGGTCGGAGCTTGAATACATCGCCATTGCCAAAGAATCTCAAGCCACCAACACTGCGTTTATTCTTTCCAGTCTGCCCGATGGCTTCCGAGTGCCCACCGCACTGCAGGACGTCGAGGCTTTCACAGCCGAGAAAAGGGGTGTAGAGGAGCTCTACGCTGGCAAGAAGGAGAAAGTGTGCTTGCTCGATCCTGCTGCGGCCAAAGACCTATGCCCAGAGGATGGGGACGCCTTTGAGGCATTCCTTTTTGGCGGTATACTGGGTTCGTGAAGCCATTCATTGTGAACGCACCCGCGCTAACATTCTTCAGGCGACGATCCTCCGCGGGGTTTGTTTTCTTCGAAAGTGAAGTGAATTCTTGCTAATGCAAGCAGACCGAACCTCTGAATTGAGGAAGAAAGGTTTCGAGGGACGCAGGCTGGGACCCAAACAGATGACAACTGATACCGCCGTGCGAGTCACTCGTATGGTTGTCCAGGATAAGAGTAAGGAGTGACATTATCGTTCGACTTTCCGCATGCTGACTTGTCGCAGTCGCCCTCGACAAGGTCCCTTATACAGACTTCCCAGAGCTGAAGTTCAGCCAACATGAGAGCACCGAGATGCCCTTCCGATATGTGGCAGACAAGGACGGAAACCCTATCATGCCCGAGGCGAGTCCATGAATGACTGCTAAGCTAGCTCACCGCTAATACATTCTCAGGGAATGAAGGAGCTGATACAAAAGGACGCTGACAAGGCTCTTGACGACCTATTCTAGCTTGCACCATAGCACATCACAGAACAGGGACTGTCAACTTCAGCAATTTGTCCATTGAATCAAGCAGTGAATGCTGAGGTTGCGCGCCTCTTGACTAATCGCACCCATCTCCTCCTGCGCCAGTCGCCACGACGAACAACAGCGTCTTCGCCCTCTTGCCAGCTAGTCTGCGGCAACACCTTCAGTTTGCTCATTTGGGGGGCTTCGACAACACCCACCTGTTCTTCTCGCTCATCGTACATGTCGTACACCCACCGTTCCCCCTCCGTTTCGACCTCCACGCCCGTGATGATGCGTTCTTCAACCCATTCGCGGCTCCATAGGTCCAAAGCCCATTTCTTCTCGCTCCATTCCCAACCCTCCGGCGCCAGAACATCTTCAAAGAACCTAGCGCCCCTTGGGCGATCGCCTGTGATACGAGCTTGTGACAGCGGGTCGTAGGGAGACGGCGTGAAGAGCCAGGGCTCCCATTCGCCTGCTTCTGACATCCTCTGCAGCTCAAATACCTCTACTTCGCGTGTTTCTGGCGCAGAGTCAAGGATCACGTCGTTGGCAATCCAGTTGTCGAGCCACGTCTTGGCCTGGACCTCACGAGGTTGTATGTGCTCCTCGTGGGTCGTCACCAGCAGGCGAGCGATGGTCGGATGCCCCATGCCAATGCCTGCCCAGCCAGCCATCAGCGCGATGAACCGCCAAGGCAGGAGATGTGCTGTGATAGTCATAAAGACGCCACCGACGGCAAGAAACAAGAAAACAGCCGATGAGCGAGCCTCGTTACTGAAGTTCGTGATTGGAACAACCAACGACACTACTTGATCGTGTGCGTTGCTGAAATCATCCATGCAATTTTGTAGGTCTCTCATGTTGCGGAAAAAATCTTTGCTGAGTTCCTTGACCGGGCGCACAGTAGCCGCCGGCGCCAACGGTGGCCCTCGCGGGGAGTATCCTACGCCTTGTTCGCTAGACAGTGTCCCTTTTGGAGGAGCCGGGTGCCTCGCCAGGAAAGCTGGGATGAGTACGCCAACCACGAGTATGGCGATCGGCAAGACGGAGAGCAGATACGGATCGAGGCAGATGAACGTATAGACGGCAAGCAACGACATGGTCTGCGAGGGCTGATGCCACGAGAGGATGCGCAGAGCTTTTGACTGGAACTTGAATACCACCCCTATTCGTGCGTTGAATCGACGGAAGTTGTTCGACATGGTTGTGATGTTGAAATTCGGTCGCTGCGCAAAGGCAGGCGCCTTGTCGTCCGCAATGATGGGCACATCGCTGCCCTCATCGTCGGTCGGGATGACTTGCTGCAATAGTCTTCACGATTGTCAGCGCGCTGTGATAATCCACACTGCAGATACGACGTACTTCTCCACCAAGCGATCCTGGACGCTGGCCTTCTCGCGAAAAGCAGCAAACCCGTTTCTCAACCCAGCTTTCGGTGTTGGTGTCGTCGACTCGTTATCGACCATTGGGCGAGCTTGCTCTTTTTCACGTTGTGCCTCGTCATGTTGTTCCCTGGCCAAATACTCTGCCGTGAACTCGTCCATTATGCTTTTGAAGACTGCGCGGTCTATCACGCGTGGAGTTGTCGGTCTTCCTCGAGAAACGTAGGTGCAAGTGGCGGGTTGAAATGCCTGCGAGGATCCAGTAGGGCCGAGGCATGTGAAGTCCCAGTCCGCTGACATCACCTTCGCATGCGATGTTGAAGCGCGAACGCGGTACAGGCTGTCTATGAATTGTCTAGGCAGTAGTCCACCGTGGCGTCAGGATCAAGGCTCAAATTGTCGTTGTTTCCATTATCACGCCGGATTAGATCATCTCCTCTTGATCCTTTCTACGCATAATGTATTTGATTGCTGGAAGATCGGATACTTCGATCTGGGCCAAACCTGACTTCTGACCAGAGTGCCAGCCCCACTCTTCACGTAGCAAGTGCCGTGTTGCTGTGGTACACGCATAATACCTACCCTGCAGTAGCAAGACGCTGCTGTTATTTACTCCCACGTTGCCGGTGCTTGCTACCGAGTACTTGATTTGCGAAATTAGAAGATATGTGTCCGCATAGGAATGGCTGTGGTGGTTTGATAATGTCACAGACGTAGATGATCGTCCGCTGCCTGGCGACAAATATATACCTGGTACCGATTAAATGTAACAAAGAACATGGAATCTTGTCCACGTAAAATCGCAGGAGCGCTAACTTTTGCGCGCATCTCATTATCCAACTGCCATATATATCATTTTCTGGAACCAGAGATCATGTATCGCAGGTCATGATCACGATGCGAGTGTGAAGAGACATATCTATTATACTTATAGTAAACATCACGGCATTCATGGCCTAACTTACAGATATCAGAGGAGCTGTCAATGCCATCGCTGAAGGGTGTGGACCATGAGTTTAGTGGGTACGCCACATAGGGGTCTCATTTCGCCGGCTCTTGGCCTCTCCACCAAGTCTTGCTGAGATGAACATGAATAGGCTTCACTACGTCCACATCAATTCGGATGTCACTTTGGACAGCTATACGTAGCGGAAGACATCTAATGTCTCGCACAGCCGGGTTCTCGGCCAGAAACGGTCACCGAATAGTACTAGTACTCAACGATATCTCGTTAATCTGCGGTCACGGTGGTACTCATTCACAGGCCCACACTGCCGCTATAGCAAGGTACCGCTGTACCATTGAATTGAGGTCTGCTAGAAAGTGTCTCATTGGCCATAATTGGCGTAGCCCTCTGGCACTACACCAATCACGATGGCTGGGAGCTGAGCTATGCCCCACCTCTACCCCTGGAAGCTTGCACCTGCGCTCGAAGATTGGCGTTGGATTGACAGTTGATTCGGTCGGATCCTGTCCCTCCTGGCGAAAAACAACGACGAGAGTGAGCCCCGTGGATTGACAAGGGATTATTATCCAGCCCATCAATTGCCCGTTCCCACCGACAATATCATCGGCTTGCCTTCCTTGTGCAACCTGCCGGCCCTGCTGCTGTTCCTCCTGTGCCCGGTCGGATCTCACCAGCACGATTTCTCCCGCAGGCCATCGAATCCAGCGCATCACTCCTCCTCTCCATCGCGACGACGACGTTCCAGACGGCACGACGCGATCGGAATGAGGTAGCTTTCTGATTGCTCTCAGCTCCCTGGCAGGACTGAGGCTCTCACGGTTCCACGTCACTGTGCAATCCGGTGACCACACGGGTAGGAGCCATCTCGAACATCGGGTTCGACGTGAGCCTCTGAGCAGGCCATAGGTCTCGCTTCCCCAGATCCCATGCCACCGGAGTACAGTACTTCGGCCGAGCCTCGAGCGGCAAATAACTCCCCCATTCGAAAGTAAGTCTGCTCTTCTATCTGTGTGTGGCGGACGCTGACCCTGGCATCAGACAAAGAATCACCCCGAACCCCCCACCGCCGCTTACGTTCGTTGATGCCTCGCTCTCGACCAAGGCTCCGATGTTAAGCGCATCCTCGTCCAACAATCACTCGCTATTCTCATTCGGGCGGAATGGGGCATCGAAGCAGTCTGACGAGCAGGCGACGGGGTCCTACGACTTCCTGCCCTCTGTGAGCTTCGACGACCTCCAAACCAGCATCGAATCGGCATCCACAGAGTTCACTCTGACCCAATTTCCGTCACCAACGGGCGAGGGCAGCATCCTGGAGTCGCATACCATGCCGGAACGAAAGATTCCGGAGCGACCTCCTGTGACACATCAGGCTGCCTCTGCTGCTACACCCCACGATGTCGCCCCAGCTACGACGGCCTCGCGCCCGACACGGTCTGGCTCGATCCTGCGGAGGCCCAGTACATCCAGCCGACAGCCCAGCATCTCTTCCGTGCGTGCGCCGGGGAACACCGCGACCGATACGAATACACCACCAGTGGCTATGCGTAGTCGTCGGCAGAGTCACTATCCACCTGTCTCAAACCCTGCAATGACGAGCAGACCGCCCCGGAAGTCAATCGGCCCAGGGGTTACGGCAGAGACTACGGAGACATTTGCGAGCGGCCAAAGACGCCGCCCCAGCCTGATGGCTGAGCGAATGGCAGGGGACGCCACGACAAGCACACTTGATATGCCATTTGGTGCGCCAACTGATGCACCTCGTCAACTAAGCAGTAATAGGACACAGAAAGCGAAGTCTGTTCAGCCACCACCTCGGACGAGTCAGGCAAATTTATCGACTGGCGACACGTTGGCACCCGAGCCTCATCGCCTATCGACTGTGGCGGCCCAGCCGCCACGTACCGGAGGACGAGGGTCGACGCCATCTTCAGCGAACAACAAGAGGATGTCCACGATGCCCAACAATCACCACGGATCACATGCATCAGGTCTCGGGGCCAGAACGATTAGTCCTACAGACACTCGGAGAGCGAAGCGCATGTCGACCATGCCGACGTCACAAAGCCTGAGCCACATTGTCCATGTCCCACCACCGCCCCCAGTGTCCATGGACTATCGCGCTGATTCGCGGTCGCCTTCTATGATTCCAAGAAGGGCTTCTGGGACACCATCTTCTGCCAGGACCACACCCGACATCAGCAACCGCAAATCGTACAGCTCAGGGCTATCCATTGCTTCTAGTACAAGCTATCCGGCCGTCAGGACGTCCACTGGCCCAATTCAAACGCGACTCCCCGCGTCGGCTTCAGCATCTCGTTTGCCAGCACCGAAACACACAACAGTGCATAATCCGTTACCTGCAGAAAGCGAGGAAGAGGTACCGCCTGTACCAGCGATACCAAAAGCATACGAGTCGCCGAAGGGCTCACCGGCGGAAGCCCTGTTCATCGATAGGAAAAAGTCTGGCCTCGGTGGCATTGATGCGCTTAGTATCCACAGCAATTCCACGGGTAGTATCACCATGCCTGTTCAACCTGAACCGGTAAAAGGTGTACGGAAATCTTGTGCCCGGCAGAATTTCTCTAAACCAGAGTCAACTGTTGAGGCTGAGAAGCCTGATACACCATCGAGCAGGAAACATCTTCAGCCTCTCAGCCTCCCCCCTATCAACCTGGGTCCTCTCAACATCCCCCACCTTACCAAGACTTCGAGTCAAGAGCATGGCCCCATCGATAGGAACCTAAGCCCACCGCCATCTCGACAGATCCCAAAGACGCCCACCACGCCGATGACAGCCTCCAGGAGCGCATTTTTCTCCAAGCATCGTTTCGATAATACGGTGGAACTCCCGTCTTTGCGCAGCAGCAGCTCTGTTCACATGAACCCTCGAGCAACTCCCACACCACCAGACGAGGATTCATCCGTGTCTTCTGTTGGACTCAAGGAGCCATTTGAGGAACACAAGTCAAGCATCTCGCCCTTCCTCTCATCGTCTGCACCAAAAAGCGGGTTTGAATCCCATTTCCTGAAAAGAACCCAGACAGATGCCGGCAACCGCACTATGCCAGGAGCTCCGTTAGAGGGACGTACTCATCAAAAGCCAGCGGGTCCACGAGCACCCCGGGACGAAAAAACAGTGGCAAAGTCGCCCACCCCGGGTCCAGCACCAGAGGAGCCCACCACACCCTCCTCGATGAGTTCTCTCAGGAGGAAGCTGAGTCTGACATGGAAACGCGACAAGACCAAGGGCAGCAATGCCAGCACCAACGAAGCCGGAGACAAGTCGACACAGCCTGCGCATCCGCAACTTCCAACAAGACAAGATAGCATGCCCCCGCCGCGCATACCGGTTTCTGCGACTGTGAACTCCCTGTCGAACATCAAACAGTCCGACGTTGCCACATCTAAACCCAATGGGGGCTATCTTGAGTCTAGGCGACGAAAGAGCTCCGCAGCCAGCTTGAGCACATACTCTTCTCATGACCGAACCAAGAGCGACCCGTGGAGCAGCAAAAAGGACACACCAGATGCCTCGACGATGCCTACAGCTCGCCACACCTCCGTCATGAACAAGCTCCTGAAGCCCAAGCCTTCCGCAAGCACAATACAAAATTCCGATGCATGGTCCACCGAACTGGACAAGGATGACCTGGGTGCCGAGGATGAGATGCGGAAGATGGGGTCTCGCCGCAAGGAAACGGAAATTGCTGCGCGCACCATTGACGCTCTTCGAAAGAGAGCCACGCGCAAGGAAAGAGTTGGCCCACACGAGGCAATTCGCGTGGCGATGCTCAACATTTACGAGCGCGGCGAGATTGTGGACTACCCTGACATATACTTTTGTGGTACACAGGGCGCGGCCAAGGTGGTTGGGGACATGAAGTCAGACGCGCCGAACTTTGGCTACGACGATGATCGCGGTGATTACACCATTGTTCCTGGCGATCATCTCTCATTCCGTTATGAGATTGTCGATATCCTGGGCAAAGGAAGTTTTGGACAGGTCGTGCGATGCATAGATCACAAGCTTGGCGTCCTAGTGGCTGTGAAGATCATCAGAAATAAGAAGCGCTTCCACCAGCAGGCACTAGTCGAGGTCGACATCTTGCAGAAGCTGCGGGAATGGGTGAGTCTTGAGCGCCCGTCGGGAACTCACACGTACTGATATTTAGCAGGACCCTCATAACGAGCACAGCATGGTCAACTTTACGCAGAGCTTCTACTTCCGCGGCCATCTCTGCATCTCGACTGAGTTGCTGGACATGAACCTGTACGAGTTTATCAAGACGCACTCCTTCCGAGGCTTTTCTCTGCGCATCGTTCGGCGTTTCACCAAGCAGATCCTCAGCTCGCTCATCCTGCTCAAGCAGAAACGCGTCATCCACTGCGACTTGAAGCCTGAAAACATCCTTTTGCGCCACCCTCTCCATTCGGAGATCAAAGTGATCGATTTCGGATCCAGCTGCTTCGAGAATGAGAAGGTCTACACATATATCCAATCTCGCTTCTACCGATCGCCCGAAGTCATTCTGGGCATGACATATGGGCTGCCAATCGACATGTGGAGCGTGGGCTGCATCTTGGCTGAATTGTACACGGGTGTGCCCATCTTCCCCGGCGAGAACGAGCAGGAGCAGCTTGCCTGCATCATGGAAGTATTTGGACCACCAGAGAAACACTTGATCGAGAAAAGCACCCGGAAGAAGCTCTTCTTTGATTCAATGGGCAAGCCTCGACTGACGGTCTCGTCCAAGGGTCGCCGTCGCCGCCCGTCCTCCAAGACATTGCAGCAGGTCTTGAAGTGCGACGATGAGCCATTCCTTGATTTCCTGGCGCGATGCCTGCGATGGGACCCAGACCGCCGCTTGAAGCCTGAGGAAGCTATCCGGCATGAGTTCATAACAGGCAAGAAGACGATAGCACCACCGCAGAGACAACCTACGCGCGAGTCTTCGCCCGTCAAGCGGCACAACACGGTATCTGCGCCACGCCCGCTGCCAGAGCCACCAGCGATAGGCATGAAGCCAGCAGCTGGCCCCAGGACTGGGCCAAGTCCTCACAAACCGGTTGCTGGGGGCGCGAGGCGGATTTCCGGGGCTACGGCCCCCACGACAGCCAGCAGTGCCAAGCGGACGAGCACGGGCAACAGCCTCGGCGCAGGCGTTGGCAGTTCAGCCAGTGGCCTCCCGAGGGCAGCAGGTCGCAGTGCTAGCGGCAAACAAGACCTTGCCGCGGCCGGGGCGACGGCTGCGATGAGTCGACGTGTGTGAATGATACGATACACCATAGAGGGACGACATGATATGCATTAGAAGTGTGAAGGGGCGGTGGTGGTGGTGTCAGGAGAGAAGATGGAATGGGCCACACATGGGAGTAGTGGATCCCCCTTTTTGTGTGTTGAATTACGGCATCAAGATATACCAAGCATTGAGCGAGCACAGTAAGCTTTGATCTTCAACTGGGGCAGCTCTTTCGGAGCAAGCCCCGTTACTTATATGTACCTGCAGTTGCTGGAAGTAGACGGACGGACTAGAGGGAGTCAGCCGTCATAGAAAGACATTGCCTTGAGAGGTACGTGAACCATCTCGCGTGAAGGCGGACGTGGAGTATGAAGCGCCTGCGAAGGCAGTCTGTCCCCTGGTACCTGGGCGAAAGAAAGGCTGTACGTCCAAGATGGATCATTGCTATTTTTACACATTTGATTCCTGACTGTCAATGACGCCTCTCCACTCGCTGCACTATTCCACAGCGACCACCGTTTCATGGTCCCCGGCAATGGTGTGCCCAGTGCATGCCTGATGTGAGATCACAGACGGCAGCCTAAACTCGACCCTGTCTGAGGCGCCGGCAAATGCGGCGCACAGTCCAAAGAGGGACGTATCTTGCAGACACAAGCGCGGTGTGCTCCGTCCTTTCTGCGTTTGTAGTTATTTGCGTGGTTCGCATGTGCGTACATACGTACGTACCCAGACTGTCCGTCCTGTATCAAGGCGTCGCGGCTAACGCAGGCAGAAATGCACAAAAGCTCGGGATGAGTCACCTCCTCGACATTGATGACGGCAGTAAGTTCAAGACGAAGCAAGCCCGCCATACGGGACTTTCTGGGAATTCGGCAGCGTGTCCTCAAGGACCAAGGTTCGCGCGTCTCTAGCGGTATGTAATCCCATCGTCTCTCCGTCTCACCAAGTTCCTGTCCGTCCCAATCGGGCAAGCAAGGCTGCGAGGCGCCGGCCGGCGACCCCGAAGGTTTGCTAAACACCTCCGTCCGGTCGGGTTTTGGGGGCGCAGCTCGAGCTCCAGTCCATGCCGTACTTAGTCTGGTCGTCGCCCGGGGAGGAGAAGAAGGTGGGGGCGTCGCCTTTGCGCTCCAGGCGATTTCTGGCCCGGGATTGGCTGGTGACGGACGTTTCCCAAATGTCGGATGCAAGTCACTGCGCGGGTTCCCCACAGTGGGCTCGGCCGGGCCTTGACTAGCACAAGGCTGAACGTTGGGAGATCTGCTGCTTGGCTCGGTGAGTACCTAGATGAGGTCATTTGCTGACGTTCGGGATAGACTCGTCGCAGATGTAGCTCAAGTTCGCGTAGCTACTAGACTATGTTAGACTAGCCAGGACTGTCCCCTTGACTTGCTGCTCCAGCTCTGTTCTATGTTTAGAAGGTCGTCCATCTCGGAAAAGAGCGAACTAACTTAGATGCCGAGTACTATGCAGGTAGGTTCGGGCAATTCCATCTGCCGTCTTGATGCCCTCATGGAAGAGACAGTATAAGGTAGGCAAGGTGGACTGTCGTCAGTTGCGCTTGAGTCATCACTCACGTGAGGTTCATGGCCACCCTTGTGGCGCATATTGCCTAAGGTAAGGTATGGCAATTAAGACTCGGTCTCGAGACTTGATCATGGGGTGTCACAGGCCCTCTAGGTAGACTCAATTGCTGCATGACGGGAGGGTTGCAATGCCTACATGTAATTGCCACCCCAATTGACATGTTGGCGAGTCGGCTCCGGACATTGTTTACCTTACGACTCTACATACGCCCCCAAAAGCGTTCTGGGCCTGACTCCTGGGTCTTGAGATGCAGTCAGTGGCCACCCCCAATGCAACTTGCCACTCGCCCATTGTGGTGAATGCACAGCGGCGATCCTTGTACCTGTGCATCGCAACAGAGAATTAAGCTTCGTAGGGCTGAAGCAAGCAAACCAAGGCAGGACTCACAACGCAACGTAGGTTTTTGGCGTGTCTCAGATTGGCGTCGGGGGGCGGTTAGCTGACTGCAATGATGCGCTTCATTACCACAACGCAAGGCCAAGACATGCACAGATTGGGGTGTGCGTTGACAGGCTTGGAGTGTAGCTTGTAGTGACAAGGCGTCCGAGACAGGACGACAGATGTCGACTGATGCAAGAAAGACAAGAGGACTGACTGGAGGGAGGAAATGCAGCTGGTTGATGAGCTCCAGGCAGCGACTCCAATTGACCCCACCACTGGCCGGGCGACTGCCCTGCTGGGCCACTGCGCAAGAGTCGGCAGAGCAAAGGACCTGCAAGTTGCAACCAACAACTCGAGTCAGTCTAATCCTCCGTACTGCGAAAGAAATGTACGACAGTCGCGAGATATCGCTCGACTGGCCGCATTGGCAACCCTGGCTCGTCTTCTGCAGGTGATCGAGGGTGGATCACGGCCGCGACGTCTACGACGAACAGTACCAGCAATGTTGACGTCTTTCTGCTGACTGGACCCATTGTGGATGGATCATGCTCACTCATAGTCACTGCTCGCCTGCAGTTCAGCCTCCGCCCTATCGGCCCTGCGCCACCCTCGAGAGGGTTTCCGCCTTTGTCGACTCGCGCGAGAGAACGATTCGAACCCTGTCGCGCGATCAATTGCCCTCGCCAGCCGACCACCTGCGCCTGCAGGTGCCCAATTGCGTACTATGTACACTGTCGAACCATCAATTGCGAACCGCGCACCCCACGAGGGAGCATTGGACCTGTAGCCCGGGTTAGTCATATGTGTCCGGAGTCTCTGGACCCTGGTTCGGCGGAGAGAGACGGTCGTCCACCTCTGGCTGGCGTCACTGGTGCCTGTCATCGCCGCAGCCACACTGGGAAGCACAGCACAACACAGCACAACACAGCACAACACAGCACAGCAGAGGAACCACGCCCATTCTCACCGTTATTCCTCTTTCCCGACACTGTCCTGTGCTCAGGGCAATGGCTTTTATTATCTCTACATGCTTCAATGGGCCCAATCGACTGCGGCGTCCGGCATGACATGCCACTAGACTAATTAGTCCCTCTCGCCCAGCTGGGGGGCCAGGGCCAGGGCCGCGCCAGGCCCGCCCCGTCTGCCTGGATCCCGTGCCTGGCGTGGACCCCAAGCCTCAAGGTAGAGGAAGTACCCACATCTTCCACCGCCGACAACAGTCCCTCCCTCCCGCCCTCCCAAATCATCTATCTACACATTCAGAGAATGCCTTGCCTACTACTGCGCACGTCCAATCTTACCCCGGGGGTGCGTGCGGACCCTGGGACGTCGACTGGACCTCTGCCGGGCGAGTGTACCATGCCCGAGGACCAGGACAGGACAGGACAGGACAGGACAGGACAGGACACGATCTCTCTCTACTCTGCTAGTCTAGGCCCCAAGTCCTATAAGGCTACAATGTCTCTTCTCACAAGACCACATGCTCCACTCTCTCTGCCTGTTTGCCTAGTCTTCAGAGTCATAACCGAAGCAATCGACGCTCCTTTCTATACTTTCCCTTTGCTTCGTGCGGCCCGGCTCCGTGATTTATTATCTTTCCTGCTCGCCTCGTTTGAGCATTCCGTCTTGTCATCCTCATCTCATCACATCACATATCAGCTTGTCTGTTCGTTTGTTCGACGACCAACAGACCCAGCATAGCATTTGCCAAACCACGACCTGCAACACACTTCCGCAGTTCACTGCCAACCAACCAACACACCAACTCCAGCAGCACAACCCTCGACACAATGTGCTACCAACTGGTCGAGGTCTACGCGTCCTGCCGCTGCCTCTACTACCAACATGCCGTAGACCGATGCCCGTCCTATGGCAGGAAAAACCACGGCATTGAGCAACGGACAATCTCAGTTGGCTACGCCTGCTCTCGTCACGCTGCACGGGCAGAGGAGTACTCGTCAAAGTACTCCTACTCCGACTCTGGATACTACAGCAGTCAGTCAAGCAAGGGATACCGATGAAGAGTCTTGTCCTCAGCAGCACTCTGTCCGTCGAGCCTGCTACCTCGACGACTCACTTTTCGACTTGAACGACTGGGTCTCCTATCTCTACTCCTGCAACCCCTCTCTGCTTTCTGTTCTCATCGTGGACACTCGGCGCCGACATAAAGGGCGACTGTCTGCTTCGACATGAGAACGGTGCGAACGGAGGCCCCCTTTTCCCCGGACCCCTGGTATCACCTTGACGGACAACCACACGGTATTACTGAAGACACGAGGACACAAGCCCACAAAGAAGCACAGGGCATGTCACAGGAATTGAAGCAACTGGCTGGTCGGGCAAGCCCTACGGAATCATCTGTCCCGCTGGGTATTGTGAAAGACCTGCGGAGGGACCGCATTGACGCAAATACAGCGTCTGCATCATATGTGTGGGATGACTTGATGTCTGAACGCGCTGATGAAGGAGGATGATGAACGACGCGATGACTTTTTAGATTTCTTTTCTTTCTTTCACTCAGGGAACACCACGACAAGATCAATGGGTTGGTTGCCCGGGCTGCGAGGGCTAATATTCCCTTGTGCCTGGAGGGTGATGGAAGCAATGACGGACGACGACTTTTCATGGGTTATGATTCATTTTATATTCGGCAGGTGTCGATTGCCTCGCGGCAGCATTATTTTCTTTTTGTTCTTTGGGAGGGCTCTGCAGGCAGCCAACTGGTTTGGCTCGCCGGTGGGAGCCATGGGGGTATCGACCTGGTATGGGAGATCCCGTCACCCATAATGACCACTGTGGTACAATGGCGTGCCATGTGGAGTTGGGATGTTTTTGGGACGAGCGTGTTGTGTCTGTGTCATGGGCGAGTCCCGACTTTTTTGTACTTGTCTTTTCTTGTCTTACACTAGCTTTTACTAGTTGTGCTGCGCACAACTGCCAGCTGGCGACAAAGGCGAACGAAAACATGATCTGGTATCATGAATGGCTCTGGGAGCCACGGATGATTGATCTGGCATCATCATCCCACACTGCTTTGCTGGAACAAGGTGGCGTGGCCTTTGCGGGAACGCTGGATTGGAGAAAAGAAGGACTGCTATAGATTGCACTGGCTGCAATGTACCAACTCTCACGAGCATAGAACAATACATACACCTCACTCTCATGGATCACCGTCTGACTCTTCCGCCGGGGGGATCGGCCAGAGTTGACGTCGTGCTATGTACGAGGCAGATCGCCGGTCCCACATATATCTGCCGGACACCCAGGCAGTGTGCCCCGCCGCGCCTAAATGCAGCGCCTGCGTCGCTCACCGCGCGCTTATGTGAGCTTGGCGGTGACGGGGTGGATTCGGTGTATAATTATGTCACAGCCTCACAGGCACCACTTTTCATGTTGGATTAAGACATGATTCAGAGTGTCAAAGAGCCTTGAATCCATTCTCTTCCTGACATTGTGCAGAAGAAGTGTCATATGAAATACAAGACAGCTGTAAATCAAAGTCCCCATGCCACGCACGCCCAAACTCCATGGTCCTCTTTTGCATGCTAAACCAGTCCCAATGAAAACAAGTCCGAACCCTCCCATTGCTGTGTTGTTATCGTCTCGTCAAATCCTCATTGCACATTTAGAAAGAGATCGCCGCCCCGTCGCGTGGGTGTCAACTTTGGCATCCACCCAGGTGTCCGGGGTAAACCATCGTCGCCGCCATCACTCCCCTGCCGTGGGGTATGGGGAGGGGGAGGAGCATCTCTTCGCCTGTTCCCGCCTCCCTGGCGCTGGCTGTGGTGTTGATCGGTGGGGATGGCCATCTGCGCGGCCCGATCGAAGCCTAGGCGCTTGGCGAGGAGGGACGAGGACGTCGACGCCTCCGAGACGGGGGAGACAAAGGTCGTCAAGCCCGCTGCGGCCGGCGCGGAGGGGAGATTTGTCGCGAGCGGAGGGGGTGGTGGTCGATTCTGCGCGGGTCGGTAGTGTTGTGGCAGGTCATGCTGGCTGTGCACGATCGCGGGGATCTGCGCTGGTCGCATGTATGGGGTTGGCTTGCGCGGATAAGGACCGTCTTGCTGTCGCGGTTGCTGGTAGGGGTGCTGTGGCATGCCAGGACGCGGCTGGGGGGGCGAGAAGTGGCGTTGTTGCTGCGTGGGTGAGGGCATAACCTGTTGATGTGGAGGACGCGACGCGGAGGAGACGCGGCGATGATGGCCTCGCACCGAGGGGAGGAGGCCCCTATCGTCGGGTTCGGGCGAGGGCTCGACGACACGCATCGTTGGAGAGCCGGTTCTGGCGGACGCTGGCTGATGGCCAGTCGGTTGTCGACCCTTACTAGGCATGTTGTATGAGGACGAACCCTGGCTTGGAGGTTGCTGTCTGTTCTGCTGCGCCGGTATTCCAAGGGTTGGGCTGGGTTGTCCTGGGGGTTGATACATCTTTGGTCGACGAGGCGGCGGGGCATAGTTCATGTTGAAGCTGCCTTGGCCGGGCTGCACCATGACCGGTGGGCGACTGACAGAAGCAGAAGCTGGTGATTCGGCCGATTCTACCACGGGGGAGAGACTACCCGGTGGAGCTTCAGGGGGCGTCGGCTCCTTGGACTCGTCTGAGGAACTCTCAAAGATGGTCGTGTCGCTGCTGCGGGATGATGCGCGGTCGCGCTGCACGGGAGGGGCTTGTGGTTGTTGAGTGGGCCATTGCTTACTGTTTTGTTGTTGTGGAAAGGGGTCCTGACCCTGGGCTGCGACGTTGCCGTGTCCCGTCGTGGAGAACAGTGGCTTTGGCGTGGGCGACTCTTGTGGTTGCGCAAAGTACGACTGATTTTTATTGCTGTCACGCGTAATCACCGGTGCTGGCGCCAAGTGCGGTACCCGAGCCGACTCGCGCTGAGAAAGCGACCTCCGAGCAGGCGGTAGGCCGGGAACGTTGACCACCCTGAAGGGATTCGGATTCTGCGTCGGGGGCGCGGTCATTGGCACCGCTGAAGAGGAGGACGCCTGGTCTGGCTTGGCCGAGGTTCGTAGGACCCAGTTGCCATTCTTGTCGGCGACGTAGGATGACGCCAGGTTCTGGGACGGATGCCGCCAAACCTGACCCTGGGGCGAGGTGACCGATGAGCCACCGTCCTCTTCGAACTCTGTCATGGCGCTGTCCCGCATCCGTGAAGGAACCGCGACTGCGAGCGTGTTCTCCTCCGGAATGTGAAGGGTGAGCGGCGCCTGCGGGAGCTGTTTCTCGGTCAGGTCCCTGTGTCGATAGGATAACCCTGACAATGGAGGCAGTTGTGGCGGCGCGTCACCCATCTGCTGTTTCTCCGAATCACGTTGAAAGGAGAACCTCGCCAAGATGGGTGTCATTGTCGGTTTTGCCGGTAGGAGCTTTGAGATGCGCCGAGGTTTGGGTGACGCGGGCGCGTCGTCCTTCTTGAACGGCGGTGACAAGGCCATCCCAATGCCACCTGGGTACCAGCTTGTGCGGCTGTAGCTTTTCCTGGCTGCCAGAGGGGGTGGAGGCACCGGCGCAGCATAATAGCTGCCGGGTGGAGGAACGCGCGGAGAAGATGGCGTGCTGCTCAGGCTGGCAATCTCGGGCCTCTGGTTTCCGAGGTAGCCCCAGGTGCTACGTCGAGGCAGGAATCCTGTGCTGACACCCGGATGCCTCTTTTTGCGATAGCGGCGCGCGAGGAAAATAGCACCAATGGCCACCCCGGCCGCGGCTACCACGCCAATGGATATGCCCGCGATTTGCCCAGTCCCAAGAGCCGGACCGCCTCCATCGTCCTCGTCATCTTGCTCATCTTCGTCTGCTTGACCCGGGGTCCCAACAGGCGACGTAGCCATGGTCTCGCTCGTTGACTGCGCTGCGCCGGTGGAGACTGTCGTCGACGTTGGACCTCCACTGGTACGAGTCGTCTGCGTAGTGCTGGATCGGACTGTGGGCGATGGACTTGTCTCGGTGACCAGCGTGGATGGCAGCGACGTGGGCTCCCCTGTCTTTGTAGAGACTTGCGGAAAGCTCACGAATCCTCCGCGCGTTGTTGGCAGCACCAAAGATGCGGTAATGAGGGTGTGTGTGGGCTGAACAGCACGAAGCTCGTCATTGCACATAAAGTAAGCCCTGTCCGTCACATCTTCTTTGGGGCCTGAAGTCAGTTGATCGCTCTCGCGGAGGGGGAAGACATAGGCGCTCCTTACGACCTGCATTGTAGTCTGAACATTGTCCAAACCTTCTCTCGGTGGTGATGCATTGCACCACACCCTCCCCGAGAGTGAACTCGGTGTTGCCTCGTGTCGAGCACAGACATTGCAGCGAAGCATCCTCGCCGCACCCTGTCCCCTCGTAATTAACTTGCACAAAGGACGCAACGCATCGCTCGGCGCAAGTAGGTATAAACCCCAGTACGCCCGGCGACAGGCTTGTGTCTGATGCCGCGCAGGCAGTGATAAGGAATATTAAGCTGTACAATAAGTGTGTAGGTGGCGCCAGGGCCATGTTAAGGAGAAACATCTAGTAGTGAGCTTCGTCCTGGTACGTACAAGGAAGCTCTGCGGCGAGCGCAACTCACCTAGGAAACAGATCGCAGCCACCTCGAGATAGCCAGCATCTCAGCAACAGTGTCACGTCAGATGATAGCGAGGGCGACACGAGATAATGGAGGTGTATCAGCGAGACAGATAGAAGAAAGAGACCAGAATTTAAGTCTGGCGTAGGACGAGGCGCCAGAGATGGAAGACTCCGAAACAACAAAGGAAACAACAGCCTCTGTCTACTCTCAGAGTCAGAACAAGCGACACTAGGAAACGAGGACGGAGAAGAGACGAAAAATGGACGAGATCAGAAGAGGCCTAAGAAGGCGGCCATCGCCAGGACAAACCCCACCCCATGGGTCCGTCGTGAGCGAAGCGCCCATCTCACACTTGTGAACGTGGTCGTCGCAGTGCAGCCGACGCGCGCCCGCCCCAGAGCCGACATGGACCATGACGCTGATAGACGATCGCCCCCATCCTGCACGACGTGATCTCAAAAAAGCCCGGCGGGCGTGATGGCCGCTTGCTTTGGGCGGTTATGCGGGTGCTGACTGGTTGGCAGTCGTTGGTGGTGAGGAGCGCGCAGCCGCCGGCGAGCTGGGCGCGTACGGTGCAACAACCAACCATCGCGTATCACGTGATATCTCACTCTGCCTTGGCCCTTGACGATTCATGTTGGCATAGAAGTTCACGTCCTCTCGCATCTCATTGATGACTGCACAGAAACGTCTGCGATTCAATGGGCCTTGCCAGAACATTCATCTCGACATGTCCAGACGCATCGAATGGCAATCGGGCCGTGTCATGTCCGCCGCCTGCGAGCTACTTGAATAGGAGTCTTGTGAGGACATATGATGGAACCGCACCTTATGAAGAGACGCGCGCTCATTGAACCTGGGCAAGTGGCCGGCTGATCAGTAATTTCGTACCGTTCGAGAGGGCAATGGACGCTTGAGGAATGACAAGCCGTGGACTGGGAATCAAGAACTTGATCGAAGGCATCTGGGAGCATGCATAGCGAGGATCACAGCAGCTCAGCGCGCAGCATGACAACCAGTGGCGATGGTTCACGTTGGTTCCAGTTCTGAGGCGCGCTGCAGAACGGTCTGCAGGTGAATTCTGGGGAACGTAATCTTTCAGCCACCAGCCCCTCATCATGTCATAGAGGAGCTGGCCAAGCTGGGGTTCGTTTCCCACTGCGTCGGAGGATATCTCATGCGGAGAGCGTGGGGGGGACTAGTATCATAAGTGTACCTACCACATATAATTGCATTTCCGCCAGTTTCCTGTGAAAGGTACCAAGACATCCAGTCATTACAGGTAGCCCGAGAAACCTCGACACTCTCAGAAAATGAAGGAGGAAAATGTTCACGATCCCAAATACCGGGAGGCAAAAGAAGCCCAAAGCTCCCCGTCGGTGCCAACAAGCCAGCTCTTCAGACTCGACAACCGCACGATCATAGGTAATGTCTTCGAAAGCCAGGCCCCTATCGACCTCCAGACTAAAACTCGCACGCAGTAACCGGAGCTGGCGGGTTCCTTGGCACTACTGTTGCAAAAACGATCATCGAGAGCGGTGGTGATGTGGTCTGTCTTGACCTGGTCGAGAATCCCCAGTCTGTATATTGGAGTCAGTCCCAACCAACAGCCCTTACAGAAACAAAATGACTGACCTGTGGTAGAGCAAGTGCTGGAAGCGGCTGACCACCATGGTCGCAATGTACACTACTACCCGTGCAACGTTCAAGACGCAGATGCAATGGCCGACATCTTTGCGCGATTCCTCCCTCTCTTGCAAAGCCCCATCCGAGGCCTTGTGTCCTGCGCAGGCGTGTCGGACAACGGCCCGGCCACGGACTTTCCTGTGCGGTCGTTCCAGAGATTGCTGGACATTAACGTCACCGGTACCTTCACAGCTGCTCAACTGGTCGTCAAGGAAGTCATCAAGGCAGGCCTCAGTGCCAGCATGGTGTTCGTAGCCAGCATGAGTGGGTATGTCTCCAACAAGGTGAGTGACCGACTTTCTAGGTAGAACTGCACAAACCAAGCTGATGTCTTCTAGGGTGTGGATACAGCTGGCTACAACGCCTCCAAAGCTGCTGTGCACCAGTTGGCGAGGTCTCTGGCGGCAGAATGGGGTTCAAGAGTCAACGTACCACTGATCAGAGTCAACACTCTCTCGCCGGGCTACATTCGTACAGAGGCAACAGCCGAGGCACTGCGCAAGCCTGGGATGGAGTCGCAGTGGGTAGGTGACTCCATGCTGTATCGGCTGAGCAACGTGGATGAGTACCGCGCCCCTATTCTATTCCTCCTGGGAGATGGCAGTAGTTACATGACCGGGGCCGACTTGCGAGTCGATGGAGGCCACTGCGCATGGTAGGGCTCTAGAGGAAGGACGTTGAGAATAAAGGGATTGACGGATGGAACTCCTCGTGGCCCGCATTTCCAGGTATTCCTCGTTGTTTGTAAGTATCTAAAATGTCTCTACCGTGAAATAAACATTGAAGAGAAAAGACCGCCCAGACATCACACGTACCGCATCACATCCACCCATCGGGCATCTCCCCCAGCCGCCCACTCATTGAAGCATCAAGGCTGAAACACGAATACGCCAACGCCACGGAACAACACGAAATGACATAAGTGGAATGGGCGTGCACCAGAACTCGGTGCACGGCCCATGCTTCGCTTGCGGGTCGCTCGAGTATCGAGAGATATGGTGGGGGTTGCTTCACATGGCCATCTCAGCGCGGAGCTTCTCCAGCTCAGCCTCTTCGTCATCCACCACTGCTTGTTTCCTGTTTGACACAGCTACAATGTTGGTTAGCACGAGCTCGTGTTGTCCAGGACGGGTGCTCTTACGCTCTTGTTGAGCCGGCGAGGGAAGCCGATTCACAGCGTCGGCGCTGGGTACGGTACCAGCCTTGAGCATTTGCTCGTCCACAGCCTCCTGTTGCAAGCGCTCCAAATCCTCTTCGAGGTCTGCTTCGTCGACACCCTCCCCGAATTGATTGCCGACAATGGCTCCCACAATCTCTTCGCTGAGCGCGTTCTGGTCGCGCAGTACTTCCCTGTGAATGTCGTCAGTGTCCATGAACCCACGCTACAAGTGCAGTCTGGTACCCACATTGTCTCGTCGACCTTCTCGGGGGTGAGTTTGCCGTGGATTTGTTTCATCGCATCACCGGCCTTCTGCATCGCGGCGAGTGTCTCCCTGTTGATGTTGGCGGATTCGATCGAGTTGATCTGCTGCTCCAGGGTTCCAATCTGTGCAATGGTCTGCTCGATCGAGTGCTCGTGTGTCTTCTTGCGTCTCAGCGCCGCTTTGGCGACTGCCGGGGTCGTCAGTCACTGTAACATCAGGATGTACACCCTCGACCTACCCGTTTTATTTGTGTTGACATTCTTCCGCGCAATATTCTCTTGCTCATCGATTTGCGACTGTAGGTACTTCTCGCGCTTCTGGAGCATATCGAGCTGCGAACGCAGACCCAGGATGGCATTCTTGGGGCTGTCCTTGCGCTTCTGGGCCGCGCCGCCGCCGCCGAACCAGCCCCACATGTTGATGTGCGTATGAGATGAGGATGTGAGAGTAGTCGGGTTCTTGTATGCAGGCTAGCATACACCTTTGATTTACCAGGGGCGCGGAGCTGTTTTGGGTCGAAGGAGTCGTCGCTGGCAATTGAGGTTCGCGTGATAGTGGGGTCGTCGTAGTAGCTGGGTGACTGTGGCTACGTTGCTCATGATTAGCAATTTAAACGGAAAGCTTCGTCAGGCAAACAGGTTATGCCACTCACAGGGTACAGCTTGAGTCCTGCTGTCGTAATCTGAATGCGTCGCTAATAAGTGTGCGTAGATAAGTACTAGGCTGAAGTCGCGACGATGGTCATCTGCTCCGTTGCCTGCCTTGAGGGAAGCACGTATGACGGCACCGCTGCATCGGCCGGATACCCGATATTTTCCCGCAGTCATGTGACAGTCAACATTGAGCATGGCATGCGAGCCCATCGCGATTAATCCGAGTTTAGTAGTCATTCGATTTGAACGTAACAGGAGACATTGTCTCCGCAACATAACGCTGGTGCTAATAATTTGATCTAGTGAATTTAGACGACAGAATTCGTTCCTTTTCTCAAAGTCGCCGGCTCAGGCGTTGCCGGGTTCTTCCTCTGTGTCCTTGTGCCATACCACGTAGTTGGGAAGCCCGATGACCTGGTAGCCTGCACGTTTAGCCATCTTCGCGAAACCCTCCGTCTCGGCCTGATTCTCAAAGGCGTAGCTTGGAAAGTTGATGCCAGATCGATGGACGTCAGCTTTAACCAAGATGCTCACCCCGCCTATTCCGTCCAGTTCCAGTTCTTCGTCAGGATTCGCGTGGCGGTCGCCCATCTGGCACATGTAGGTTCGATCTGTTTTGTACTCTTTATATCCTTCAGCCAGTACAACATCCTTATCAAGGGTCTTGGCTAGCTTGAGGGCTGTCTCTGATTCGACCCATGAGTTGTAGTCGACTAGTGGGCTATGTCAGTACGCCCTGCTGAAGACGGGGAACAAGACGACTTACAGCGACCTTCAATGTCGACGCCGTCTTCGATTCTGTGAAACCAAATATCTACCGCGCGTCAGCATAAACACACGATTGAATAAAAATGACATACTGGGAACAATAATGTCCTTATCGTGTGCCATCAGATCCTCGAGGATCTTTGGTGGACTCTCCACAATATCAACATCGCGCCAGAAGACCCACGAATGTTCCGGTCTCAGCGCCGCTGAAAGAAGATAATTCCGTGCCTTTCCCAATGCCTTGCGACGGGGGCCTTGCGCGGCGAACCCGTGACGATCCTTCACATCGTTCGACAATTGGAAATGGAGGTCCTTCTCGACAATGGTCGCACTGTGGAACGGCACGTCGCCGGGGCGTTTTTGCATCCGGTCGAGTTCGGACGCAAGAACAGCCAGGGTGTCGTCACTGGAATCGCCAACCAAAAATGCTAGGTCAATGAGATGATGTGGGTAGGTAAGCTCAGTCAAGAGCTCAAAGTATTTCAAGAGATACTGTGCGGCATCCTTGAGAGGAGTCAGGATGAGGACGCGCTCCTCATTTAGCAGAGCCTTGTGTGTTGACTTGATCGGGTTCAAGTCAACACGCTGTATGCTTTTCGACTCAATCTCGACCGGCTTGTGGTGGTTGAACACGATCGGTGTCTGCAAATGTGCGTTCCACCGGGCGTACTCGTTCTGTGTCATATCCATGGGGGATTTCGCAGGCCCCCAACAATAGAAACTGGAGCGATAAGCTGAGGAATCATCCTGTACCAGACGAGGTGCTCACTCTTGTACATCTGTTGAGCTTCGGATGCCGCGCCACAACAACAGCATAATACAGAAAATGGCAAGCCCTATCACGGCTCGGGGTCGCGTCAATGAGGTCCAAAAGGCCCTACTGGGCGCCCTTGTAGACTTCCATGCCGGACCTCCGCCTTTCGAGAGAAGCATGGCTTGCGCTGTGACAGGAGCAAACTATCCAACAGGCGGGTGGAAGTGGGCGAGGCGTTGCAATAAGTCCAGTACAGCTTGTGCGCCGTACGCAAGGCTTGAATCGTTCCAGTTGTCTAGGATAGATCGTTCGTCCGTAACCGATTCGTTGAGCTGGGCAGGCACAGCTTCGAGATATCCTGGGAGGTATTATGACGTCGCTACAAGCGTGCGTTGCGCGAGCTACTACGCCCGGTGTCTTGAGCTTGTTGTAAGGCGTCGGTCAATCAGGCCTTTTCCCAGTTTGATATTATGCGTCGCTGTACGGATGCGACATGTGGTATTAGGTTGAATTGGCAAATAGCTGGCTGTGTTCTGAGAATCAAGGAAGCGTGTCGTAACGTGATCGAGTCGTGGGAACCTATCGTAAACAGTGCGTGTATCGGAACCAGGTGTTGAAGAAGCAGAATTGTCAAGTCGTTGTAGCTCAGTCTGTAGTCGCAAAATTCATATCGCAGCTTCCGTGTATGTACTCGAGATCCATGGAGCTACCGTTTCGAAACGCGTAAGGTGGTGGTGGGGGCAGGCAAATGGCGTCGGCCATCCTGCGTAAATTAGATCGTCACTCACAGGCGGGTACCTCGAAGCCTCTCAGGGGCTGGCAATCTGGTCGTGATGTTGTCCACATCGAGGGCCCTACATTCTTTGGAGCGACCTGGAACATGAGCCTCGGATTGAATGCAACAACTCTCGCCCGACTGCCAAGTACGACTTGTACAAACTCGCTGCTCGGAGAATTCGTCCCCACGTTAAGCTGTTCCCCGACATCCCCACTAATGGGCAGTAACTTTGACACAACCTCAAAGAACCTGGTACCTACTACTGGGGAACACAAGACCACTTTGCACGAGCTCTCACAGATCAGGCCAGGCCTTGCGAGGGCAGCGGCAACTTGACTTTGCGAATCTTTCATCGGAGACCTTCAAGGGGACAGCAATTCCCTGACGATACAAGGTACTACTAGTATGTCTTGTGGTGCGGCTCATGGGTACCTTAAGGTACCTTCAGCACTAAACTACCAGGTACTTAAGTGCGTCGTCATGAACCCCAATACACCACGAAGGGCGTGCACGGCGCCCTCTAGACGTGAACGTGAACCTGAGGTTTCCCCTCACAACTCTCGAAAGGACCCCTGAGAAGTTGTGACAAACAGTGCGCTCTTATATTTCACATCACCGGTGTGGATCGTCATCTTTCTCGTTCTGGGGCTCCCATTTCTCAAAGCAACGACGTCATATGAACCAACTGTTCACTCCATGTCTTCGGCGGTCGTGCCTCTTGCTCATTGTCCGTGAACTCAAGCTCAAGCGCATTGATTCTACATTGGCGACCATGGCTACAGCAACCAGGCGGTCGTCCAGGCTTAGCAGCCTCGCAGAAAGCATATCATCGTCTGCGGGCTCTACACAGACCCCAAATTCTCGTAAACGCAAACAATCACCCGTCGCCACGCCGTCAACACCACCTCAGAAACGCCAACGGCCAGCGAAACTTCCAGCTGCAACCCCGACTCCCAGTGCGGTTGGCCTGATGGCTCACGCTACGTCGGCTACGAAGAAGCCTACGAATCCCATGGTAGCCCGACTGGCGGATCCCCAAACGACCAATGCCACATTGTTGTCGCCTGAGACCTCAAGAGTCATTACGCACATGAATGTCGCCGCTATACCTTCAAGACTTCCACAACCAAGCACCACTACGGCTACGCTGCTCGAGGAGGCCAATGCGCACTTGATCAAGGTCGATGAGCGGATGAGACCACTGGTGGAGAACAACTTTTGTCGAGTCTTCTCTCCTGAAGGACTGGCAGAAGCCATAGACCCATTCGAGAGCCTCGCCAGTGGCATCATCTCACAGCAGGTCTCGGGGGCAGCTGCCAAGTCAATCAAAGCCAAGTTTGTGGCATTGTTTGAGGGCGACAGAAGATTTCCTCACCCCTCTGATGTGGCGCCCCTGCCCATCGAGAGGCTCCGCACAGCTGGCCTTTCACAACGGAAAGCAGAGTATATCAAAGGCCTCGCGGAGAAGTTTGTGTCAGGAGAGCTCAGTGCGCAAATGCTCAACGACGCACGATACGAAGAGGTGCTCAGACACCTGATCGCAGTCCGAGGACTGGGTAAATGGTCCGTGGAGATGTTTGCCTGCTTCGGTCTCAAGAGAATGGACGTGTTCTCGCTTGGCGATCTGGGTGTGCAAAGAGGCATGGCGGCCTTTGTGGGCAAGGATGTGGCCAAACTCAAGAACAAGGGCGGCAAGTGGAAGTACATGTCTGAAAAGGAGATGTTGGAGCTATCGGAGAAGTTTGCTCCTTATCGAAGTCTGTTCATGTGGTACATGTGGCGTGTCGAAGAGACCGATATCAGCACCATGGAGTGAGAGCCCGTCGAGCTATAAGCAACGGCCGTTATCGCTTGATACTCGCATTACGTCCCAAAGAAACGCAGCACCCATACCAGAGCTGGGATCTCCTCGAGATGAACGTGGTCTACAACGCCAACAGATCTCGACGATTGGAAGTATTATCTGGTCGGGAAAGGAAGAAATAGAAGGAGAGATTAGCTTGGGGAGTTTCGGCTGACGGCGCGCCGATACTAATCTAGGTGGTTGCAAATACAACATTAGAGTTTGGACTTTGCACAAAGCCGGCATAAGCTGGCCAGGAACACGAGATCCGAATTGATTGTGGCGTCTAGGTGTAATCAATGCAGACAGTGATGGGCACAAAACTTCGCATGCCACAGATACAAACCTTTCGATATGCCTGGAATGTTTGCGAAATTTCAACATGACCCGGATTTCACGGGCATTGATGGATATTTTTGGGGAGCAGGGCGAAGCAAGGTCAGGCGCCCGCGGTCGACGGCAGGGGTGCGTTTATACAAGTAGTGCTTGGCACTGTCTCTGACTTGTTGATTTCCGTGCTGATTTCAATCCGTCAAGTCGAGCCGTCTTGACCTCCAGACCTGTGCTTGTGGTAAACGTAAGAGATCGCGAGTGTTCCCAGAGCAATTGCAACATTCATAGCGGCCGGTTCATCCTAGCGTAGTCTTACGACCCTTGCGCCGAATCGACAGTGCGCCGTTGCGATGCTGCATCTTTGCCGTCTCAAGCGTTGAGATGTTCGATGGCGGTGGAGCCACCCGTGGGGAAGTCGAAGGCGAATCTGCCGAGGGCTGGAATCAGGTCTTGGCTCTGGCCTTCGGGAATCGAGCCTGGTGTTTTGCTTTGCTCTGTATTACCATAATTAGTGCTAACAATTCATTCTTTTACTTGATCTGGCCCGCGTACAGCCAAGAGGGCGAGAAGCTCGTAAAGTATGCCGACCCACATGCACCACGAACTCTCAGGCTTGTGTGTGCGTGGTCCTGCAATTCATTGGCTTTACCCAGGTTTGGCGAACATACGGATACATATAATGGCCAGAACGAAAAGTCCATGATGACAAAGTGCAGATAGGTACATTACTCGATTCCAGGTCTCGATGCGATTCTCGAGCTTGGCAATTTCGATTTCGGCTATGACCACGGCCGCAAGTCTCTTGCAGCTGATGTTACAGAACTGGATCAGAAACGCTGATCGTCGACCGAGCAACATCACTCCCAATGCCTGTGAAAAGTGCACTGAGAACATCAGAGACAGATGCATGCCTGTGCGTCACGGCTGGGGACTGGAGTCCACTGGGAGATAACAATCGCTGTGGGCTCCATTGAGAAGCAGGTTAATGCTCGTGCTAGCGTCCGACAAGGTGACCTAAATCAAGTAGCGATTGCCAGCCTAATAGTTTCCATTTAGGAGGTCATTCCAGTGGTGACAGGGCCTGTATGAGGAACGGGTCTCCCCGTTGTACGAGCAGTACTTGCTACGCGTTAGGGAGGGTACTCGTCGGCCCGGATGCAGGCTTGCCGCGAGCCGGGTCATAGAGCCTCAGTCGTTGTTAACATGCCTGGCTTCACCAGCCGGCGCAGGTGGTGCACTATCGGAGGCTGGTCACTGGAGACCTGCTGGGGGCCCCGGGTAACCCGCTAAAATGAGCATCGGGAAATCCAATTTCTCCAGCAACAAGGGACTGGAAGGTCGATTGCAAGGTCCGCATCACGTGTCACCGGGAGCTGTTCCCTGGCGCGATGCCTGGCAGTACAGTACTACAGATACTGAATCCAAATAGACCCCGTGGCGATGGCAGCGCTTTTGGTATTTCGTGGATTAATAATTATTTATAGTGCAACCGCGGTCCTCAACTATGTGGAATATGAAATCCAAGTTTTCTGCAGCACCCGTCGCCCGGACTGTGCCCACTTTGAGCGGCAAGAGGCGTGTATCGAGCAAAAACACGCTGCCCCTTACCATCGGCCGCGACCAAAGCGGAGCGGGCCAGGGGTCAACCTGGTCTCAAATCAAAGGCACCGAATGCATTCCAAGAGACGCGGCGCATCCAATAGACCCATAAATCGAGCTTGGGCGAGGCTCGGCGGCCCTCATTTGCCTCTGGCCTCCGCGAGCGCCCTCCTGAATCCTTTTCCTCTCCTCCTCCCTCTCTTGAGTCCTGTCTCGACCTTCCCATCCAACCAGCTCCCGTCTGTCGTTGCTGTTCTTTCTTCTCTTCACGCCGCTCGTTAAGGCTTTGCTCTGCTCACACTTTCCTCAGAAAGTAAAAGACGCCACTACTGCTTTTAATTCCGGTCCTCACGCCGTGTCAACTGCCAAACGACCCCTTTTGCCTCCACGATCTCAACGCGCAGGAACGATTCCCATTTCCCCGTTCATCACGACGATAACTTGAGGTTAGTAATGTCGGAGAGTGCGAAGCGTCTTCTCTATCGAGTCGGAGAATTGCCAGACCATTCAACGAAATGATCTGGTGTACCTATGCCTCAGACGTGACGCGTGCAACAAACATGCCGAGCTCGCATGCTCGACGCATTTATTCGGCCTCTGGAACCATTAGAGCCGCTTCTCTCCCCGAGAAGCCTCGGATCCAGAAGACGAAGCTCGCTGCTGCTGCTTGTGTGCGAGAAGGAGCCTCGGTGTCCCTGCCTCATTGTCGCCTATGGCAGGAGTAACGGACAGTTGCACCTCGTTCAAGCGAGCACACCATACTACACGCCGAGAGTTGAAAGCAATCTCTGGATCACATTCTCCGCTACCACTGCGCAAGCAAAACATCTCACATCACATCAGTCTCACCATCAACCATCTCTTTGTGGCAAAACATAACGAACAAACCTCTAACAAACTCAACATAGATCAAGATGCGCTCCGCTCAGTTTGCTGCGGCCGTTGCCGCCTTTGCTGGCTTTGCTGCCGGTAAGCTTGTTGCTCCTGGTCCCTCACAGCAGAGACTAACATGCCATTAGCCAAGACTTGTACCAAGGATATTGAGATCTCCGAGCCCACGCCTGTGATCGACTGCGATGTTGTCGACGCTGATATCACCGTCAAGGAGAGTGTTGCTGGTGCTCTCAGCATTGAGGGCCCCAAGCAGCTCAAGGGCGACCTGATCATCAACAACGCCTCCAACATTCTGTCCATCTCTTCCAGCTCGATCAACTCCATTGGAGGACGTCTGGAGTTCCAGGCGCTGAACAGCCTCAACTCCATCAACATGGACTCTCTTGAGAGCGTCAAGGAGATTGTCATGAAGAAGCTCACTGCTCTCCAGACCATCACCTTTGGCTCCGACACTGTCACCAAGGCCGAGAGCGTCGAGATCACTGATACCGACCTGTCCTCCCTGAGTGGTCTGATGCTCACCTCGGTCAAGGACCTCAACATCAACAACAACGACCGTCTTACCAAGTTCGATTCTGCTCTCGTCAACGTTACTGGTCAGCTCTTGATCAACAGCAACGGCCGTGACATGGAGATTACATTGAACGATCTTGAGACTGCTAGTGAGATCCAGATCGGCAACGTCAAGACCTTCGAGGTTCCCAAGCTGTCGGTCGTCAAGGCTTCCCTCAAGTTCGACCAGTGCGACAAGCTCGAGTCCTTCAACGCCCCCAACCTGACCAAGATCACTGACGCTCTGGCCTTCATCAACAACAAGAAGCTCTCAAACGTGACCTTCCCCAAGCTCACGGAGATTGGGGGCGATCTCCGCATCGTCAACAACACCGAGCTCACCGAGATCACCGGCTTCCCCAAGCTTGAGAGCGCGGCTAGCATCAACTTTGGTGGTAACTTTGAAGAGTGAGTCCATGAAGGCATCGCGTACCGAACAACGCCACTAACCATGCATAACAGTATCGAGATGCCCAAGCTCGACCGTGTCAGCGGTACCGCTGAGGTTTCCACCACCAGCACCAAGGACGACTTTTGCAAGTTCTTCGAGAAGGCCGACAGTGACGGTGTTATCCGCGGCGGTGCTGACTGCACCTTCGACAACAAGGACGCCAACCAGGGTGGTGAGACCAAGGGTGGACGCAAGACTGATGGTTCTTCCAGCAGCAGCGACAACAGTGGCGATAATGAAGACGCTGCTGGCATTGTCGGTGTCAACACTGCCCTGATGGGTCTTGCTCTCATTGCCGGTGTTGCCCAGCTGCTATAACCGGCTTTCACCGACGTTGGTGTTGTTTAGTTGTCCGCTTTTAGGCAGGAGGAAGGATATCACGGTTCGGAATACGGCGTCTTTTCACTGTCCGCACACACGTTACCATCTCGTTTTTAGCCAAGACTTAGCATCCTCTGCGTGATCGCCAACTTGAGAGTCGGCTCCACGTTGGCACTCTTGAATGGCTTTGACGTTGAGACTTAATAATGGAGTATACTTTGGACTGCGTGTCTGTACCATCTGTCCTTGACTACCTCTTAAAAGGCATGAGTCCTACTTGTAAATGCTCCTTTCGAACTTGTCTGTATCGTAGAACATGGGCTGGATAGTGTTGCCATTGAACACCCGCCCTTCCAATTCGTTGACAGCCTGTAGTCGTCGGTCAGCGCTCCATGTCTTCTTGACTTGAGGTCGAGATCCCATACCCGCAACGCAGACACTTGCGTCGTAAACTTGATGAAGACTTGTCTGTTCTCCTGGTCAATGTGCAGTCGTTCGACCGTTCCATACTGAGCCTGTTAGCGATCCGATTCGCGACCCTCAATGGGTAGTGGCCAGTCAACAAACATACCTTGTCACCACACTCTTCCCCGATTTCCTGTCCCAGACCATCTGCGATCTCGGATTGGAGGTCTGGCATGTTCTCCAACATGTTCCTCAAGACGATGACCTCGCTCATGGTTCCAAATTTCCCAGTGTCTGCCTTGCCCTTGGCGTTTCCGCCTACAATCTTTCCCTTGCCGCCTGGCTCGACCCAGCCTCCGCCGTCGGCGTCCGCCTTCTTCCTGCGCTTCTCTACTTGGACGCGCAAGGGGTTGACGATGCCACTCTCGGCGGCGCCAAGACCTGTGCCTGCCTTCCAACCGTACTTTGACATGAGACGGGCGGCGAAACCTGCCTGGCCTGGTCGTGAGGATCGTGGCAGGTCCTCTGATGGCGGTTCTTCCTCCTGCGAGGGCTCGGGAGCTCCCAGAGCGGGTGGTCTGTCTTCTTCAGGATCAGGTTCGGTAGGAGGTTGTGTGTACCGAACTGGTGCGGCGGATATGGTAGATGAGGGCGGTTCAGGAGGCGGAGGCGGGGGGGTCTGGCCTTCTTGGGGTGGTGGAGGAGGTGGCGGCAACCCTCCAGCTTCGTCGGCTGGAGGCGGTGGTATCGACGGCGGCGATGGAGGTGGTGGTGCGAACGCATTGAATGACGCCGGGGGCGCGAATTGGCTGGACATGGCTGGCCTCGCATCGCCATCGTCATCGTCCGACAGATCGCTGTCTTCCGACTTCCTCCTGTGCCTGTAGAGGAGATCCTTCCATTCTCTCACTTCGGCCACCTTTTCTTCACTTTGGAGGTACTCGTCAATGTTCGTCGGTCGCGCCGGGTCATACATGTCGTCCCAATTGGTCTCTTCTGGCTCTGCCTGGCGATTCTTCTTCTTCTTGGCCTTGCGCCCGCCACGAGGGCGCTTCTCGCCTGTCCCGTACATCCACGCATCCTCCTCTGTCGCAGTCCAGTCGGCGAGCGTGCTTCTCTGATGTTGCGTGGGAACCACGGGGGCACCTTGCGCCTGTTGCTCTGGGGGCGTCGGTTTGCTAGCAGGCGGGGGAGGCTTTGGAAACGCAGGCTTCGGTTTGGTCGGCTGTTTGACCTGCGGGCGGCGGATAGGCTGGAATCGAAGCGCTGGATCTAGGGCCTTCTTGGACGCATTCTCGAGGTTTGCGGCACTCGCATCAGCCTGGTTGTATAAGACAGGCGCGGAGGAAATAGTTGCGCCGGAGGTTGTTGGGTTGTTAGGGTCGGGAAGGTTGTCGTAGAGAGACAAGCCTCGCGGTGGACCCGTCATGATCGCGTGATGGCTGAGGTGAATACTCGAGAGCAACGATCCGGCAGTAGCATGGCATGAGCTGCAAAATCGTCCGTCTTCGTGATGCGCGCGCGCGTGGATCCAAGAAGCAATGTGATGGGTCAGCCAAGCTGGCTGCTGAGGTCCAGTCGGTCTGTGTGTCCGAGTCGGCAATGTGTGGCTTCGGCTGCAGGGTCCGTAGGCCAGGGGTCCCGACGGCGCAGAAAGTCTAAACGTCACCATCTAACCATCCCGTCGATAGTCGGCTTCATCAACTTGCACCAGACTTCACCACTCTTACTCAAACACCCATCGATTGCAGATTGCACAGTTCCCGCAACAACAGGAGCAGCAACATGTCAACTGCGTCGCTATCTCGCGCTTTTCTTCGGCCGTCGCGCCGCTTGTTCGCGGTGCCTGTGCGAACTTTGACGACGACCTCGATTCGGTGGCACCAAGATCTCCCCAACACGCCAGAGCTCGAGGTCGGCGAGCTGGAGGGCGCCAAGTTCAAGATCGAGCCTCTACGACGCACCGGCGAAGATGCCAACACCAAGCGCGCTCGCCTCCTGTACCAGTCGCGCAAGCGCGGCACGCTCGAGTCCGACCTGCTGCTCTCTACCTTTGCCGCTACCAACCTGCCCACCATGACACCAGCCCAACTCACCGAGTACGACCTGTTCCTGGATGAGAATGACTGGGACATCTACTACTGGGCGACGCAGCGCGAGTCGTCCTCCTCTACGAACCCGTCGTCGCCCAACCCAGCAGTCGCGGAGAGCAGCGCCAGCTCGACCGACCCTAGTAATGCCGAGGACATCATCAAGCGAGAGCCTCCTCGCGGAGAGTGGGCCCAGACGGTTGGGAACTACAGGCCTGCATACAGGCCCGTACCCGCCAGGTGGAGGGACAGCGAGATCCTGGAGCTGCTCAGGCAACATGTGAGGAACCGCAGCGTTGATGGGAGTGATGGGTCGGGCATGCAGTTCATGCCGGCTCTGGACTGTAAGTGATAATAGATAGAGATGTGGGAAACACCCTATGTAGAATACAATCGACGCCAAACCACCGCCGTGGTCAAACCTTACCTCCCTCATGCATCATTAACTTTGCGCACGTGAGGCGTCATTCACCAGGTACCTTGAAAAACAAGGCACAAAGGTTTATCATCACCATGGAGCTTAATTCGAAATTCCATGAGCTGGGAAAGTTTTCGTTCACTGCCTGTGGCTGCAACCCCAGATCTCACGGTACGCATAAACAGTGACCATTGCCCCTCTGGAGCTCCAAATTTGCCCCACCGAAACTGCGAGCTACATCAACAATTCCTCACTTTGCCTTCACCTCGGGTTCCTTCCTCTGCACCTCGAGTTCTTTCCTCTTCGCCTCGAGTCCTCTCCTCTTCACCTCGAATTCTTTCCCCTTCACCTCACGCCCACACCGACCTTTTCGAATTCGCGGTGCTACAAGAGTGCTTTCTTCGTTGGCTCTGACAGCGCGCACTCTTCTCTTCTTCCCACACCCGCACGATCATGGCCGATCTTGCGAGTCGCATTACCAAGCCCGACGGCTCGGCCGCCGATAACACACCAGTCGCTGCGGCTTCCCCAATGGAGGCCTCCGCCAATACCGCCGCCGATGCAGCTGTCTCTAGTGAAGCTCAGCTCGATAGTGCCGACGCTGGAGGTCCTGGACTGCTCGAGCCAGACTACGACGTGGAGGTCTCGTTGAGCGCGCTGCAAGAGAACGAGGCCACCCCGTTTCATTCAGCCACCACCTGGGAAGATCTAAATCTGTAGGCTGCACCACGCCCGACACCGCAATATCGCTAACCCACGTGCACAGTAAGCCCGAGCTCCTCAAGGGCCTCCAGGCTCTTAACTTCCTCAAGCCATCCAAGGTGCAGGGCAAATCGTTGCCTCTGATGCTTAGCGATCCTCCGCGCAACATGCTCGCCCAGTCGCAGTCTGGCACAGGAAAGACGGCTGCTTTCGTCACCGCTATATTGTCGCGCGTGGATTTCAGCCAGCCCGACAAGCCCCAGGCACTTGTTCTCGCGCCCAGCCGTGAGCTTGCGCGTCAGATCGAGGGTGTCATCAAGGCCATTGGTCGCTTCGTGGAGAACTTGGCTATTGCCCCAGCTGTCCCCGGTGCCCTGGCACCAGGAGAGCCCGTCCGCATGCCGGTCGTGGTCGGTACTCCCGGTCGTGTGCAGGATATCATCCGCAGGCGCCAGCTCGATGTCTCCAACTTGAAGGTGCTGGTTCTTGATGAGGCCGACAACATGCTGGACCAGCAGGGTCTTGGCGATCAATGCATGCGCGTTCGCACCATGCTGCCTCCGGAGATCCAGGTGCTCCTTTTCTCGGCGACCTTCCCCGAGAAGGTGCTCAATTACGCCACGAAGTTTGCGCCCGATGCTCACTCGCTCAAGCTGCAGCGCAGCGAATTGACAGTCAAAGGAATCTCACAGATGTTCATCGACTGCCCCAACAACGAGGAAAAGTACACTATTCTATGTCGCTTGTACGGTCTGATGACGATCGGTCAATCTGTTATCTTCGTTAAGGTGAGTTTATGCAAAGCCTAATTAGGGAGTGCCCGCTGACCAAGAGCAGACCCGCGAGAGCGCGAACATCATTGAGCAGCGCATGACCGCCGATGGTCACAAGGTCTCCGCTCTCCATGCCGCATTTGAGGGAGCCCAGCGCGACGAGCTCCTCGCCAAATTCCGCAGTGGCGAAAACAAGGTCCTAATCACTACGAACGTCCTGGCCCGAGGCATCGATGTCTCCAGTGTCTCCATGGTAATCAACTACGACATCCCCATGAAAGGTCGTAGCGACGATGAGCCGGACCACGAGACCTACCTCCACCGCATTGGGCGCACGGGTCGCTTCGGGCGTGTCGGTGTCTCCATCAGCTTTGTGTCCGACAAGAAGTCGTTTCAGGGTTTGAATAAGATCGCCTCCCATTACGGCATTGATTTGGTGAAGCTGGACACCGAGGACTGGGACGATGCGGAGGAAAAGGTGAAGGACGTTATCAAGAAGAACCGCGCGCAGGCGAGTTACGCTCCCAGCGCCACAGACAGTCAGAAGCAAGCACAGGCCGCGAGCACCTCCTAGAACTGGGGCACGTCTGGCAGCAACAACACTGGTGGAGGCTTCGCTTCCCCTCAGACCTGGGGCTTCCCGCAGCAAGGTGCTTGGAACTTTGCCGCGCCAGCGCAGGCTGCTGCTTCGGCCTTGGGCCAGGCCGCCGGGCGCATTGGCAATCATTGGGGTCAGTTTGTCAACAGCGGCTCCCATCAACCTTTTGCTTAAAGCAGGATGAGCGCTTGCTTTGTTCATGAGTCGGCAACGACAACGAAGAAATGTGTTATGGGGATGATTGAGGGAGGGAGCAATGGGGAGGAAGAATATGTCCCTCTGTACGTACGTTTATTTGCATTGCGACGGCACAGCAGTGCACGGGATAGTAGATGTCTGGGAAGGGTTCGGACATAAAATGATACTACAAATGCTACAATGAAAGCCTCACTTGTCTCCGAAATGGTGTAATGTCTGGCAAGTTTGTGATTATTCCGTCCAAGTTGTCTGTCGGTCATCCTCCCACCTACAGATGGTCAAGATGAAACATAAGCCACTCGCCGTAGCGCTCGCTCACCGCTGCCCTCTGTCACTAGATCACACACTTTAGAGCCGCAGATAATCATTTCGTGGCCTAGAGGCGACGGATTCTCAGAAGAAATCCAATATATAATCGGAGAACATTCACAAAAGCGACAGAGAAGTGGACTACAGGTTAGGTCAGAGCTATGATCCCCAGCCACACACGCACTTGCCTGCTCGCAGGCGGCCCAATGGCCCCTTCCTAACGAAGGACAGCCCAGCCTCCACGACCTTCTCACCGCCACCAAGAACCCAACATCCCCCCTGTTCTGCTCCAATAACCCACAATGAAGCGAACAAAGAGCAACGCCGAGCAAACATGCGGTGACTGTTCGGGTCCTTCTCTAGCCACGTTCCCACGTCGACTCATCGACCCGTCAGTCGGACCTCGGTCGGCGTCCACGTCGAGCGGATCTATCGACGTTGTGTAGCGGTCCTAGCGGAGCTCCATCCAGGACGCAGCTCATGTGCCACCCCACGCAGTATGCGACTGAACGCTCTCAGAGAGCATGCGTAGAAGAACAATGTGCCACGTCGTACGAGGTATATTCTTGAGATGCCAAACTCAAGAACAAAGCTGTGACCTGGTGACCTGGCTGCAGCTTCATGACTGGGTAACAGACTAGTAAGTACGTACATTTTCGCTGGCTCATTCATGTCAGGCAGGTAGGTGGTGAACCTGCATGGCGACCTGTCTCTCTGCGCTGCGCTGGCAGCCAGCCAGCCAGCGCATATGTATCGCGCGTCGAGGCCCAATGCCTTTTCTCCCGCCTCACAATATGCTGCTGCTGGGCAGCCGCGCTTGCTTTGGTGGACATGATCATGCAACCCTGCCGCTATCGCGAACCCTCCCGAAACTGGCCGTGGGAGGTGATTCACAGGCTCTGTACCCATTCATTCATTCAGTCCCAACCGGTCACGACCCGCATGGTGAGGATCCTCGAGAACCGCTGTCTACGTGGCAGCTATCGATTGAGGTACCCGTGGTTTCTACATTGGTCCATGCGCCAATGAGAGCCAAGCACGACGGCGTCCATGCTGGGTCGAGTCGACCTTGGTGTCATTCGCAATTGGGTCCTCAATTATGTGTTGTTGGGCTTTTGTCGACGAGGCGAGTGCTTTATGGGAACCCCAAAACGGATTCTATGCCAGCTGCTGCCAAACGAGATGGGGGGCTGGCATCAATACATGGCCACCACCGCTGCAGCTAGTAGGCTGGGATCGAAAGCCGGAGGCTGGGATCGTGCTTTAGACTGGGCACTGGGGGACCCATCCTCATGCTTCTCTGAGAGAGAAACAAGGGACGTGGGAAGAAAATTCAGACCAGGAGGAACAAGCGGTCTCGTCTGGCGTCAGAGGTATGACCTGGCAGTTTCTCCCACTCGTTCGCAGACTTGGGGCCCGGCATATCTACGCATCGCATCACCACATCACGACCTTGAGCTATAACTCATCCTTTCCTGTTGCATCCTCATCACAACGCACATCACCCACACCCACCTCCTTCGCATTTGTCTTCTAGACTTGCATGCTGCCTTGAGCACAGCCAGCCACTTGCTGTTCCTTTTTATTCCCCCGCCAGCGTGCCATTTGATTTTCTGACAGACGCCCAAAGCGCACTGCATTGTCAATCACACATCCATCCCACCATCCCGCGCCGCAGCTCACGTCGACCACCCTACTGCATCTACCCGAGGAGCCCAACCCACCCCAACCCATTCCGATTCGACCAAAAGAGCTGCACGGAGACCGTTGATATAAACGGTCCCCAGCTCACTCACACTCAGACGATCTCATGGGGTCGAAAGCCAAGAAGGCCGGCAACAAAGTATGAGCTACGATCCGGGCACATCGGCCTACGATTACCGACGTGCCGTCGATTTTTCCTCAGTTCAGTGGTCTAATTTTGACAATGTACAGTACTCCCAGCCTGAACTATCAGATGACGAGCAGCAACAACAACAACCTCAAGGTATGTGTGAACGAAGCAAGTCCCATGCTGGATGGAGGCGTGGTAGCTAACCATACTGTGACAACATTAGATGGTGAACAAATAGACGCTGAGGCAGCTCCTGCCGAGGAGGAGTCCAAAGCGCCCTTGTCCAAGAAGGACAAGAAGAAGCTCAAAAAGAAGCAGAAGAAGGCAGAGAAGGCTGGAGGGCCGCAGAATGACACACCAGCACCTGCACCTGCAGACGCCGAGATTGAGACTGCGCCTCAGTCTGAGCCCGCACAAGAGCCTGAGGTAAAGGTCGACGCGGAAGCTGAGCCCGAGAGCAAGGCAGACGTTGAACCCGAGAGCAAGGCTGACGCTGAGCCCGAGCCCACAGACGTGGTTGAGTCTGACGGCAAAGCAGATGCTACAGCTGAAAGCAAGGCAGATGTCGAGCCCGAGGAGAAGCTGGATGCCGAGCCCGAGGCCACGGGCGTAGTTGAGTCTGACGGCAAAGCAGATGCTACAGCTGAAAGCAAGGCAGATGCAGAGTCCAATCCTGTGGAATCATCCGCGGCACCTGATCGGCCTCCTGAAGCAGACGTGACGCCCGAAATCGATGCCGCTGCTGTTGAGTCTGGAGAAAAGGCGGACACTGAGTCGGAACCGAAGGTCGTCGCTGAACCGGATGCAAAGGCAGACGTCGACCCAGAACCGACAACACAGCCTGAGCCCCAGCCTGAGGAGGCGTCGGAAGCGACGAAACCATCAGAGCCTGATCCTGAGCCCGCACCTGAAACCACACAAGAGCCAGAGCAGCCGACACCAACACCGCCAGAACCGGCATCCGACCCTGCACCTGCTGTTGCCGCCGAGGAGGAAGCGGCTGAGGCTACTTCTTCCAGCAAGAAGAAGAAAAAGAAGAAGAAGAAGGGCAAGGGAGGCGACACAGCCCAGGAGACTCCAGCACCCACGCCGGCGGAGGACACCACCAAGGCGGCAGAGGAAGCGGCTGAAAAGGAGGCCGCCGAGAAGGAGGCCGCCGAGAAGGAAGCCGCTGAAGCTGCCGCCGCTAAGGAGGCTGCTGAAAAGGAGGCTGCCGAGAAAGAAGCTGCTGAAAAGGAAGCCGCCGAGAAGGAAGCTGCCGAGAAGGAGGCCGCTGAAGCTGCTGCAGCTAAGGAAGCCGCCGAAAAGGAGGCTGCCGAGAAAGAAGCTGCTGAAAAGGAAGCCGCCGAGAAGGAAGCCGCCGAGAAGGAGGCTGCCGAGAAAGAAGCTGCTGAAAAGGAAGCCGCTGAAGCTGCCGC